ACATTCATTTACTTTTATTTAGCATCTCGACGAAGATGTACGAAATGAAAGACAAGCCGTCCTACAAAATTCGTTATCATCGTCATCATCTTCTTCTTCATCATCTGTGATTTTTGTTCGAGATCTTGTGCAACGATTCAAAAAACGAAATAACACCACATTATCCAGTCGCATCTATACAGCTGTTGATCATCTGAATTTTCGAGTGACAAAACGATCTTGTTTTGGATTACTAGGTATGACAGATCTTCTCTCTTGCTATCTTTCAATATACAAGACAAGAAAATTTCATTGTAGGAGCCAATGGTGCTGGTAAAACAACGACATTTCGAATGTTAATCAACGATCTTAAACCAACATCTGGTGATATCATCATCAATGGCAAAAATATCAATAAAATAGTCTGAACAGTCCTTTTTCCGCTATTCCTTCTGAAAGGTGATTTGTTTGTTAAGGAACGTGATCTTGAAATTGGCTTTTGTCCTCAATTTGATTGGCTCGTTCATAATCTCACTGTTGTTGAAACGCTTACACTATTTGCCAGGTAGACGCCTTCGTGAATCAAAGTTTCGATTCATAGTTCGTTCTTCCTTTTGAATTAGATTGAAAGGAATGAAATGGTCAGATATCTCACAGATCAGCAGCGATATGATCGATCTGTTTGGTCTTGAAATCTATCGAGATAGACGAGTGCAAAAGCTCAGGTGAGTAGTTGTAGTGTGTACGAGAAAAGATTCAATCGACTTTCGTTTTCTTCGATCAAATTTTCTAGCGGTGGAAATAAACGAAAAGTAAGCGCAGCACTTGCATTCATGGCTAATCCGGCTCTTGTATTTCTTGACGAACCAACAACGGTAAGATACAAAGAAAGATCATTAGTAAGAAGAGAATATCTTCTTGTAAATGTTGATCTGCAGGGTTTGGATGCTGCGGCCAAACGAAAACTATGGAATGTGATTCGATCAGCTCGTGATATTGGCTTGACAATCATTCTTACCAGTCACAGGTATGATAAAACAGAAATTGTCCTGATACTAAGAGCTGTTGGATTGTAATTGTAGTATGGAAGAATGTGAAGCATTGTGTACAAGTAAGTTTGAAATGAGAAAACTTTGTCTGACGCTCTGTGATGTGTTGTTAGAAATAGGAATAATGAAACTGGGCCAGTTTGTGTGTCTTGGTAACTTGCAAAGACTCAAGAATCGCTTCGGAAATGGATATGCAGTGCAAGTGAAACTACCATTGCAAGACGTCGCTCAATTCAAAGAAGAATTGGTGTTAACATTACCAGGTGTTGAAATAGATGGTAAGATAAGATCTTGATATACTTTTTACGAGTATGTGAATGATGTATTCGGTTAGAACAACACAATGGAGTGCTATATTGTACGGTTCCATTTACGTCCATTAATCGTCTACAAAATCCGTCCCGTGCACCTTCATACAATCTGGCGCATGTTTTCGACTTATTCAATAAGAAAAAGGAGGAGAAGTTAATCGAAAGTTTTTCCATAACGCAAACAACATTGGAGCAGATTTTCGTTCACTTGGCTGGTGAAGATCACACTGTCGATACCGGTGAAAATAAAAAGAAGTAGTCATTGATGGCATTTGCATTATTGCTCAATATTTATTTTCGTGTTGTCTATATCCGTTGTTTAGTCAATGAATGTTTCTTTGTTACTTATTCTATTCAACATAAATTCATCGAATGAATAATAAATTCCTTCATTTGTGATACACAGATCCAGGTTACCTTTCTAACGAAGATCGTCATTAACCAACAAGGGTTATTATCTTTTGCGTTTAGATGATATTTTCCTAGACGTCTTGACCTTCACTGAAAGCCAAAGAAATGTGAAATTAGGATGTCGCCGCGACAGCTATGTAGAACACGTCGCTAAAGTAAATGAGTCGGATAATGAAAATAATGCATTCATATTAGCATCCAATCAGGATAAAATTTGTAATCAAACATCTCTCACGGCATTAGCCTTATGCAATGGCACAGTATGCAACTAAAAATCTGTCGCCTATCAACAAACTTCGCTATTTGTTTGTTTTCAACATCTGGATGACGATGTGCGAAGCACACGACAATCGGTATTATAAGAATATTTGTCATCCTCGTCGCCTATTGTCCTCATTCGTGGTCTTGAGATTGACTTGTCAATAATTTAGCTGTCACCGAAGCATTGACATTTTTGTTCTAGGTAAATGTATTTCCATACGATTATGTCTAATATGGAAAACAAATGGAAAGTAAGTGCGATTCGTGTTTGTCTTGATAAACCAACAACGGTAACATGAATAATTATGAAAAGTGCTTCGAATTATTCATCTCCTTCATCAATTACCGGTATGACACGAATAGAACTGACACAGTGAGAAGTTTTTATTTAGTATGAATGTGAAACATTATGTGTGAGTAAGCTTTGAATGTTAAAGATCGGATTATGACTTTGATATACTCTATCAGAGACTAAGAGATCATTTCGAGGATTAATATATAGCGACAAGGAGACAACCATTATAAGAAATCCCTCGAATCAGAGTAGAGTTGACATTTACAATACCATGTGGTGAGATAGATGATAAGATGTAGTACAAATGTATGCTATTTGCATATATTGATGTTGTATTTTGTTCGAAAAACATCAGAAAATGTGACTCTGAAAATTGCATTTGTTATATCACATGGATTAGACTATCTAACAGATAAATGTTTCGAGAGTTTCAAAGTAGTTTGAAGTCAGCTGTTGTTCAACTTTAGTGAGAAAGAGGAACGACTTACAAAGGATATATCTATTGATTTCTCAAGCTATAAAATATCAACGATACTTTGTTTTGTTTTTTCTTTATTGCGTCTTATATAAACATATCAACCTATTATATTAATAAATAAAAGATTCTGTTCAAAGTTTATCTTTCTCATTAACATGTGTTCAATTGATTCGAGTAATATTCTCAAAAAAACACATTTGTGAATGCTTATCATCAATTCAGTTAGTTAGGTTATAAATTATCAGGCTTGGCTGATTGTTCATTGTCCGGATAAGACAAACAAAAAATGTGTTCATATATCATCGTCGAAGTTCTTATCCAATGGCCGATTCTCTCTCTTTCTCGTTTAGTTTACTTGATAGATAGCTGCGTTTGGTATAATTATGAAGCAAGATAGACACAATGCAAAAAAGCGTTATGCTAAGCATGTCTATATAGAATAAGAACAAAGATATTTTTATAGATGTTTATGCACATACGCGCTCAACCTTCCCCATATATACGAAGCTATTAACTGATTTTTCTTAGCCCCGTCCAAGAACAACATTTAAAGGAGCAATAATCATTAGATTATAGAAGCAACCAACAAGCAATCGATGATACTACACATGAGTAGTGTTTTTCTAGCTCCTTCAACGGTACAAAAAAAAGAATGACAACATCCACTTGCCCTTGCCATTTCTTTTCATGTGGACAAGTAGAAACACAAATATTGGCATAAAAAATCGTATATAGACAAAGAAAATGTGTATAACAGGTTCCCATTTTCAAGGTTAATGGCATGCACATGCGTTTAGATGCAAATATACATTTAACAACGAATGACTATGCACTGAAGTAACTATTCTAGTGTTGTTCTTTTTTTTTTCTTACACTTAAGCTTCGTATTACATCACTTCAATGATATTACTCATTTTACTATAAAAGAATCTAAAGAAGATGTGCAAAAGAAACGACCAAAGGTCGTCTTGATAGTAAACCTATTGATAATAATCGTCATAATAGTGAACGATCTATCTAATTGAATTTGTCCTGGATTAGTTCTTAAGAGAGATGAATAGAGAAAAATAGATTTTTCTTTCTCTCTTCCTCTCTTTTCTGTTCTTTCAATGTGTGCATATATCTTTTCCTTATGCCTAAGACCGATAGATATGTATCTGTATAGAGAACGCGAGTGGGTGGAATATGAGACGAAGGGTATCACCATCTTCTATACAATGTGAGTATACGGAAGCGGTAACCCTTGTGATTAGGATAGAAAGAAAAAAGGAGGAGAAGACGAAGAAGAGAATATGTGCATTTGCTTATAGTCGTTGTTGATGTACAGTACACATATAGACACAGTGACCGCTCGTCGGCTATAGTCAGTCATAATATTCAATTTTGTTCTATTTTAGTATAAATAAATGAGCTTGATTGTGTTCATTAGTGGTGTGTGTGAAAGAAAGAGAGAGAGAGGAAGGGAGGTCAATGTCATCAATAAGACTAGCAACAGTACAAAAACCATTACGTCGTTTGTTTCTTATCGTTCTGTTTCTTTTTCTTCTCAATTTTTTTTTGTATTCATCATTTCAATTTTGTGAACTTCTGTCGATGAATTTTTTTTCCTTTATATCTAGGTGATGTAAGTATGTCGCTTATACCGTACATATACAATCTTTCCTTTTTTGTGTCTGCATCTGGAAGTGTACGTAGGTAAAACGTTCATGTAGCCTGTTGAACGCTATGCGCATTGTCTTATCGTATATGTGAACTGGGCGATAGCCCATTTGGATGTTATACAGCAGTAGTTCATATCTTTCTTTCTCTCCCCTTTTTTTTCTTCTGTTGTGTGTAATCATATTGACTTATACACACACATCTTGTCTTCATTCTATTGTAAACAGCATTGTCGATCTTTTTCTTATTTGTTGATATATCTTATCGTTTCTTCCATCTCATTTCTAAGAGATTTTTTTCTCTGCATCATGAAGTTTTCGAGCAAACAACGAAATCGAGAATATTAATATCGAGTAGGTTTTCAAACGATGACAGATGTTATCGTTTTCGTACAATATATGCCAATAATAGAAGGAAAGAAAAAAACATTACTCTTAAGATGATTCTTTTTTTGCATTCATTGCTTCAAGATCAAGTTTCCCTTCTCGTATAACGAAATACTTTAGTCATTTTTTGCCCTCAAGAAATAATCAGAGTTTCGTTTTTCTTCCATTCAGATGTCTGATGTAGCCATAACTAATCAACTTCCATCACGTACGTCTTCCAGTACGCGTTGGCCAAGAAAATGGTCAACATTAGGTGGACGTAGTACGTCAACCTCGACAACGGTTATCCCAACTAATGATACTGATGCGGCAAATGAGACCCCGTCGAAAACCAATGGTCATCATCGTCATTCAACATCTTTGCTTAGAAAAGCATCGACCATAAGTCGATCGAATGGCACTCCGGCAGCAGCGGATGAAATATCTTCTCCCTCTTTGAAAAAATCTCGTTCGTTAATGAATGTCTTACGTTCGAAGTTGAATTCTCCAGCTGTAATTCGTCGTTTTCGTTCGAAATCACGCGAAAATCACAAACAAACAGTGATCGAAGTTAACGGCCATTCGACAAATGAACGATCACCATCACCACCAGCACAGCAAGTCAAGCAAACGAATGATGAAGAAGTAATAACAACAAGAAAATCAAGAAAACGTGATCCATCGCCGATGAGACGCCTTGCCAATCGCATTTCACAATTAACGCGGCATCAAAGTACAACAGCATACGAACGACAAAGTAATATCCAAATCTGATTAATAGAACGAAGTGATAGATAAAACGAGCTCCAAGTATGCTATGAGTTATCTTTTTTCTCACAAACGATATAAACGATACGAAATCAAGCAATGAAATCTTTTCAATGTAGATAAACTTTCGTATTTGTAATCGTTCGATGCAAATACTTGACCTTCAGGGTAGTTGAAGATATAACTGTAATTTAAATGTATGTTTACTTTTATCTGTATATCAATGGATATGCACAGCATACTAATTAAACAGCTTCGAACGAAAAAAATTGAATCATCAGCAAGCTCACGAGTAAGTTTTGCTTTTTATTGTAGAAAAATCTCCGACAAAATCAGCGACTAATGATGCCATATCCAAAACACCATCACCTACTCATAATAAAGACAAAGTTGATCATATCAATGCATGTTACGATGAAATTCGAGCGAAATACTTCAATAAAAACAACTCAACTCAACGAAATTCAACTGAAACTGATCATCAGAATCGTTCATTACTTAGTAATGATACTTCCACAGATTCACCACGTGTACCTTCGCCAATCTTACCAGACGATCCGTTATTACAAGCACGCAAACAAGCAAATTTAAAACTGAATTGTTTGTTAAGCGGATATACTTTAACTACACCGTTTTCGGCTCATGAAAAATCATTTGGTCGAAACGATTTATTCAAGTTTAATCATTATTATGATGTTGGAAAACGAAAATATGATTGGAATTCTACTAATGCAAATAATCAGCTCTTTTCGAGTTTGAGAGCAAGACCAATTAGCAAGAGCATTGATAGTTTTAGACCTCTGAATGCGAAAGGTATGTAAAAAGAAAAGCAAACAAATTTTAGTTAGATTTCTTCTTCTTTAGAAGATGAAGTACCAATCACATTGGAAAAAATGAATTTCGTTGACAATGATCGATTAGGTAATTTTATTCGTATAACGATTAGAGTATGACAGCTTTATTGTATATGTATAAAATATGTTAATTTCGCGTTTAAAGCAAATCACCCGATGACAAGGACATGTCCGAGAGAGAGAGAGAACAGTAGATTTGTTTCTTCTTTCTCTGTACTCATGCTTGAAGAATGTACTCTCCCACAGAGAATATCTACTTGATCGACAAATGACTTTTCATCTCATCAAATATGATGAAGACTTATCTCGATGTAAGAGATTTTTCCAGGTCAACCCTCTCTACCTCCCACTTAGTTATACCTGGGACAATCATTGAATGTTCCTAATCAGAATCGTTAGAGAATTTATGTAGCTATTATGTCGGAGAGTTGTATGACGTAATCCTACCAATCAATATCTCGTTTAGTTCGGACAGAAAATCATCAAGAAGACGTTACAAAGGTATTAACTGATAACAATACAGTTATCGACCAGCAAGATCATGTTCTCAATAAATCAGAAACAAATTCATCAAATAGTTATGTGACACAAGCTGTTCCTGTAGATAATAACACATGTGTTACATCGATAACAACAAATTCAATTGACTTGAACGAAAATAATACAACTGTAACCGATCGGGATGAAGAATTTGAACAGAATTTTCTTCGCGCAGTTGATCGAGCATTGGGAGTTGTCAATAAAGAGGAGAAACATGTTACACAACCTGTGATTGATAAATCCATAGTTGAAAATCAATCAGCACTTGATCTTGTGGAAATGACTGAACGAGCACTTTCATCCATCAATAATTTACCGGATATTTTGGTAAGAAACAAGATCTCGCTTATCTATTCGTATACAAAGGACAAATTCCTTTCTTTTAGAGCAACGGTTCGAATACGAAAGAACAAGGTAAATGTTCAAAATAATTTCAATGATTTTAAACTAGTTTTTACGTAGAATCTAATGCTAACAATGCAGCACCAATTAGCTCGGAAGTCATCGATAGTCAAGAAGAATTTCTAAATAATGAACAACCATTAAAATCTTCGGAAGTGACGATGGAAGAACTCACCAGTATCAAACAATCACCAGTTATTACTGAAGATAAACATGAAGAGTCTGTCAATGTTGAACCGACACTAATTGTTACTGAGGAAAAACATGAAGAACCAGTTATTACTGAACAACCACCGACTAATATGGACGAAAACCGTGCTGAACCAAATATTAATGAACAATCGTCGATTATTGTGGAGGACGAGAAACACGATGATACTATTTTTGTTGAGCAACCAGCGATTGTTCCAGAAGAAAAGCACGATGAACTGCCTAAAGCTGAAGAGACACCAGTTTTCACTGAAGACAAACATGCTGAACCAGATATTAATGACCAATCGTCGATCGTTGTGGTGGAGGAGAAACACGATGATGCTGTCCCTATTGAACAATCATCACTTGTTCCAGAAGAAAAGCACGATGAGCTACCTAAAGCTGAAGAGACACCAGTTTTCGCTGAAGAAAAATATGATGAACCAAGTATTACTGAACAACCGTCGGCTGTTGAGGAAGACAAGCACGATAATACCATCCCTATTGAACCAACGCCAACGGTTCTCGAGGAAAAACACGATGAACCAAGTACTAATGAACAATCGCCGGTTATTGTAGAAGAAAAGCATGAAGAACCGACTATTGCTGAACAACCATCGGCCAATATCGATGAAAAGCATGAAGAACTAACCAAAACGGATGAAATATCGATTTCTGCTGAAGAAAAACACGGTGATGCCAACGATATTGAACAGTCGCCAATTATTATTGAAGATAAACATGAGGAACCGATTACAGCTGATCAAAGGTCGATTTCTGCTGGAGAAAAACATGATGAACTGATTACTGATGAACAATCGTCGACTATTGTCGAAGAAAAGCACAATAATTATAGCAACGTTGAGCAATCGCCAGTCATCATTGAAGAAAAACATGACGAACCAATTACAGCTGATCAACTATCGATTTCTACTGAAGAAAATCACAACGAACCGACTAATGTTGAACAACCTGCAATCATTGAAGAAGAAAAGCACGAAGAATTCATCAATACTGACTCATCACTGATCGTCAACGAGGAAAAGCATGATAGTGAACAATCTTCTGCTGTCACTGAAGAAAAACACATTGATCCTCTCCCTGTTGAACAACCAACAATTGCTATTGAAAAGGATCATGTCGAACCGATAAATAGCGATGCTAATAATGAAGAGATCTCTTCACTGATTGAAGATTTAGTACAGAAAACCGAACATTTATTAGTCGAAGAATGCAAGGTAAGCTCAATAGCTGACTAACATCATGATAATCAAATGTTCTCACTTCGATCAACATCGTTGTTTGCACGCTTACATGTATGGTGATGGACTATTTTCTTCTTTCTTTGCATGATGATCAATTTTCTATCAGTATTTTGTAACTTCTTTCTTTTATTAGAGCATTGTTTGTGTGGATATTAGTTCAATTTTTGTTGTTGTGTTCTTTTTCGACTAATATTCTTGAAAATAACCAACACAAAATAGATCGTATACACACATATAATCGTCATCATCAATTGCTTTGCCGTTTTGTTTTTTGAGTTAACCGTTTACTAATAAAAAAAACTGACTAAGAATGTAAAGAATGGGCACGGGATTACGGGTGGCCTTTATCATCAACATTGACCTTTATTGTTACTATTGAGACAAAGAAAATTGTAAAATGAAATGACTTTTGATCTATCATTTATCTGAAACGAGCGTCAGTTTTATCAATGCATCGCTATGATTTGGTTCAGTTTTGAACTTATCAAGGGAATACAGATTTCTCTAAAGACCAAATATATTAGTCGTTTTTCTTCTATGTTAAGATGAAAAAAAAAGAAATCTTTTTTTTTTCATTCGTTCGTTTTGGTTTGATGATGCGAAGCATGTTGAGGGGTAGATGTAAAATGCAAAGTGATAACAGTGACTCACACCCTCTTATGTCGTTTTTTCTTCATTTCTCTCTCTCTCTCTCTTTATTTCTTAAATCGAAGGACATACGCACATCAACTGTCGACCACATCTATCCAGCTCTTTCGAGAACGCTGCGCTGAACTACATAACAATTTCGATTCAAACCACGTCGTCACTCGTCATCATCTCTTTTTTTTTCTTCTCTTTCTATCTTTCTCTCTCCCACACGCACACACGCATTTTATTCCATCACGACATTCTTCTCATCAGTCACTATTGCACGCTTGTCTCTCTCGTTCATAGAATGGTAAGCACTAAAGAAGTTTCCTGTTCTTTTGTATACATATTCATTCACATCATTTTCCTATTGAAAAAAAAACTGTTCAATGGATCAATTTATTTGTATATAAAGTTGCCTGAATCATTCGATCTGAACTTTTTTTCTTCTCTTACTCGTAAATTTGTCTTGCAATATGTCGAGATCGATAACATTAAGGGTGTGTGTTTGTGTAAAAGAAAATTAATTTTTCGCATTTTATCAATTTCTAAAAATTTCCTTTTGTTTTACAGAATGGCCGAACATTCCTGGCTAAATTGGATGACGAAGAAAACATAATCAAGTCCAAAGCAGATTCTTACAATAACCTAGTCGGTCTAGATGACAATCGCTTGAGCGAAGATGGTATGAAAAACAATCAACTTATAACAATTCCATTTTCATCGCTTATTTTAGTTCGCACTGATATCAATGCTGTTATTGGCGAAGTCAATTTATTATTACGAGGTAAACTAAAACAATTTCGCGGCCTATGTCAAGCGAATGTGGTATAAACATTTATAATCAACACCTTTTCCTTCTTATAATAATATGTTACTTTTAGACAAAATCAACTTCGGGAGAACCAATACCACTCGATAGTGATTTAGAAGGTTTCTGGGATATAACATATCCACTAATCGATAAAGTTAAAGAAAAATTTGCTAAGCTTGATATGCGAAAAGCGAAACAATGGGCTCCTGTTGAAGAATACGATCCAAATGACAGTATGTTGCCTTTCGTATTCAAAGAAAACAATCGATAGTTGATAAAACATTTTAGTTAACAATCGACCACGCGCGCTCGATGATCGCTTGAAACAACTTCAACCTCAACAGAATAAATCATCGAAAATCCCTGTAACAAAATCGTCTAATGATGATTTGAAAAAACTTATTCAAGAACGACGAAAAGCAGCTGCGAATTCGGCAAATCAAAATCATGATGTGGAAATATTTGTTGCACCGAAATAAGACCTCACAATTCTCTCATTGATTTCTTTTGTGCAATATACATATACATATACCGTCTCAACTTTTCTAAAGACAAATAACAGACAACAATTTTACTCATGTGTGTGTTCGTGTGTGTGTGTGTGTGTGTGTGTGTTTCTCTTTTTTATTTTTCTATTTGTTCGAAAAACAATGAAAATAAAAAATCTTAATCAATGTATGCACCTCAGATCACCATATTCGTTTTTCCTCTTTTGTTTGGATACTTATTATTCCATCGATCAAACCTGTCTAGAGATAAACTATTTATGTCTGACAGAAGAATAGATTTATCAACATCTGCATGTGTCCTGCAGCGCGTATTTTCAGGACATAATAGGCTTTATTACTTGGTATTCTTTGTTTTGTTGGAGAACTAAATTAGAGATTGAGGATATATGTGGATCATTTTTTTTCTCGATAAATAAACAATCGTGACGCAGGGCAATGTCGCCGTTCGGAATTAGAACGACTTGTATAGAGCGAGTGAATAATTACTTTCGTAACATTGTTTGTATTAGTTAACTGATATTCTAGTTGGATATGAGAACGAGTATAAGCATGTATATACACTTGGCGATCGTTCTTTTACTTCATCAGGTAAATTTTATTCTTGTTTTCCTCACCCTATGTTCAGGGAATCATCTCAAGTGATGGTAAACTCATTATTATGTAAATTCTTCATTCGATACGTCACAGTTAAAGAGCAGTTTGTTTATATCGTATATCATTGATAGTTTCCATCGATAATATGGTGTAGTAATCATATAACTTAATTTGATCTATTTTCCCAAGGGTTATAATGGTATACAAATCTGATAATTAAGATTGTTTATATCTTGCAGGGAGTAAGATGTGTAACTGCTTCTAATGGGTACATGCCTGAAGTGAGTGATACATGCGTTAGACGAGATGGTTGCAACGTGTGTTTTTTTTGCATAGGTAAATCCTGTGTGTCCTTGTGAAAAAGTAAGATCAATTAAAGAGATAAATTGAAAGAGTTGTAAGAAGTTAAATTTAGGGCGAACGTGGTGAGAAAGGTTATCCAGGTGTTTGTACGATAGGTTGTCAGTTGACGATATGAATCAATTCATTTCGTAAAGACATGCCTTTTAGATTGTGGCTATCGATATAATATATATACAAGAGATTGTCTGTCTTCTCGAATCAATGTAGAACGTTTAGCTCTTTCTATCCGGCAATTAATAACTGATACAAAGGTAGGAATCGTTTCTATCGGTGATAACTAGTTTGAATGTGATATTTCTTGAAGATTGTTTATCAAAGAGCACGAGCAAATTCTTGTGTTTGTCAAACAACATCATCTCCATCTGTTGTATCAAATCCTTATCATTTTGATTATCAGATAGTATGTCGAAAATGATAGTTTGTTGTATGCATTTCCGAGTATCCTTTTAGTATGCACGATTGAAAGGAGATAAAGGTGATGCAGGCCAATCTTGTCCATTGAACTGTATGCAATCTACACAGGTTCTTATTCAATTCTTTACTAATGAAAAACTGATTCTTTCCTTTGCTAGACAAGTGTACGAGTGTTTCCTACGAAGGAAGCGGCAATAGAAAAATTATCAACCTATTCTGACCATACATACGTGCATATTGTGGATGAGTTTGGATACTTACAGAATGTGTTCGTGCGAGTTCAGGGAAGACTGATACCGATAGTTTTGGGAAATACAGTAAGCTATTTTATAATAAATCAGATTATACAACATGCTAGATGATAGGAGCCCTCTTCAGTTCATGACCAAAATTTACCTGCTAAAAAATCGGTAAGATCAATTTTTTGCCAAAAATCGATTCGATTGATTTCCTTTTCTTCTCATAGCAATGTACGATTCCATTGCCCTGTCCAACAGTAAGATTGAGAATCTAAAAGCTCGAATGAGTTTCTTTTAATTAGTTACATATCTTCGCATTGGGTCCCTATGCACGAAAAATGTGCAGTCCAAAACGACCAACAATGTGCTCGAAACTATCAGAATATGATGATCTATGTGCACGTGTTTCGAAACGACATCAACTGAAAGGTTTTTATCGAGCATTCATATCGACCAGCACACAATGGTTAGCAAACCTGTTCGATGGAGTTTGTTTGGATGCTAAAATTATGAACATGCAAGTAGGTTTTTTCATGAAATGTTGCTTTGAACGATGTATTTCATTGGTTTTTTCAAAGGAACAAGTTCTGTTTGACTCATTCGAAGACATCTTTGAGCAAAAACCACTACAACATGACATCCTGGATGTACAGGGATTGAAACCTCAGTAAATTCTGATGTTTTTTTATGCATAATGACAGATGTTTGTTTAGATTTCAATACTGGTGGCATGGCAGTCTTCCAAATGGTACTGCATCAAGTGACACTTGTAATTCTTTGCAATACCTATTTTTAAGTGGCCATCTACCTATGATTTATACGTATATTTAGGTCTCGATTGGAGTCGACAAGAATCTCGCTTATCGGGTATCGCCAGTCGTCTCCCTGACAGTAGAAACGGTTTATTTCATCATCAGTACTTATGGCCTTGTTCACTAAGCGATTCAAATGTAGGAATCTTATGTATTGAAACAAATTGTAATGAACGAAATGAACAGAAACACTAAAAACGATTTGTACCCAGACGAAAATGATTGATTAAACGAAATTGTGGTTGCATACTGTCAAATTGTCTTCTTTGAGTAGGATAAAACATCGGTGCTACTGAACGTACGGATGTTAGAAAGACAGGTGGCGAACGAAATGCGATAAAATGTCTTTGAACCACTGGTGGTGGTTGAATCGGTGAAAAGAATTGAAATTGATTCGTCGAACTTCGACTTCGTTGTTGATTATGATGAAGATTGCGAGATTCAGACTTTGTTCGATGAACGCGTGGTTGCTGTTGTTGAACATTGTTTGGATAGACATGATTTTCTGAAATCGTTGTTGGCTGATTGGCTTTGCGACGTTGAGATCGACGGAATCTTGTAGGTGACGCTGATGGTGGTGGTGGTGGTGGTGGTTGTTGTTGCATATCTTTCTGACGTGTTTCAGCAAATCTAGCTGGATTAATTGGTCGAAAGAATGGATCTGCTGTATTTTGAAAACGTAGAGGTGTTCCACACGGAGGAGGGTAATTCTCATTCATTGGTGGTACATATGAACGTGAACGATGTTTTGGAAAAGCATTTTGATTGTGTCTCTGAAAATAAAGAAAGTGAAATCAGATAAGAATGTGTTGATGTAAGATATAAATAAGAGTCAGTACCCAATGAACATTTGCGTTAGTTGATGCTGCTGGTGGTGGTGGTTGTGATGATGGAAAACTAAATTCATTTTTCATGCGAAGGTCGTGTTCAGTGGAAAATCTCTGATGAAATCGAGATAGAGGCGGTGTTACTGTTGGTGGATAGTGACGAGTAAAATTTGGTATATCGAATATTCTGGATGGTTTAGGTTCGTCTCGAGCATCCGCTGGCTGACGACGATACTTCATTTTATTCCGATGACGTCGATTCGAGCGTGAAGTTGATACAGACGATATATGTGATGGTGGTGGAGAAATATACTTGTGATGATGTTGATGGTGGTGATAATAATAATGATGGCGTTCGTCTGAGGGTGACGGAGATCGATCGTGAAACTTAGTCGAAGATGGAGAATTCAGCTCCGGTGATGTTAATGGACTACCCACGGATGAGGTGGCAGCTTTTCTCGATTCGATATTTGCATTGTAAGCTTGTTGTTGATAAATTTTCGGTTCTTCATCGGGCTCTTCAACAACAACCACACTGAAATAAATACAGACGTACATGCATGGATTCACATATCTGTATCTTTATCAAGATCGATAGACTTTTTCTTCTTCGATCTGATCTTCATCCCAAAAGTAGTTCAAACATATTTCTTTTCTCACTAGATCGGGTGATAAGTCTTACCCAGATTTCTTGCTATCTGAACTGTTACTTTCAGTTATATTACTGCTACCTCCAGATGAACGGTTATTAAATGTTTTTTCGAAATTTTGTCGAAGATTTCGAACAAATTTATTCAATTCATTTTCGTTACTGAATTCTTGTTCAACAAAGACACGTTGTTGATCACCATTGGGTCCAATATGAACTTTGGTCAGTTGAATCTACAAATGAACATGATACGCAACCGTCAACATTCTCTTTTCCTTTCTTACGGTCAATCGATCATCGTTGGTAATGATGGGATCAGTCATAAAATAAGACGTCGACTTGTCTTGAAAATGGAACGCCGGTGTTTGTCGTCGGTTCTGTTGTTGTTGCTGCTGCTGTTGTTGTTGTTGTTGTTGTTGCTGAGCTCGAGCCATGTTCTGTCTCCAACGTTGTTGCTCCAAATTCTGATTACCATAATCATAAGATGGATAAGTGCCTGACGGCATCGACGTAAATCCGTGATGAATGCCATTTTGATCGAATTCGTGAGTACAGTTTAAGTTGTGTGTACTTTGATTAGGCGCAGGAGCATTGGGACGATAGTAGAACGGATGGTTTGGAATGAAGAAGTTCGACGAAGCACGATTAGTTGTGAAAAATGTTTGTGGATGAGCATGAGGTGGTGGCTGGTGAGGTCGTGGTTGATGAGGATAGAATGGTTGATGAAACATGTTGATACTTTTGATGATCTAGACACACTGTTTAATCACTTTTGTTACTGAGAAGCTGAAGTATACATTATCGAACAAAATGCACACTTGCATTAATCATTTTGATGTGCGTACGTTCTATGCTCGGTCGTTGGGTTAATGGTTATGTGATGAAAGTGTCAGCATACAGTTGGGTTGTTTCAACGATGTGCATATGTGTATCTTATTCAATTTTTTCTCTTCTCTCTATCGCTCTTTCAACCACCTCGACGTAGGTGCAACTGGTCTTGATTTGTTTTCTCTTTAGCTTTCATGTGAAAAATGTTGAACAAAAAATTGTCATGCACGATCGAACACCATGCACTCATACATATGTACATAGAAGAAAGAAAAGGAGAAGAAGACCAACTAGTCACCATCATCATCATCATTATTATTATCAACATCATATTGGTGAAACGGAGCATTTTGATACAAGCAATGTAGGAAAAAAAAGAAGGAGAAGAAATGATCATTTAATGAAGTATGCAAAGAAGAAAGAATGTGTCAAATAGTTTGCGATCAAATGCGAATAGTTCGTGATAATCAGTTCATCTTAAACTTGACTTTATGTATGTGTATCCTGAGAGAATACTCTATCACAGCGATGATAAAATATCTTGATGAATTCAATTCAATGAGTAACAAACCCGACGATTTTTTGTACTGTTTAAAATATTGTGTTCTCATTGATTTGATTTTAATTGATAAAAGATTGTCACACATCTGATACTTAAATCTCGTTTTACTACAACAGTTAGGCGATTGTTTTTTTCTTATGTTTGAAAATAAACTTTCAAAATGCATCAAGAAAATATCGAATTGAATGGCACATGGAAAGTGTAATTTTGAAATTTCATCGTACATTTGACATATGACAATGTTTATGTTATACCTTGATATGTGTTCAAGGTCTTTCGTACCGTGAACATACAGTAAAAATGTATATTTTCTTTAAAAAAAAAGTTCATTGAGCATTTCAAGAAACTCATATTTTCTCCACAAGCAATAGAGTAGTTTTATTGCATAACTTATGAGATATAGGTAGTATCCTGCGGTAGCGAGAGCTATTTTCATAATGTGTACGTATTTTAATATCCTCGTCAATTTTGATTGACAACTATGCGAGAACTTTAGTTTGCATACAGTTTTTAGTGACATTAATATACGAAACTATCATATTCAATCTTTGGATCAGTAATCTAGTCAAGCATGATTGAGTTTAGTTATTAAGAACGATCTTTTATGAATACAATAATGTATAAATGATCGATTATGAATGATTTGACAAGATTGTATTAGACCTCTTTTCTTTTTTGAAATTTTCACCGATTCTCTAATTGCATCATAAAATAAATATATCATAGCTTCATGATTCATACAAGATCATCGTAAACTGAATACTTGCCTCCGTATTTTATCGAGATAACTTGGCTCTAAAATTTCCATATCATCGTATCGTTTAGAAAGAAAATTATTAGAAAACGATCCGTAAAGGAGATCGATTTGTTATTTACTTTCATTCTGACTTCTGATTGGCTAATCAACTACCAATAGATAAATAGTAATAGTATAACCTATACTTTACCGCAGTCCTTCGTTCTGTTTACCTTTGTTTATTGTTTTTCTCTTCGGATCGGCAGTGCAGTTCTTTACCACATTTCATCAGCATTAGCATCAACAAAATGGCCCCACCGAAATTCGGCGATCTCAACAAACAAGTTTCCGACATTTTCAACAAGGGATACTTTTTTAATGTCTTCAAACTCGACGTCAAAACTCGCACTGCGAATGGTGTTAATTTCAACGTTATCGGTGAACATAACACGGAAACAGCACGAACATTCGGTAGTCTTGAAACGAAATATGTCGTTCCGGAATATGGTTTGACATTCTTGGAAAAATGGAACACCGATAATTTGCTTAAATGTGAAATAACCGCTGATAATCAATTAGCACAAGGTTTCAAAGTTGTGTTTGATGCATCACTTGTTCCAAATACAGGGTAAATTGCATACTATTCGATGATTCTTTATGTTTTATTGAGCCCAAAAAAAACCTGTTTATAGCAAGAGCTACGAGAGATTACATTTTGGTATGAAAACCCGTCCATTGTCCTTAGATATCACATCCCAGAGGTATTTGTTTCGTTTAATATATTTTCAACGGATAAAAGTCCAAAGTTAGTTTGATCTTCTCAACAACAAATATTCAGCTACTCTGCCAAACTTCAGATACGTGTACGCACACAAGTGAATAAATTACGTCTAACGGGATCTTATACTCATGCAGGAAACAATCGACATTGGTAAAGCGAATTTTCTTTTGTCATGCAACCAAGATAAATAACCTCCTCTTCTACTTGTTCCGCAAATTCGGTATTAGGAGCGATGATATTCATTGTGTTTTTTGTTTGTTTCAGGAAAAAAACAGCTGAACTTCGTACTGCTTACACGCATGACAAAGCTCATGTTGAAACCAATGTTGCATTCGACGCCGCTGGACCTATTCTTAACGGTGCCGTTGTTTTGGGCCATCAAGGTTGGTTAGCTGGTTATCAATATGTGTTCAACACCGCCCGATCAATGTTAACAAAAAATAATTTCGCCGTTGGCTTCAGAGCTAAAGATTTCACACTTTACGCCAATATGTAAGTCTAGTTCGAATTGCTTCATCGATGATTTTCTGGATGAAATACTTCTTGTCTTGATCGAACTCATGAATTCAATACACATCTGTTTGTTCTCATAGGAATGATGCTAATGAAGTGGGTGGTAGTGTTTACCAACGTATCAACGATCGACTTGAAACTGGTGTTCAATTAGCTTGGACCGCTGGTTCCAATCAAACACGATTTGCACTTGCATCAAAGTATCAACTTGATGGTCAGACCGTAGTTGGAGCAAAAGTAAACAATATCTGTCAAGTTGGACTTTCATTCCAACAATTGTTAAGACCTGGTGAGAGTTCGAGTCTTCGTTGTTACCTACTTATATACTATTGTTCGTACTGTTTTAGGTGTTAAATTGACTTTGTCAGCATTATTTGAAGCAAAAAATTTGAATGCTGGTGGACACAAAGTCGGTTTGGGACTTGAACTTGACAGCTAAAAGTCTACAAAAATTACGCGCTAACATTTGCCGCAACGAGACTAGCTGGTTTTCGTTCCTTTTAATAACTATTTTTTGTAGAAAGAGTCCGCAATTTTCGTTCTAGGATATTTTTCTGATTGTCATAGTTGATGGGAAATAGTCCATGATCATTCTCCTACTTTTGCTTTTTTTTGTGTACCGTTTTCTCTTCAGTCTCGTTCGTTTCGCGAAATACAATATAAACACCTAAACAAGAATATTAGCGTAAGATTTACTTGTGCGAATCATACAGTGTAATGAAATTAGAAAAAAACAAATTTTCATATTTATCCATGGCATCAGCCATTCAAAGGGTATCTCATGTTCTTGAAAATACTTTCTACCTGAGTGAAATTCGTCCGTATGGTGAGTACAGCTGTATCTAGAAGAAAAAAAACTCTTTTTTGTTAATATATATTTATACGAATGATAATATGAAGAACGAGAATATAGAGAATATCGTTCTTTTCTCAGATATGCACTTATTCTAATCGAACTTTTGAATATGAAGCTCTATTCAAGGAATCTACTATATCAAACGAACTCAATGCTCTCTTTCCACAAAACACGTGATCGTATATTTATATATTCTACGTGTTCTCAACGTTTGATTAATTTTTCTTATATAAAATTGAAGAGAAGCACTGTAAACCAGCATAATCCATAAAAAAAACACATTGCATAAATCAATACTTCTAACTTTCCATGGCTCCATATACTTTCGAACTATTCGCACCTTACAACAAACAAGCTGGCCTTCGACTCAAAAATGCAAATGCCAGAATGTTTGTACGTATCACTATTCCATCTCCTTCACTATCTCTCTCCTTTCAACACTTTTCTTCAGGGTCTCGACATTCCCATGGAACTCAACCCAGATGATGGATATTGGCGTGTTACTCTTGATCTAGCTGACGGTAACACTCTACTTCTCGTCTCATCCACTCTACACTAAATTCTCTCTTTTCAGGCATCTACCATTATCAGTTCAAAGTCGTTACCCGATCATGGTTCGAAGTCGAGCCAGAGCCTGCTCTTCCTGACTATATCGACGACGAGACCAAAAGTAACTAGTCAGCATTTTCACCACGACCTTCTTCACCTTCTATTCACTGTCTATAGGTGTCGACGAAAACGAACAGATTCGAAAGACCTATCGCGAAGAACACGAGAAACTCGTACAGCAAGTGAAAGAAAGAAACCAGAAACGAGAAGAAGAAATCACCTTCACCGAAGTGTGGTACACTTTTGTTGATCCATATGCAACCGAAGTAGATGAGCGTGGCTCGGACGATGCTTTTCGATCAGTGGGCATTCTAATTTTCAAGAATGGTTTGTAGTTCACCGTTGATAACGATATCAAGTGATATGTATGTGTTTTGATAGGAAAGCGGATCGTGGATGAGTACGAGTGGAAATACGATAACTATGTTCCGTTGGCTGGAAACGACAAGCTGATCATCTATGAGATTCACATAGGTGATTTTCAAGATCGTTTCAAAGATGTGACAGAGAAGATGGAGTATTTTGTGAGTCTGGGTATTACAGCTGGTAAGTGCGATCGAAGAAGATTGAGAGATATGAGTTGTGAAGGAAATACTTTAGTGGAAATCATGCCAATCAAAGAATATCCAGGACAAATCGGATGGGGATACACACCAAGATATTATTTTGCTGTTGAAAGTGCTTATGGTACAACTGCAGAGCTGAAAGAAATGATAGATACATTTCACAAGCACGGCATCCGTGTTATCATGGATGGTGTATATAACCATGTACGTGAATAGTCGTTATAGCCAATAATAATCGATTACAACGAACATCTTTGTTTCAGTGTGATGTATCCGCACCGTATACCGCTATTGATCATGATTATTGGTAAGATGATTGATATGCTTACTGAGCCAATAATGATTTTTCTTTGTTCTTCCTGCAGGTTTCATCATGAACCGAAAGATCCAAAATACTGTTGGGGACCAGTTAGTCTTCCTCTGTATATTTTATATAATATTGCTTATTTTTCTTATATTTCGTTCGTAAAAGGAATGGAATTATGGCAAATTTGATGAAAAATTTCAAGTATGGCCTGCGAGAAAATATATAGCGGATTCAGTACAATACTTTATCAATGAATTTCATACCGACGGTAAATATACTTTGTTTACTACGTCATTGATCTTTCTCTTATTCGAACGAAGGTATTCGTTTTGATGCTGCCACTCAAATAAACAATGATGAATTTCTTCGAATTCTCTCTCAACAAGCCAAACAACAAGCCCGCGTTCGGTATAAAAGAACTTGACGTATAAGATACTATCATTTAATTTTCTCCGTTTAGTGGTTATGCACCGGATTTTTTTTGCGTTGGAGAATATTTACCCGATAGAATTGAATCTGTTCTATCTAATGGTGGACCTATGGATGGCCTATGGCATGACAGTTTCTATTGGAAATTGCGCGATGCTATCGTTTTTGATGCAGTAAACTGGAATGAACTAAAAGATGTCATTGATAGTCGCCGACAAGGTTACAGAAATCTCGTTGACATCGTTAATTATCAATCCAATCATGATCACGATCGATTATTAGTCGAACTTGGCAAAGAACGTCAGATCTTCGATCGTGATGCATTCCATCGTGTTCGTCTAGGATTAGCAATTCAAGCAACAGCATTCGGCTTGATGATGATCTGGATGGGAGAAGAAATTGGTGAATACAAAGAGAAAACTCCAGGAGTAGCCAAACTTGATTGGTCATTGATTGAAGATCGCGAGGATAATTCAAATAGTATTAATAGAGAACATTTGCAATACTACAAGGATGTTATTCAATTACGAAAACGAAATGCAGCATTGACCACTCCTAATCTCGACTTTATCTATGAACATACCGATAATCAGATCTTAGTTTGGTATCGTTGGAATAATGAAACGGATAAATCTCGGATACAGGAGAATCATGTTGTCGTTGTATGCAACTGGTCATCTCAAACTTACGAAAAGTACGAAATTTTTAATATGCCTCGAAATGGTCATTGGTATGAATGGCTGAATAATGATAAAGAATATCTCGTGGAACATAACAAACTAATTGTAGAGAACTTGATGGATCATTCTGCTAGAATTTTTGTATATGAATTGAAAAGGTGTGAGGATGATCAGCGTTCATAAGCTTGGTTTTCATTTATAATTGTCATTTGTTGTGTTTTTCATTTATACATGCAAAAATACATATGTAAGCTCAGATGAAAATAATATAGTATGTTATTTGTAAAAGAAACTATTTAATAGACAGCTACTCGTCGCTTTTCCGTTCATAACTAACAGTTTCATCATAAACACAAACTAAATATGCAAGTGTAACTTGAGAATTGCATTTGAATGAGTCAGTTGTTCGAGATTTGCTATTTTTTATATGTTGGCGAATATGCTCTTAAGATTTGGTCGACAAAGTTAAAGAAGATCTCTAACTACTTAGAAACCAAAGATAAGTACTATAAACAAAGACGAAGTCATCACCGTTGGGTTGGTTTCGTAATCGTTCTCACAATTACAATCGCTTCAATAACATTCGAATCGTCATTATGTTATTCAGTATAAGTCTTTTCTACCCAACAATGTCAGATTATATTGTTAACATTGACTTTTTTCTTTTGCTACACAATAAGAAATGCAGATACTCACAATAATCTGTTCGAACATGACGCAGGATTTTTATGCGTCAGATCAGGCAGTGTATTGTTTGCGAACCCACAAAATTTTTTTGTGGGAATAATTGTATGGTGATGGTAAGGGAAAACGTGACTATTATTCTTTTATTGTTTAAAAATAACAGAAACGTAAATATCTTCAATGTGCTAAAAATATTTCAACATACGGCTATTATGCATTACAATATAAGTAAGGATTCATTGGGGCTTGTATTGAACTCATGGGTGGCACACCAATTGGACGCATTCCACTAATTTCCTATTCGCTTGCGTTCTTAACGAATACCATCAGTTAGTTTAGTTGACTTAGCTGAATGTTCTATGAGTACACACTGCGATTCTTTTTTTTCTTTTCTGCTCGCTTATATAAGCAACCGTAAGGTCAACCATCTACATTGATGAAAGATGAAACTCATGGAACTGTCATCAGGAGTAGTTGTCTATTCATGGTCACCAAATTATCTTGAGTACATGTTCTTCATTCAAACAACAAGTTCAATCTTGTAACTGTGAATAAGATGTTCTATTTCAGATATAAATTATTTATAGATTGCAAAATTCACGAAAAAGATAACAACGACAACAAGTAAGTTGCTTGAAAAAGAGATCGATTTTAATCAGGATATTTTTTATTTATGGAATAAAGTATTAGTAAGGACGTTTATGATGAAAAAAGACGACATTGTATGTGTTGAGTTTATCAAAGAAAGAACAGCTGTTCATGTTCAACCAATCAAACAGAATGTGCGACATTAACCTCGTGATACTCATTGTCTGTGGGGATTACAAATTATAATTTCAGATTTACTTTGCTGAAACGTACATCTTAATCTGAGAATAGCATAATCTATAAACTCCGATGCTTTTTTGAACTATAACACTAACCGTTTGACAAGAATTGTATTTCAAAATGTTCGCTTTACAGCATCTTGAGTGTTTTTTTTTCTTACAGATAGACTCTCTTATCCTATCTTTGCGTAGTACTTATTTAGTTCATACTTTTCTGTGTCGCTGTATACACTCCCCTCTGCTTCTTTACCTCTATGAAGATAAAACTGTTCTGCCCATACAGCTGTCAGCTTACATCTATCACAAGCAAAATAAATCAGAGAATGTGTTTAGATGCATACGAGCACGAAAAAGTCAAATACAATTGTATAGCTCATCTATATGCGATATACCATGCGTTTCTTTTCCTCTCTCTCTCTCTCCTATACACAACATAACCACTATGTACTTTGACTTTATATCGTTCACAGAACGAAAAAAGAAATTGGACTAGACGTATGATACAAAGCGTGTTTCTGCATTTGCTAGTATCGACATCATATAACAATATACTCGAATGGCTCCATATACTTTCGAACTATTCGCACCTTACAACAAACAAGCTGGCCTTCGACTCAAAAATGCAAATGCCAGAATGTTTGTACGTATCACTACTGCATCTTCTTCACTATCTCTCTCCTTTCAACACTTTTCTTCAGGGTCTCGACATTCCCATGGAACTCAACCCAGATGATGGATATTGGCGTGTTACTCTTGATCTAGCTGACGGTAACACTCTGCTTCTCGTCTCATCCACTCTATACTAAACTCTCTCTTTTCAGGCATCTACCACTATCAGTTCAAAGTCGTTACCCGATCATGGTTCGAAGTCGAGCCAGAGCCTGCTCTTCCTGACTATATCGACGACGAGACCAAAAGTAACTAGTCAACATTTTCACCACGACCTTCTTCACCTTCTATTCACTGTCTATAGGTGTCGACGAAAACGAACAGATTCGAAAGACCTATCGCGAAGAACACGAGAAACTCGTACAGCAAGTGAAAGAAAGAAACCAGAAACGAGAAGAAGAAATCACCTTCACCGAAGTGTGGTACACTTTTGTTGATCCATATGCAACCGAAGTAGATGAGCGTGGCTCGGACGATGCTTTTCGATCAGTGGGCATTCTAATTTTCAAGAATGGTTTGTAGTTCACTGTTGATAACGATATCAAGTGATATGTATGTGTTTTGATAGGAAAGCGGATCGTGGATGAGTACGAGTGGAAATACGATAACTATGTTCCTTTGGCTGGAAACGACAAGCTGATCATCTATGAGATTCACATAGGTGATTTTCAAGATCGTTTCAGAGATGTGACAGAGAAGATGGAGTATTTTGTGAGTCTGGGTATCACAGCTGGTAAGTGCGATCGAAGAAGATTGAGAGATATGAGTTGTGAAGGAAATACTTTAGTGGAAATCATGCCAATCAAAGAATATCCAGGACAAATCGGATGGGGATACACACCAAGGTATCATTTCGCTATTCAGAGCACATACGGTACAACCGCAGAGCTGAAAGAAATGATAGATACATTTCATGAACATGGTATTCGCGTGATTATGGATGGTGTTTACAATCATGTAAGTATTAATGCTGAATGTTGTCGAATTTTGACGAAAACTGAAACTGTTTGAAAGGGATAAACTTATAATCCAGAATGCGGAGTCGTTTCGAAAATGAAATATTTACAGACTATCTATACTCGACGTATTATTTCATTCACAATAATTTTGTTCTATCTACTTATTAGAAGGAGCACAGCATCATGATATTTACAATTTCTCTTCGTTCAAATCAACGAACGATTTTGATGCGTAAGACAAAACAGAGATATGCATCCTACCCCCTCTTTTCAAGGTTCAAAAACGGAACAATTCTTTACATTATAATAAAATTCTAACCTCAGATGAATGAACAATTGTTTTGACGTGATAAATCTCACTGAATTTATTTTAGTGTGACGTATCGGCACCATATACTGCAATCGATCATGATTATTGGTAATTGAAATAAATCTATGAATTCTAATGCAAATAAAAATATACTGTTTTTGTCATTGAATAGGTTTCTTCATGAACCAAAAGATCGTGTATGGTGTTGGGGACCTGTAAGCACTGACCAATATTCATCAAGAAATGTCTATTATGTTTCTTTCTAGGAATGGAATTTTGAAAAATATGATGAAAAATATAAAATTTGGCCCGCAAGAAAATATGTTGGTGATTCTATTAGATACTTCATCAATGAATTTCATATTGATGGTAAGTGATTGTTCTTCATTATCTGGCGAGCATGATTGCCAAACTTACACTCCATTTCAAAGGTATTCGCTTCGACGCAGCGACCCAAATTGCGAATGATGAATTTTTGAAAGTAGTCGTTCAACAATCCAAACAACAAGCACGTGAACGGTAATGTATTTCACCTTACGTTCATATTGTTGTACGCTTAATCTGATTGCTTTTTTCTAGTGGATTCGGCGCAGAATTCTACTGCGTCGGGGAATACCTTCCTGACAAACCTGAGTATGTCATATCCAACGATGGACCTATGGATGGTATATGGCATGATAGTTTCTATTGGAAAATTCGAGAAGCAATGGTCGCTGATACAGTAAATTGGAACGATTTGAAAGACGTTATCGATCCTCGACGACAAGGATATAAAAACACTTGGGATGTTGTCAATTATCAATCAAATCATGATCATGATCGTCTGCTAGTTGACCTTGGTGAGTAGACATCTCAGAATAATGTCTGAAAATATCCTCGACATGTAGGCAAAGAACATCAAATCTTTGACGAAGATGCATTTCGTCGCGTTCGTATGGCATTTGCAATCCAGGCAACATCATTCGGTTTAATGATGATTTGGATGGGAGCTGAGTTTGGTGAATACAAAGAAAAGACGCCTGGTATCGCTAAACTCGATTGGTCATTGATTGAAGACCGTGAGGACAATTCGAACGCGTTAAACAAGAAACAATTACAATATTACAAAGATGTCATTCAATTACATAAACTTAACTTGGCTCTAACAGCTCAGAATCTAGAATTTATCTTCGAAGAAGAAAATGATCAAATCATGGCTTGGCATCGATGGAATTCAGTCGTTCACGATCCTCATGCGGAAGGTAATCATGTCATAGTTGTATGCAACTGGGCATCCAAAACTTACGAGAAATACGAGGTTTTAAACATACCACGAAATGGTCATTGGTATGACTGGCTAAATGATGATAAAGAATATCTCGTGGAAAATAACAAACTCATCATCGATGATTTCGTCGACCATACTGTTCGAGTTTTTGTGTACCAAATAAAAAAATGTGTAGAGTTAAAACGAGTCTCCAGTTGATATTCGCATCAGTATTTTGATGTATATACGTATTTTGAAAAGATTTATAAAAATATAAAATGTTCTTAACTTTTGTGTGCATTCAAATTCCTTTTTTTCTGTCATTGTATAAGCAGCTGTAGCACAATTTTATATGTGTACATTCGCAAATAAAATCGATCTATTCATGTTTAAAGCGAATACCAATGATAGAAATAACCTGCTTGAGTTTTCAATTACTGCTTCGCTTCTTATGATAAACTTACACCGGTGATTCTTCGTTGTATAACCATTGCATTTTATTTCTTGCAACTCTATCTCATAAATCAAGAAGTACTACGAAATAAAACAGTCTGAGTAATTGAAAGCCAGTCATTGTCTTAGTACAGATAAGATTTTATTTCGATGCTGATGGTTTCGAAGTAGGAAAACCGGAACAAACAACTGGACTTTGAGCGCCATGTTCCAAACAACATTGCTTCAATTTATCCAAAACCTTTTCACATTTATCTGGATTATACAAATGCTCTAAAATGGAATTTACAAGTCAGCTGGATGATCAACTTCACTCTCTTACTGTCGAGACATGTTTGCAATTCACAAGCAAAGTTTTGACAAAATTCTGATTGTTTCCTATTGGAATTAGACATATCAATTTTGCTTTTCTAAACTGAATGAATGACTGATGAGATGTAAAAAACGATTCATTTGGATGGATGATGTTATGATCAACCGAAGAATCATAAAAACTTTCGATAGATGTCGGATTTCTACTGTTCGATTGCAATTTCACTCTTGAAATTTTAATCATCTTCCGTACTAACTCTATTTTCACACTTACACATGAGAAATAAATTTCAAAGAAAAACATCATATGGTACTTTCAGTGCATCTGAGACGCATCAATGAATACTCACGTCAGAATAATCTCAAAGTCTCCACTGTTGATTTTTTTCTGATACTTTGAAAACATGATAGGGAACTTTCATGAGAGTATTATAGTCGAACAAAATAAGCCTTGGATGAATGCACTTCAGCATAGTCAATAGACTTGTCTGTGAATTTTTAATAACTATTAATTCTTTTTTTTCTTTCTTTTCCTTTGATAAATACGAAGAAAACATCATCATGGACTTTTTTTCTGACTTTCTTCCCAGTTTCCTTTTCTTCTTACTTATACAACTGTCAAACGGCTTCGTAATCATCAATTTATTTTCTTGCCCACCCTTGTCACACATCCATCCATCCGGCGACACTTGTCAATTCTTACGAAGAATAATAGAAGTTGAAAATCTATTCCACGAAAATAACTTGTCGTCATACTGAAACCTGTCATTATATTAATCGAAAAATGTTTGGGCATCAATGTTTCCGTTCGTCATTTATTTGTCTTATTAACGAAGATGAAGTATGACAGCAAGTTCTATGTTTGAACGTGTCAATGATTACAGCTGTTCGTTCCCATGCGAGAAAACAGCAACAATAGATGGGAAAACTTGTTATAAATTTTATCAACTTGAATTACAACAATTATTCAAACAGGACTATTTTCAACAGAAATTAGATGCCAATTGTTCGAAGGGAATAAGTCAACGTTCAAGAATGGAACGTCAACGTGAGAAAACTAAATTGCAGGCAAGATTTTCCGACGGTGAGAAGCGATCAAACAGTTTCTTATCAATGAGCAATCGCGTATCAAAGGAAACTGTTCCAGTTACTCTTCCCGCATCGAACAATTCAACAGAATCGCGATCGAAATATCTCTTCAAAACCAAACAATCATCGCCTTGAGTTGTTCTATCGTTTTATTTTAGGAAACGATTTCGTTTTTAGAGCAACTAGACATTATTCTATGACAAATTCTTCATCTACGAAGCAAAAAACTTACTCAATCAAGTCATTGTTGGATCTTCCAATAATCGAAGTCGTTGATGATACTGAAGAACATTTATCATATTCGAATGCATCTTCGTATACTCAAGTTTTATCATCAACACAAGATCACAGTCATGAGAATGATCAGTATGCTCAACAAGTCATTCTGAAGACAATCATGTCGCATTTGAGCTCATCCACAACGGCGGAAGTTTCTAAATGGAATGTATACCGTGATTTTCATGAAAAATTTTCATTGAGCACATCTCCCAGTGTGTACCGAAATTTCGAACGAATTATTCTTTAACATCGCACTCTTCTCATGTAACAAAACAAATGAACTGATGAATTTGTATTTTTCACTATAAAAAAATAGTCTTCTACGCGGATAAATCGATGTCATTTTCGAAGCTTAAGAATAATTCTTTACTTACATTGACTTTCGATATCGAAAGCGATTGATTACATAAAATTAAGATACCTGAGTTGATCCCTGTCATTTTAAGCATGTAAGTACACACAGACAGAGGAGAACGAGAGAAAATGTTTGTTAACTTACTGGTCATCAGTGACGTTCTTTTACTCTTATGTTCAGTGTGTTCAATTGTTCAAGTTACGAGTTGATTACCGAGAATGATTAGATCACTTCTGCTTTCTGTTCAACTTCTATCTATGATGATAAAGTTGCATTATGGACAAGATACATTCGATTGTACTGGTTATGAAGATGATTCGTTTCATCCCGTCTATGATGCTGATGATTGTCGACATTACTGGCATTGTATTTATGTTGATACAGTTTACATGCATGCTGTCAAACGTGTTTGTCCAGCTGGAACGGAATTCGATGTTACATTAAAACAATGTGAAACATCAAGTCTAGTAAGTGCCAAGAAAAATGAATTGTACTGTTTTTCAAGATGAAATATTCATTGAATAGGTAGATTGTCAGCCACCTAAATCACCGCATTTACCCAGAACAACTTCAACAACGAAAGCATGGAAACTGATTTATTCACAGTTACTTTCACGAAAGCGATGGAGAGTGACCATGCCGTCGGTGGTGACTGTAGAAAGATATCCCGTATTTGTTTCAGAGGATCCGTTAGAAAACGAAATGACGACAATGATTGTACCTGAACCAGAAACAACTGAACAAGTTCGTTGGGCATCCGTTACTCTACCCCAACCAACAACTGCATTTTCAATCGAAGAAGTACAGTTGACAAAACAGAAGACTGTTTCCATTTGAAATCTTTGTTCATATTTCAGCTTTCAAAAAATCTCAATGCTTTAGTATTAAATAATCGTCCGCGAAAACAGAAAAAAGTAGGTGGACCACGACTTCTGCAAATAGGCGAACCGGAAAACGAAGCACAAATGTATAAAACAACTACAAAACAACGAACAAGGCGAACACGTCCGACAACATTGACTCAACCATCAACTGGATTACCATCAACAACATTTCTCATAACAACTGAAAGCTCAACGGCATCACCAATCACAACTACGATTACCACCACCACAACTATCACTACTAGTACTACTCAGCCTTTAACAGCTAGCACATCTCTCGAAATATCGACCACGTCAGTAACAACTTTGATTACACAACCGGAATCAACAATAAACATTGCTTCACAATCACGACCCAACCGACGACGACAAAACATGACTCTGTATATTCTAACAAGTGATGAACATAAAATTCGACGATTCTCTGTCAATCATACACGCGGAATCTTAGTCAATTGTAATCAATTACGACGCCGATTATTAGGTCGTCGTCGTTTACGAGATGTACTTCACACAACAACCAATCAAATATCTACAACGAAATACTCGTCGATCTCATCAGTTAAAACGTTTCGGTTGAAAACCATCATATTCATCTTTCTCTTGACAAACTTCATCATAAATACGTAGATAGTCTTATATTTCCTTCGAAAAAAAATTGAAAAAAAAGAGTATAGTGTGTATATATGTGTATGTGAGTGCGTATTTATTGTTCTGTTAATAACGAATTTAATATCAATGGTAGACAAACGAAACTAAATGAAATAAACAAGAAATAATTAGGAGAAAATAATCTAAAGAATTACGAACTTTGAAGAAACGTTTTACTCTTGATGAGGACAAGCCAATGTTTTCGATCTAAAATAGAATTGACTTCGAAAATGAATTCTATTTTGTAACGTTGTTTGTTCTCCTACCGGCTCAAGCTCCATATATGATGCTTAATTAGTTGTTTTTCACAGATTTCGCATGGAACACGTTGATGATTACGAGCGTGACCTAGTTGTCGTGAAGCCGATGCTGATCGACCTATATTACATCCTGCTGGTCGTTTGAAAATGATCTGTTGTTTCTTTGGCACGCCGTAGCCAACCATCGGTTGTTTTAAAACATTATTCAAAATTTTCATTGCTGATTCGCGTTCTATACAATACAATGATAAAGAAGTTTCCATTAGAATTCAATAGCATTTCATTACCTTGATCACTCGAATTGCGAATCCAAACACCGAATTCATTTGCATTTCGTGAGTTTGTTGACGGTGTCGATTGTTGATTACAGTAAGCAACCTAAATGTTTCTTTTGAGTGAAAATAAAGAATGAGTGATGAAATTTACTCACAGTAGAATCATGTTGACGATCGGATGATATTGGTGGAATGCGATAGTAAGATTGATCCGATCTTTTCTCGCAATATGGTTTACAATTTTTATAATATTCTTCTTGTGCGGCATCAGAAATATCTAATGCTTCGATGTATTCTTCAGGTAAATCCTCATTGTTATTAGTTTGTTCTATTAGCGTTGATTGTTCATAATCAGCTGCTCGATTTTCATCACCGGCATCGCCTGATTCTTCATTTGTTGATGGTGGTTGATTCTGTGATGCTTGTTCTTCGTCGTATTGAGGAGCATCCGATGGTTTAACATACTCTTCTTGTTCGTTGTCTGGATTGACTTCGAGATGTGGTGGATAATTGTCCAAAGATTGATGATATCGATGTTTTTCTAATCTATGGCGTGCAGCACGTAATTCTGGTGGTGTTGGAGGAATATTGAATTCAAGAAAATGTCCACGATCATTCACTTGTTTCTTTCGGCGATGCGGAACATTCGAGCCCGATTGATCGTTTGACGAGGATGGTTGTTGTTCAGCATATGCATATGATGCTGATGTTCCACGAGATAAAGTCTGAGGAATTTTATATTGACCTAAACGTTGCTTAGCGTCGGCAACTTGAGGAGGTGTATCCGGAGTTGGATATGTAAGCCAATGCCGGTATTGATCATCATTTATATCGATCATGTGTTTTTCTTTATCTTCTTTTGGATTTCGTCGAACTTTCATTGGTCCTATTCAACAAAGAAACGTATTAGTTCATACACTCAACAACTCTAGTTCTAACGGCAGATATTTCTAATTATCTGTATGATATAATTCTCTGCATAAAGAATAATTGAGAATATTTCCTCTCATAGTGCTCAAAGCTTTTGTCCGAGAAACATGGTATGTATCTCAAGTACTTAAAAGTAACTGTTATTACCTCGTTGATCAAACTGTGCTGATGGTAAACGTTGTACGGACGTTGAATCATAGTTAGGCTCCTAAAATTTCTCATCATAGAGCGATTTTTGCAAAATGTGAACTAACTCGATAGGCTGGTTTTTGACATTCGGCAGCAAAAGTAGGTTTTTCTTCCGAAAAAGCAGGTAATGTTTTCGAACGTGTTAATTGGTAAGCTGCAGGCGGTTGCTCTCGATATTCCTCGTTATTTTTCTCGAGGAAAATAATTCGTGGCGTTGATTGTTCGTCGCTGAACGATTGTACAAAATACGGATTCTTTCGAAATAATTTCATTTGTTGTTGTTGTTTTCGCAATTGCTTTTGATATTCTTGACCATATGGCGAAAGTTTCTTTTGTGTATTACTAGATGTTCCATATGTTCTATTTTTGAATGTATCGCTGTATGTTGTAGTCGGTGGTTTCCATCCCAGAGGATCATGAAGGAGCGGTTGAAACAGTGCCGACGACATCTTCGTACGTCTACGAAATCAAGAATGATAGAGCACAAAGAAATATATAATTGCGAATTCTTTTCTTTCTCAAAGACTAAAAGAGTAAAACGAATAATTGGTTTTTTTCGTTTTCGACACATGTAGAAAATGGTTACCGAAAAACGACGAATGGTCGTTATGGATTGATTCGCTGACAAAATCACTTTCCCCTATGTCTTAAATTCTGTTTTTCTGCTACTAATTGAAAAAGAGTTAGAATAACAATAATAGAAACAGTCGAATGCATTACTATCAACACCAGCAAGACAAGAGAAGAACGATTCGTGTGAGTAACGACGCATTTTTTCTTTTTCAGTAAACTGATTCTTTTACTTGATCGTGAGGCAATGATGTTAGTCGGCCTCGGTTTTGTTTTCACAGTAAACGATTAAACAAACAGAGGCAACAGGCAAAGTAGATTTCATCATTAAGATACTGACGTGTTATGAATGACAATTTCAACTCAAAAACATCTGATTTTGTTTCTTTTCGAACTACACACACTACTCGATCAAAACGAGACTTTGTTCTTACTGACTCAGATCAATTGGTATCAGAAGATTTCTATTGAAAATAATAGAATAAGCACACGTACATACAGAGCATGAAACATTACTGTTAACAAAACAACAAGGCCATTGAAAAAGTCAGAAAATTAAAACTTTTATAAAACAAACATTTCATGTTTATCTGAAGAAGAAGAAGAAGAGAAGGAAAGAGATGTGAAATATTTCAATTGTGGATCAACATCCAGCTCGATGCCATTGATGAATATCTCGATAAAATCGGTGTTCCTTGCTATTTTGCATGTTCAACCTCATACATAACTCACACATACGTATGGGTTCAAGATCGTACGTTTGATAGAAGATTTGATATTGACTCATCCATTGGAAATATTCTCGATAGAGAAAATAATCATTAGAAACTTCGTGCAAATATTCTCCTAAGTGTTTCGCCGACTGGAAATCATCGACATGGATAAACGCCGACTTGGGTATCCCTAAATCTAAATACGATTGTTTATTTGGCCCAAAGACAATCGGAATCATTCCATAATAAAGTGCACGCCAGAATTTCTCCGTTATATAATCTGTACATGTTTGCGATTCAAATGCTAAGTAGAATAACGCAAGTCGGGATTGGTCAAATTCACATCGATCATTCTTTTGACATTTTGCTTCATCGCTGCCATCAATACACAAGCCGAAAGCACGAACTGGAAAATAGTATTGCAATTGTTTATAATAGTTCAAACGAGCTTTGGGTTCGCAGTTTGAAACGAACCAAAGAGCATGTTTCGAACGATAACGAAAATTCGTGAGAATGTGATTTTCTAAAACAAAATCTGTGATGATGACATTCCGATTAGTAAGTATATAAAGAAAATCTGATGAAAGAATCAAATCTGACATATTTGTGGAATGAAGAATGTCATTGGAATCATCCGGAACCAACAAACCATATGTTCCAATAGATACTTCAGAATCTTGCCGGAAACTAAGAGTCCAATTGAAGTAATAATCGTTCAGATGTTTCAATTGACGATTCGCTTCATCGATCCACAGAATCCAAATATCGTAAGGAGAACGGACTTTTAATTTCGTATGCATCTCATCTTTGTTAATGTCGACATGATGGAAAATACTCGCGCGACGATGATTTTCATGATTTGTCGAGGGATTTTTACATTTCCATTGACAATTTTTGTACGGGCATTCACGATGAAAGATCTGCGTTGATGAGCAAAATTTCGGTTGTTGAAAAACCTAAAGAAAAATGTTTATCGAAACAAAATTTAACTGTAATTCTTTTGCATACCGGTGTTTCTTCATATATGTCATAAGTATTTTGTAGTGTGCTAGATTCAGTTTCAACCCAACGAGATTTCTCTATGTTTTTCATATCTTTTTCATAGAGTTTATTGGTTTTCTTGTGATAAACATGATAGAATATATTTGTCCAATTCAGATCATTTCGTTTCCGTTGTTTATCGAGTAATTCGATCTGTTCGATTTTTTGTTTATCAGTTAATAATCTATCGAGATTATGTAATTTTCGCCAAAATGCGATTTCAACTGGGTTTTTGATCGCGGAAATACTCGGCGTTTTGAAAGTTAAACGAAATTCCAATAGAAGTAAAAAGATGATCAATAATAAACAAACTCGTACGATGACGAAACGCACACGAGATATTCGTAAATACATTCAACAGTATCGGTGAAATAAAACGACAAAGAATCGCTCTCGACGTTTCATTATTATCTAGAAGAATGAAAAACAATTCCTTCGGACGACAATTGATATCAATATTAATTAAAAAATCATTATTTCCGTTTTGTTCTCTCATTCATATGTTTGTATACGTATCCTCAGAGATAACAAAGGAAAAAGAAGACTCAGTCTCAGCTGTCATCACATAAATACATTCATTATCGAACGACGGTCACATTGGACTTGATCGAATGAAAAATAATACATTCAAATCAATTTTAGTTTCTCCGCAGGAAACTGACTTCAATGATGCCAAGAAGAAAAAGTTGCAACTTACCAGTCGCATCTCAAATGAGGAAAACATCTGGCGCAAGTAGCGAAATTTCGAATGATGATGCTTTGTTAATCAAGAAGTCTTGATCATTCGACAGTACTCTTCCTTTCTTCTGTTTTCTAGACAGTAACATTAATAGAACGCAATATAAAAAAAAAACGTGCTAGCATTCTCATCCGCGCGATCCTATTTTTCTTCTCGTTGGCTATGTTCGAGCGTTCTTCTTTTTTTCAGAAGCGCAAGCAAAATAGAGAAGACGAACATCGTGGCACACGGAAGAAGTCCTAGATATAATAATTATATCTTTCTAGTATCGTAGGGAGTCCATCAAATGATAAGATGGAAGAAAAGAAGGAGAAAAAAGAAAAAGGATTGAGAGGAACCCAGCTGAGAGACAGTGAAATGCAATTACACTCATTTGTCGCACTAAATTGATGACGATCGAGAATTGCTTGTGCAACTATTCAATGGAATCAAGGGAAAGCAAATGTCTCGATTCTTGCTACTTTTCAATAATTGTAGAAAGAGATTTTTCAAAATGATGAATGTATGTACATTTGCATATTTACTTTATTTTGACATCAACTCTTCCGGACGATTTGTTAGACATCACAACATCGTCGTATGAGTTATTTCTTGACTAATATCATTTGAGAACATGACTCTGTCGAGTGGCGATCGAAGTAATGTTATTCGACATGGAAAAAATGGAGATGTTTCAAATAATAATCATGCCGTTAGGCAAAATAAACATGTTTTCAATTATTCGTAACTAATAGAATATTTCATTTCGTCTATAATTAATTCTCTCGAAGACCTTCGACATGGAAATGTTTGTTATGGAATAGTATTCATTTCTCATAAACAAAAGAATCAAATGATTCCATATGGATTCATATCGATGACAGAAATAAATCTCAACAGAAGAAAAAATGCTCCATTCAATAATAAATGACTTCGCAACTGTCGAATTCTTTGTTCGATTAATTTTCTGACACAATTCATCATCTTTTATTCGAGAAAGAAAAACGACAGATATCTTTTCTCGTCGCCCGACAATTACATCAGACAGAAGAAGAAGAGGAGAAATGGGAGACATGTCGTGTTTAGTTGTGAATGACGAACAAGGAAGTACTTGTAAATTAGTAGGCAAGAGAACCGAGATTCACGAATGCCTAAATAAAAACGGAAACTGTCTTTTGTTCTAATTAGAATCAAAATAGACTCAACAGGTCTTCAAAATGCAACAATATCTCTCCTTTTGAAATGATTATCTGGGCAAATGAAACAAATAGACGAACGTATCGTTTTTCATTCGAACTTTTGTCTGTTTTCTAAGTTTGGAATGTTCTTATTCTTAATTTCACCACCTGATCTCGAACGAATGAGTTCTATGCTTTTATATTCATGATTATTAATCAAGACAACTGCAGGCGAGAAAAATGCCTGGAAAGCAACATTTTTATGCCATGTACTTATGTTCATGCAATACACTTCATTGAAATTCAAGAATCTGAATCGAATTCGTCTCTGTATATAAAGCAAACTAGCTAGCCGTTCTTAATTGTTCATCAGTAATTTGGCTAATGCTATTACTTGTCACAAGAGAGAAGACAGTTTTATCGAAGTTAGTAGAACGGCATGAATGAATCAGGCTGATTGATTAGAACAGAAAAAAAAGGATTAGTCTATCGATTGTGATTATTTCCGTTCATTACATTTGAATATGTTGTCCTTTAATCACATCATTCGAATCGCTTTCGTCTGAAGATTTCCAATGAGAAATGAAAGATATATGTACACACTTATTCGATTTCATCATTTCTATTGTAATAGCTGATGTTCATCGGTGCAGGATTTAACCCAAAATACAAAATTATCTTCGAACTTCATCGATATTATTCATTAGGTTTCGTCTTAGTTCGCTTTTTACTTATTTGTTTACTTTTTTTTCGTAAAAACTAATACATTCTATGTTAATAGCTTTGTTTTTTTTGGAGTCAACGCTTTATTCGATGATAAATAACCAGTTTACAAGAACGAAAAGAAGAACGGAAAGAAAAGAAGGGAGACAACGGACAAACTGGTCATAAAGCTGGCAGAGAAGAAAAGGAGACGCATGACTTATGTCTTATGTCTCGTAGAGCAGAGAAGAACACAGAAAAAAAAAAAATTTAAACGTATGGAGAGTGTGGTGGAGGTTAGGTTCGACCGTGTGAAGTTGCATGATAGCGTAGTGGTGGTTTTCTTCGATAAAACTTCGACGTATAAGTGCAGGAACGAGCCGACGTATACATCGATAATCGTCGTTTCTTCGTTCTCGATCAACCGTTTTGTACGTGATTCCGATATAACAATTTTTGTACAGATTCGGCTGACTTAACAGTGATCTAGGTTATCGACGCTAACATTAATAGTGAAGAGAAGAGTGTTGTTTCACGTTGTCGTTAACGTATAAAGCAGAACTGATAGAGTCGGAGAACGAAGATATGTACGTCACATGAAGTCGTTTACTGTCTTCACAAGGAGAGACAGAAGGATGGTTGGATTGTCTTAGAGGTTGTCGTCATAGTCTGTGGGGATGATGTGTTGTCGAGGGAAAAGTCGGTATCAGTAGTCATTTGTCGTTGATCTGTTGTCGATATGTGCATCGACGTAGATAGTCTTGTAACATTGGTGTTGGTGTTTTGTCAAAGTTGATCTGCGATGTCTTGCAGATGTTGTAGGAGCGTTTGGTCTTTGTTGGATGTAGCGGTGGCTATGGATTGTTGGAGCAGTGATGTTGCATAATCTTTGATTCTTGGTATTTTGGTTATCCGATGTATGTATTCGACAGAGGTATAGATCGGCAGGCCAAGAGTAGCGCGGAGCGCTTTGTTTTGGATAATTTGAAGCCGATCCCACACTTTGTCGTTTGCTGTTAGTATTACCGGGTAACCATATGTCATCACTGGTCTTGCAATCGCTTTGAAGATGTTTATCATCGTCTTTTGGTTTGGTTCTTGCGCTGATTTGGCTAAGTATCGTAGAAGACTGATGCGTCCAGCCATTTTCGTTTCGAGATGTTGGAGATGGTTTCTCCACTTCAGTTGTTTGTCGATAATCACACCCAAGTATCGGGTTGCATCCAGAGGTTTGATGATAGTATTTTCGACTTTGACTTCTACTGGATGCTTGTATTTCTTTCTTGGGTGAAGTCTGAAGTGGATCATCTCTGTCTTCGTTGGCTGTAATTTCAGTTTCCACGATTTGCACCAACTTTCAAATGCATCAATGGATTGCTGTAGTCTTTGTGTGAGACTGGTCAGCGTGTTCGATGTTGTCCATAGAGCAGTGTCGTCAGCGAAGAGACCATGTTCCGTGTGCGGTGGTATATCGTTCATCGAGTCTGCCGTATAGATGATGTAAAGAAGTGGAGATAACGGCGACCCTTGCGGCGTACCACTCTGCAGCTGGAACGGACGAGATAAATCATTGTCTATTTCGATTGCAGCGGTTCTATTGTGGAGAAAAGAGATCAGGTACTTGGTAAGGTATTGCGGGAGGCGAAGATCATGAAGCTTGTATATAAGTCCATCGTGCCAGACTGAATCGAAAGCGGCTTTAATGTCGAAGAAAATGACAGCGGAGTGCTGTCTTATTCCGGGCCGATGTAGTTTGCTCCTTGCGAAGCGTTCAAGTCGGACGATGTTGTACAATGTGCTCTTTTTCGCACGGAATCCTGCCTGGTGTTCTGGCAGAATGTTTCGACGTTCGATTTCGAGCGTAAGCCTTTGTTTGATGATCTTCTCCAGCAGTTTACCAAGGCAGCTGAGTAGACTGATCGGACGATAACTGGATGGAAGACGCTTTTCCTTCTTCGGTTTCAACAGTAAGATGATATGTGCTTTCTTCCAGATGTCTGGGATATATCCAGCTTCCAGAATCACATTAAACAACGCTATGAGGTGTTGTATAAGCAACTCCGTGTGGTTTTTCAGGCATCTGTTATGCACGTTGTCTGGGCCAGTGGCGCTGTTGCGTAGATGTTTGATGTGCCACTTAACTTCTTTGGCTGAAATCTTTTTCCATCTGGTGGTGGTTGACTGTTGTTGCATACCCTTCACGTTCTTGGTTTGTCTTACAACTTGTTTGTGAAATGGAAGCGTGTCAGACGCTTTGAAGTAGACCTCTTTCTCGAAGTAGTCCGCGAAGAGGTCTGCCTTCTCTTTGCCTGTCGCTGCTGTAATGTTGTTGTACTGCATCGTGCTCGGGTATGTTTGCTTAATCCGTTTGTTGTGAAACTTGCGCACCGTGAGCCATACTTCGTCTGAATACATCTTCTTTCGACAGAGAGATTCCATTAATTGCTTAAACTTGTGCTTTCTGTCGTTTCTAAGTGAGTTAGCTAGCAGAAACTTGGAGTTGTAGTATTGCTGTTTGTCTACGGCTTCTCCAGTCTTCTTCCAACGTCTATATGCTTGGTGTTTGCTTTTGATCAATCGTTGGGTAGCTTCACTCACTTTGAAATTTGTATTCGGCATTGACGCTGTTGGTATGGCTTCATTAGCAGCTGCGGTGATACAGTTGGTGATGTATTCTGCATGCTGGTCGATATCGCAGTGTAGGATTGAGCTTGGCTTGTCCCACTTCTTCAGTTTTTCGTCCAGTGTGTTCCTATACTTCTTCCAGTTGGCTCTTTTGAAGTTGAACGATAATCGTGGTGACGGGGCGTTGGCTTCCATTTTGATTGGAATATCGAAGGTTAATGGCTTGTGTCCACTAAGAAGACCTAATGTTGGGTGCGTTTCGACATTTGAGATGAATGAAAAAAGTGGTTGGCTGGCTAATATCCAGTCCAGCTTTTCTTCATAGTCGTTCTTCTCGAATGTGGTAATTACATCGTCGACACAATTCAGTAAGCCTTCGTTTATCAGTTCTTGAAGTTGTTTGCCCTTCGCGTTCGTTCTTCTGGATCCCATCTGGAGAAGTGCTGCGTTTAGATCTCCAACAATAATGCAGTCATGGTTGATGTTGTACAGCTCGTGGAATAGGTCGATGTTTAGTCTTGCTCGGGGAGGGACGTATATCGACGCTATCAAGATGGATTTGAATGTTTTTGCTTCTAGTTGGACTGCTATCAGCTCATTTTCTTGTGATGTCTTGCAGATCAGTTCTCGACATTTGATTTGCTGTTTCACTGCAAGTAATACTCCACCACCAGGTTTACCTACTCGGTCGTTTCTGAAAATGTTGTAGCCTTTCAGAGCGAACTGGCATTCGCACTTCAGATTAGTTTCATTTACGGAAATGACGTCGTATTGGGAGAATCTGGCCAAGAGTTCATCGCGGTGTTTGATGATAGAGGTGGCATTAATATGGCACACTCTAATCATCGTCGTTGGAGATTTTGAGGTCTTTGTTTTCGCCAGTCGAAGTATCGAAGGAGCTGTTGACTTCTCCAATCTTTCGTTTCGTTGGATCATTCTGTTTGTCGGTTGTTGTAGTGTCTGTTGTATTGTTGCGCTTTCCTTTAGCTGTTTGACTCTCTTTCGAGGCGTCAACCTGGCTGCTTTGCGCTAAAATCTTTGCGTTGTCTTTTGTTGTAGTCGTTGTTGTCGGCTTTGTCGTCTTCGTCTGTGGTTTAGTCGTGGTTGCTGGATTCGTCGTGGTCAGTGAGTCGGTGGTGGTTGTTAAGGTTGACGTGGTCGATTCGCTGGATGAGACAAGCTTTTCCAGCTTTTCGACTTTTTGTTGAAGGGTGATGAGAATTCGGTTGGTTGTCTCTTCGATGATCTTCTCCATTTGGCTGCTAAGCATGGTGATGATCTCGTCGAGAAAGTCCTTGGTTATTTGTGGTTTCTGCGGCTGTTGTGAGTTTTGGAGGGGTGGGAACTCGGTGCTGTTGTGAACGGCCGGAGCCCAGGCGTTGGGTTGACGTGCAGTAATGTATTGGTTGACCAAGTTTTGCGCTTTTTTCTCTTGCTCCTTGTATTTTGGGCAATCTACAGATGAGGCGAGATGGTTGCCGTTGCAGTTGCAACATTTGTACGTATCTGCAGGTGCTGAGCATTGGTCAAGTCGATGATTGTCACCGCATCGTGCACACACCTGTTGTTTGGTTTTGCAGTACTTTGCTATGTGGTTATATTGCATACAGATATAACATTGTACTGGTTTTGTATTTTGTGTGGCTGGCTCGGCTGGAAAATGCATTGAGTCCACTTGTAAACCAGTGTGGACGAATGTATTTCGATTTTCGGCATCGGCGAACATTACCTTCATTGTTCGTGTCGGAGTGTTGCCGTCTTTGCTTGTTAATCGCGTAACATTCGTCGCGTCGAGACCAAGGTCTTTGAGCGCTGCCATGATGCGATCTTCGGGGATTTCGAGGTCAACTCTCTTGACGAAAGCAACCTTTTCGGTGTCTTTGATCCGTTGGATGGACCGTGGCACGAACAGCTTGGCGGTGGTTTGGTTGTTTGTGGCGAGGACAGCTGGAAGGTCGTTCAGTAGCCGGTTGAAAGATTTCACGTCATATGCGTATAGAGTGAAGGTTCCTGTGCGGCTAAGTTGAATATCGTTCAGCTTGATGTCGCTCATGTGCTGCTTGATTATGTCGTTAAGCTGCATCTTATTTAATTTTGTGTTTTCGAGGATGAGAGGAGCAATCGTGAATTTTGGTTGGATGGTGTTTCTGGCTAGTCGGGTGTTTTGTGGAGTCGAAACAATGGGCGCGACGGGTGAGTGACGTGGTCCATTGTCTAGGCTCTGATGTTGTGCCCTTGCGCGTGAGCGCCCACCTCTTGCCTTTGCAGGCATGGATCAGATCAAAAACTTGTTTTTTGCTCGTGCAGGAGATTTGGTTGATTATAAATTAAGTTTAATTGCTGAAAGATGATGGCGAGACCGAGAGAGAAGGTTCTTTGTGTGAACCGAAGGTAGTCAAAGTTTACGTGTATAAACGAAAGAGAACGTGACTACTCGCTAGTTCGTCAGAGAGGGGAATGTAATAGCTTTGTTGATGCTACTTATCCAATTACTCTCTATGTGACATACCATTCGATATCGACACATTCGATTAGACATCACTCATCACATTCCACATAGTTACATGCTTGATCAATTCATTGCCTACTCGTTTTTTCCAATCGACGATATTGATCCGCATGAAATGAACAAAAATGTGACATTTCAACACGAATGAATGATTTATTAATTGGAAGTTTTTACTTGTCCAATCTTTTTCTTCTATTTATCTAGTCATAACGAAAACATGACTGGAAAATGATACAGTTCAAATAAAATTTCCTCTGATTCTCTTTAATAGTTATCTCCGATCGGAAACGAACTCTTGCTGTATGTTCATTTCCAATCGAGTGAACTGAACCTGATGACGGCGGGCATCCTTTCACTTAAAAGCGTTTCCTGTGCTTATCAAACAAGTGCATATGCAAAATAATTGATTTCTTTCTACTCTTGACCTATGCCGATCGTTCTTTCTTCTTTCTATTGTCTTGATCATAATAGTAAATCTTTTTTCCCACATTCTACTAATCATATCCATCGTTCTATCTTCTACTTCATAATTAGTTGAACAAACAAGATCAAAGAGATAATGAAAAACAAGAACATTGTGTACAATGTTAAATTAAAAATTTGCTCCGCCTGATTCTCATTCGATTCGAAGCAGATGGTATCGAAGTACAACTAACTCTCTTTATCATACCGACATGATATCTTTCTAATGTCAAATTCAATTTATTGCAAACATTGTCAACTCATCGAATATCCATGTCGAACTGCATTTTGGACATCGATGTGATCGCACATTTTTTCATACTGGATAAGTATGATGATCATCACGTGATAAAAAAGAATGTGTGCAATTTTTTGGGAAGAAAATCTATTGAAATGTATATTTAATAACGTGTTATAAACGTGATGAAAACGATTAGCGTAGTATATTTGTCGTGTATGTTATTCATCAGATGGATGATGATGATGATGACAATTGTACGATACGAGACGAGAAGGAAAAGAGAGTAACCAATGACAATCCACTTGTTATACCTTTTTCTTTTCTTTCTTTTTTCGTTCGTTCGCTCACCTCTGTTCATTCAAACATATAAAATCGTCAACATCAACATTCATTCTTCATTCAAACTGTTTTCTTCAATCATACCAATGACACGAACATCATCAAAAAAAGCAAAGACTACTCAAATGGAATTGAAAAAACTCAAATCATTATTACCATCATTACAACAAAAGTCTTCATCGTCACCGATGGAAATCGTTATGGAAACTATTCGTTACATTCGACAACTCGAAGATCAATTAATCGATCGATTTCAATTGGATCTATCCTCGTCACAATCATCATTCTCCGATGTCTCAATGAATTCATCTTTATCATCATCGATTCCATTGCAAGATATCGGAAATAGTAACTGAACGTTTTCTTATAACAGTTGTCTACTCTCTGTACATACTTTTTTTTTTCAAATACATTCCGATTGAAAGACAAGATTTTTTTGTTTGATTATAATGAAAAGAATGTTTCTTTGAACAATCCGACGGTTACATCAAAATCGATATCTGATTGAAGGTGATGATTGTCACCTTATTGTGTGAGTCCTATCTGATTTGCGATTTCTTTTCACATGATCATAAATGAAACAATCTGTTGATCGATGTAATCATCAAACAAGAAGAAAGGAAGGAAATTACCGAACGAAACTAATAAAAACGAATTTTTCTATGGGAAAGAGCGGAACAAATATTCTTTTCAATCGATTCATTGTGATAATGTTTATGACACTTTACTACAAAGAAAGAACAATAACCATTTCGCTTGATTTCGACATACAATGGAACATTATTTTCCCACCGATTCGCTCTACTTCATCTCGATCTGAACAGCATGAAACTTGTATACATTCAGGTGCTAATCATCATTATAATCATATGCCTGTACTTGATACCAGCACATATTTTTCTATTCTTCTCGTCTTAAGTTGAATAGTGTCATGTGCTTTGCTATTCAGGAAGGAGAAAGAGATTGGTCATTCTCGTCCCCCCCTATTTAAATAAGGTAATGAATACTTGACGAAAAAGAAAATGATTCATTTACAATCGATCTACGCCAGTTGAAGTAACCAGTTATTGTTTGCTGATGGTAATGATGTACGGGAAAAGGAAGAGAATGAATTCGAAATTCTAATCATGTTCATTGTTGTTGGTATGCAGTAAACGAAAAGAATGAGAACGGATGTGTTTAGACACAATGACAAGATCATTGCTAATTACTTTTTCGACATGAAAATCAATATTTGTATCTTCTTAATTCGTTACAAACAATCATCATTAATCTTATCGTGTGTTACCCTATTGGAAAATGTCATCCTTCGTGTACATGTTAAAAGCATTTTGATGTTCCACTTGATATTCGCTCCTATCGATATGAATAGAAGTGGCAGAAGTATAAAAATGGAATATATTTACGTCAGAAGTACGAACAAGTACGAATTAGTACGGTCAGGTACAGAGATCGAATGTTTCGGTTTTCGTATAAAGAAATTTGATGATCATGTTTTAAGTTTTAACTGATCTTACGTAAATGCTTGTTCTGGAATGAAAAATGATTGAAAAGCAAACAGTTATGTTGATTATTTCGGATATTTTTCAATGTAATTTTCTCTACGACAAAAAGTCCATCTGAAGCGATCATTTTCGTATCAATTAGCAACATAATGAAAATGTTTATTCTGTACTCAATGACAGTTTCACTATGCGTAAGCTAATTCCACAATCGTCATTTAGGCATTATTTGAAACTCTTTTGCGAAACATAAGTATTGTATAGATCTTGACAGTAATAGCGAATTAATGTTATATTCGTGAAAAGAAAATATCGTATAACACAATACATGTATTCGATTTATGTATTGAAAGTGTACTAATGGAACGCGACACAGGTTAAAACGAGCTTGGCTTTCTTTTCAGTGATATTTTGGACGAATGACACCAACCGCGTACTTTTGTATGTGAATAATATGCAAATACTTGGTGATTTGAAAATTATAATTGTTAGTTGACGATAAAGTGCTTTCTTCGAAGGATTTTAGCTTTGAATTGTTTTTGCGAATATTTTTTTCTAGTAGCTTGAAGATGTAATTAAAATGAAATGATTAGATTTCTTTTCATAAATGAATAACTATTGTAAAACAGAGAAAAGCACTATTCATATAAGATTTTTATTCTTCCAAAACATTACTATTGACCAAGCAATTCTATAAATGTCAATGCACAAAGTTTTTTACATTGGTATTTTCATGTGAGAAACCGGGTCACATACACATTTGTTCCTAGAAACACTAGTTTTCGAACGCTTTTATTTTAGTGATAATCAATGATGTTCATACAATTCGTTGTGGTTCTATTCGTTATTCAACGTAGTAATGGGGTTACTAGTCCCGTTTCGCCGTTCACGACTTATCAACATACAGTTGAACTTCAACCAAATGTTTCTGATCTTTGGTGGACAATCAATGAAACAAATCAAACGATTCTCTTCGAGTTACATATCAAAACAACCGGATGGATTGCCTTAGGCATTAGTCCAAGTAGGAAATTTAAACGTTCATCGAGTGTGGGCAAAGAAATTGACTTTTAGCCGGAGGAATGGTCGGTGCTGATATTGGTGTTGGATGGGTTGAACAAAATGGAACAGTGCGCTTCCTAGTAAAAACTTCGTCTTTTTGAGCAATTCAGAAAGATAATTTCGTATTATTTTTCAGGATGAATATGCAAAAACATTTACACTACCATTACTAGACAACAGCACTGATTGGTTTGCTTTGCAAGGTCGAGAACAGAATGGCTGGACTGCCATTCAGTTTACGCGTGCTCTTGATACATGTGATTCTATGGATGTAGCAATTCAAGTAAATAATCGAGCATCATTATTCTCATATTTGTTAGAATTGAGTCAAGTGTAGCTTGCAGTACACATCACAAGAAAACACTAGTTCTTCGACAATAGAATTTTGTAAGGATGGGTAGTAATTGATTTTCTATATAGCCTGGCACTAATCATCTAATCTTTGCATATGGTCTGGCAGATCCAACTTGGAATACCACTAGTAATCCTATAACTTACCATGAAACTCGCAGAGGTTCATATTCACTATCTCTGCGATCATACAGTGATCCACCATTGGAAAGCAAATTCGCTAAATCGAATTACTTTGATTTTCGAATAAACAACGTATGTTTCGATGCTTTCACTCCCCATTCGTTTCTCTTATCTTCTCATTTTTACATAGTATACTATTCCAGCACAAGACACCACGTATTACTGTAAAGTTTTCAGAGCACCAGCTAATTATACTACAAAGCAACACGTTATCGCCGTACGTATGAATCCTTTCATTGGAAGTTATCTGTTTCTTTTTTGCAGAATAAAATGTTACTCAGTTCTACTGATATATCAAAAATTCATCATTTATTGATGTATGAATGTGATTCGACAGTTACATTCAACGATTCAAATCTACCGAGTGACATATGTGAGAATATTTACAACAAAATCGGAGCTTGCATGTCAAATATTGCTACTGGTTGGGCTGTCGGCGGAGATGTGGTAAGAATCCGAAGATAAAATCTATCAACTAAGACAATCAAATCTTAACATATAGATGTCTGAATTTCCTTCGGATGCCGGTTATCCAATCGGTGGTAATGCCACTGTTAAATACTATGTCGTTCAAATGCATTATACTAACTCAGATTTATGCACAAGTAAGAATCACGTTTGCGATAATTATGAGTGATGTTCTTTGCAGATTGTCAGGACAGTTCCGGTATTCGATTTTATGTAACTGATGAACTGCGAAAATATGACATCGGTTATCTAACATTTGGAACAGATACAGATGCACTTGGTTTAACAATTCCACCACAAGTTGAAACGTTTTCCGTCGATACTTATTGCCCAGCGTCAGCAACTGCAGTATGTTTAAAAGCACAGATTTTGTATCTAATCTAATTGATACCTATTGAAGCTTTTCCCAGCTAGTGGAATTACTATAATAAACGCCTTTCCACACACGCATCTGCAAGGTAAGTTTGAGATTTGTATGAAGTTTGGCATTTAAATAATCGGTGACAATAGGAAAAAGTATATGGACAAAAATCATTCGAAATAAAACTGCTGTTGGATACCTATTCGATGCTGAAACATATGATTTCAATTATCAGTTTAACAATCGTCTTCCGAACCGAATAACGATCTATCCTGTAAATATTATTTACAAATGACTGATCCAATGTAAATATTAATAAAAATAATTTCAGGGTGATGAGTTCAGTACACGTTGCGTTTACAACACAATGAACAAGAATATAACGACATTTGTAAGAAAAGGATTTGTTCGGTATTATTAACTGAATATGTTTCCATTCAGGGCGGTGAAAGAACAGTAGATGAAATGTGTCTTCATATGTTCACCTATTTTCCTCGCATGGAGAATATGTCTCTATGTCTATCGGTGATTTACCCAGTAGCTTGGATGAATTTCTTAGGAATAAACACGTAAGATTAACATTGAATGCTTAGAAGTTATAAATAAGAATACTTTCTAGCGCTTTGAATCAAACTGCAGCTGCTGTGGAAAAGATAGCTTCGAACATGACTTGGACATCAAACATGACCACGAAATGGCAAAATTTCTATAACAATGCTACGCGTATCACTGTGTTCGGACGTGGAAGAAATGCACAACATGCGATGGTACCAAGTGTGTCAGACTATCGTGATTTGCAAAAAACCGCGTGTGTTCCGAGAGGAAGTATTGTCAATACATCCAGTGCTATACGGACAATCCATTTTGGTATATGGCATGTACTAATCATAAGTATTTCAGTTCTTTCATTTTTAACTAAAATGAATAGTCAACACATGAAATGATCCGTGACAAAGTAATGAATGATGTAAACAGTCCTCGTTTGCTTTTGATATTTTGGAAAAAAATAAAATTCAATCTTACTGCATCATCTTTGAAGGATCGGTTTACTATTTATTGTTTATTTCAAAGTAGTTATCATTTTTTGATTATGTCGTGAATATGAATATATGGAAGAAAGAAGTTCTCACATCTTATGATGTGTTCGATGTGTCATCTGGTGTTGAATTCGATGCTGCTTCTGCATCTTTCTTATTTTTCTTTGATTTCTGTTGTTGATTGTTTCCTCCACCACATCTCAAACAGTCCGTCATTAATTTTAAGTGACCAGTGATTGGATCTAATTGATCATTTGTGCCGAAAATACCGAGACATGTGATTGATCCACTTGCTATCTCTGTTCGGCCAGCATCATGAATAATCGATGTTAAAACAGATTTATGAACTGACACACGTTGTTGAATATCCAATAATTCTTCTGCTGAATTCGCACGAACGACAATTTTCTTTTGTCCAGATATACTCCAAAAATTCAAAGCCATCAAACGTCGATTAAGAATCTGTTGATATAAATCAATTGCAGAATGAGCCACTTGCGCTGCAAGTTTGCCTGAACTCATAGGAAGAGAGCCATTTACAACGAATAACATTTTATAAGTGAACATGTTTGCATCAGTTGTATCTGGATCCGTTGGTATTACATTCTGAACAAAAAATAAAGCATATCTACAATTAAGCAATGTTAGTATACGAGCAAACTCTCACAATATTAGTGACCGTCGACGTTTTATTTATTCGAGAGAAGCTTGGTGAGCAAAACTATCCTACCTACCGACTCGTAAGGTGTTTCAGTGGCTTGTTCTATGCACGCTCCACTAGTTGATGTTGAAGATTTTGGAGGAATTAGGGATGGATCACCTAAAACAATAGCCAATGCTTCTTCCAAACTTCGATTATTAACAAGTCTCAACGCCTGAAAAACAGAAATCATATGTTGGGAAGGGACCAAAATTTGTGAACAAAGAACCTGTCTAGCTTCATCCCGGTGAATTCCCATCTCAATTAAACTCGCGAAATATTCTTGATTAACGTCATCGCCTGTGTAAGAAGAAGAAGCTGCTGCAGCTGCTGGTGGGCCCCCTTCTGCCATAATAGTTCTTGACTAAATCTGAAAGAACGATGTCGAAGTGTCATATATTTATCCAAACAAATATTTCTTGCGCAAATATGACGCAATGCTGATCCTTCTATGACATCATTATCTTCAATAAAACAAGATCGAATCGGTTTATCAAGTTATTATTAAAATTAGAGTACTTATAAATAGACAAACACGGATACTAAGTCAGCTTAGTGAATAACACAAACAAGAATAGCAACCCACGAACTTCGGACTTTAAATATGTGCACGATAGAATATGGAATCATGATGAATAAAAAAGCAAAAAAAAAGCAGAAGAAAAAGAAATGAAAAAGAAAGCAATCACATATTTTGTATAGGTTCAGATCTTTCGAAATAGAAAAAAGAAACCATTCATTTGGGCGGAACTGCCGTAGATCGATACCGGGCCGATTTAGGTTTATCAACATTCAAAGATGGACGTGGAATTTTCGATTGGAATGTAGCCGTTGTTGTCGAGGACGGTGTGGTTCCAGTCGTAGTCACTGTTGGCGGTGGCGATGGAGCGATAACTACAGATGGTGACATACCTCGTCTCATTGCACCTGTACGAGCTCCATTTGTCGATTTCGGAGCAGAGACAATGACGGGTTTGTTTGTAGTTGCTGCAGCTGATGCATTAGCAAATACATTGGATAAACGTGGTCGCCGAGCTGTTGCTGGCGATGCTGTTCCAGTGGTTTGTGGTTTCGACGATGGTAGTTTTGCAGTTACTGCAGAAGAAGTCTTTCGTTGCTGCGGTGTTGGTGCCGTGTTGGTTTTTGTGAATAACGAATTGATTTTGCGTGATAAGGTTGAGCGAAAATTATCGTTTGATTGAGAATTTGTAGCAGTATTTGTTGTTGCTGTTGTTGCTGCTGCTGCTGTTGTTGGTGATGTTGGCTGAATAATAGGTTGAGTAAAATTTCTTGAAGCACGTCTTGATATTGTCATAACCCAATCTCGTGCACTATTTTTTGTTGAGCTCATGGTCATTATAGATGTATTTAATTGTTCATTAACTTCAGGAGGGATAGGATCTGGTTTATAAACTAATCGAAATGCTAGTGGAGAAAGTTTTTCTAATTGAACCATAATACGATCAAACAGCTTGAAGGTTGATTCAGACGCAACGAGAATGAGAGCTTCACGAGGTTGATAATAACGTTGGAGAATTTCCTTTTGTTTCATAAAATGATACAACCAATTGATTAGTTCATTTTTGCTAGAAGAGAAACAGAGTTCATGTTTAACACTTCGTCGGAAAAGAATGAAATTGGTTTACTTTAATAACGAAAAGATAAATGCTTGAAATTTATACAGCCAATAGGGAGACGCATTTTGAGCGATCTTTCTCACTTCATGAAACACTTGAAGCGATGATCCTACAAACAAATAAAAAGATAGTATTTCTTAGATTCAAGTTGTCTATTGACTATTAACCTTGATCAATAATGATTTCAACTATTTTCCAAATATTGAGCTGTTTGGCTGACGGAACATCTTTTGCTTGTGGCTTCAGACCATGTTCAAGAATATCTCGAAGAAGTGTGCACAGGTCATCTTTTAATAATTTGTCTAATCCAGAATTACTTTCATTTGCAAGAAAAAATGACTAAAAAGGATAAAAATTGTTTCGTACGTTAATGTCTACAAGCATGCTTCACTCTTACTTTTCCCGATAGTTTTATTTCAAATACACGTTTGACAATCAGGACCGTTCTTTCGATGAAACCTAAAGAGAATTTACACGGTAAAATTGCTGTTAAATGATCTCTTGTTTACACACCATTCAGAGTTGGATCATTTGTTGGCACTAATGTTACTGTTGATGCATTCATTATCATTGATTGTTCAGGAGTCTTATTTTCTTTATCATTAGATGCCGTCATCGCTCCATCGATTGACTTGGCTTCATCAACGGTAGTTGTAGTAGTGGCGGGTGTCGAAGGAGTTGGTTCATTAGTATCAGGTATGATATTTACATGAGTTCTCTCCATGATTGTTTGATCATCTTCATCCTCTGGATCAGGTGCAAGACTATCAGTTTCTTGAAAGTTGAATTCATTTGGAGGACTTTCAGTAAACGAATGTAAGTGATGAATGCGATCGACGACAATGATATCCGCTGCAAAGAGAAAAGATCCGATCACTTTTTGAAAATTCTGTGCGATCATAGGAAAAGACTTACTTTGACAACGACGCATTTCTCCGTAGCGTGCTGTTGGTCTTCTCGCCAACGAATCTTTATCTCCATGTAATGCCATGGCTAGTTCATCATTGACAGCTGTATCAGTGTCATCGACGAATATTTCCGGTGCAGGGTCAAATTTAATTGCTGGATTACATGGCGACATCAGATGCTTAGCAATGTTTTCAGAAAAACTAACACTTTTCTTCGTTTGATTCTGTTGTAGTAACATCAAATCATGATCTGAACGGCGTCCATGGGTGTAATCTGGTAGAACGTAGTGATTCAAATCATTTGATGAACCGGTTGTAACCGTGTCGGATGGCCAGAGATTATTCGAACGATTGGATAACATATCAGCCTCGGAAGAGCGACGTTTTGATGATGGAGATGAATCCTAGAAGGTATTTGTAGTGATACAAACGGTTTTAAATGCATATGCATTTCTTACTTGATTACTGGCTGGTTCCGGTATAACTAATGTTGGTGCTGGTGATTTTCTGTCTTGTAACATAGCTTGAATATCACATGAACTCGCTCTTGATCCGTGTTTGAGACAAGATTTTAGAGTTGATGCTTGCTGTTGCTTGATCGGATAGGATTGAGGCGGTGGTAATTTCATTTTAATTACTGTTGGTGCCTCACTCGATCCATTGATGACGGCGGAAGCTGGTACAGCAGCGAATGTTTTGCGTAATTGAGGACTGTAAAAAACGCCTAATGGCTCTGTTGAATGTTTGCTGTTCTTATATCGTTTAATTGCTTTAAGTGTTCGAGGTCTTTCGGGTTCTTGTTGGCTAACTGTTGAAGACGATGATGCGTACGTTGGATTCGTAGTTGATGAAGATGGTACTGGTGTATTTGCAGATAATGGTGATGGAGATGCCGTGCGTGATCGAGGTAATTCTTTTGAATATTGAGAAATAAACGCAAGATCAGGAAGAGATTTATGTATTGATGACGATGAATTAGGAAATGGTGATGGTCGTGAAGGAACATTCAAATGATTTGAAGATTGTGAATCAGTGTTTGTTGACAGATAATCGTATGATTCGGATTTAGGAGCTAGAAAGCAAAAAATGAACGTTCGATTTCTTCAATTGACAGAGAATAACATACGTATAGTTGGTGTTGGTTGAAAACGACTGTTCATTTGACTGTTCGATGTAGAATCCAAGAAGATAGATGTTTGAATAGCTTGATCTGTGCCAGAATTAACTTGTGATGATGATGGACGATCCAAACGTGGCACTTGCTTTTGTTGATAAGATGCTCTCGACTTTTCTGGCATCATTCTTTCGCCTGATATGGTCATATTATCCGGATCATTGGGAACAACTGAGTCACTTTGCTGTCGATAGAATTGAAATGCACTGCGTGGTGTATTTGTGGATGTGGCCGCAGTACTTTGGGATTTTTGTTGGAAAATTTTATACAAACTCAAGGGTGACTGAGGTCGAGTTTCTTTCGTTTCAATGCCTGATGTTGTTCGCTGACTATCTTTCATGCGTTTCCAAGATGCGGACGATGACGATGATGTTGTGGAAGAATTAGGTGATGTGTTGCTCGCAGTGTTAGTCGGTAGTTGTTGTTGAGGAGAAAATGATGTTGGATGCGATTGGGAACGAATAAATGCAGTCTGTTGATGAGCAATTCCAGTTGTTGGTGTCGGTTTTTGATCCTCTTGTTCCATCGATTGCTCTAAGGCATTTAGTGAAGAACGCATTGACCAATCATTCATGTTATTGGCAACATTTGAAGGTATTCCATCATCCGATAACATCGAAGCAGTTTGAAAACTAAGATGACACATAGGAAAAGCAAGTTTCTCTGTGAAAACAGATTCACTTACTCGGTTGATCGATGCCGATGTTGATGGTGATGATGGTGATGTTTATGTTTATGAGATTTGCCCAGTTTCGGATCAATATGTTGCGCTTTGTCAGTACTAAATGTTAATCGATAGTTAGCGCGTGTATCATATTGATCATCCCATGTAAAACCACCGTCTTGATCCATCAATAAACTTTGTTCAACTGGTGGAGTTTGCTGTTTTTTCGCATCATCATTTTCAAAAATATCACGTTGATTAAAAAGACTATCCATTGATAAATTTTCATTGTTTAATAGCTCGCCTGTATTGGTTAAGGAGATACTTTTCAGGAGGAAATTATCTTCCGGTGCATCATCGATGCCCATCGCGGTGGACGATACAGCTGTAAAAGATTTTGTGATAAGTTCTTGACGATTACGATTACTTAAAATATCTTCGAAATTATCCAAATCGAGTGTTTGTTTTTCGAGATTTCTTATCAACTGTTCAACATTTTCCAGATGAGCAGACGAGGTAAGTAATAAAGGGTTAATTGTTGAATCATCCATTGTAGGATTTCGTTCGTATTCTTAATGATTGTTCGGAATGGCAAAATGGAATGTCATGAGAAGAAACAGAGACCACGGGTCTAAAACAGAAAGAAAAATTGTCTTTCTTTTCTATACGCAAATAAAATAATATCATTCCACGATGAGAAATGTATGAGAATAAACAGACGAAAAAATAGGGTTTTTTACTCTTTAATATAAACAAAAAAGAAAACTCAGCAGTCAGTTAAAATCAATTAAATTCGATCCATGTGTTTCCGTTGATTGGAAAGAGGGATAGAGACTAGCTTCTGGTGCCACCAATGGATCGAAATCTGCTGCTAATGACGAGTGAGAAGCGTGTTGCACCGGATGAGTAGTTCTAGGATTCATTCGCGTATTTGTACCATACGTTGATTGAATATTTCTCAGGACATTATTCACATAATTCGTAGGAATATGTTCATTGAGTGATGGATGACGATCAGCTGCATTGATATCCGAACGAAATAGGACTGCACTCGATTCATTCAATGGGTCGAATTGTTGAACAAGAGTTTTGATCTCTGTTTGTTCTTCACCATATTCTTCTCGAGGATTGATGCGTTTGCCATCGAAGATTTGAACTTTATATTGAAGTTCACTCTGTAATTGTTTGATTTTCGAATCAATTTTTGGCGATAAACGGGATGGTTCGGGAGCTGAAGGTACTTGAACAACATCTAACACGATGGGAGATGGTAATAATAAATTCTAAACAACAGAACGAACATTGATTGAAGATGAAGGAAGCAGATGAGATGTACTTCGTCAGTATCAAAATCGATTAGGGAATTCGCTTTTGATGGATCTAGTCCAGGTGTTGTCGAACGTGAAGATGAAGAGGTTAATGTACCGGAGTGATTTGGCTAAAAGAAAAGCAATTGAAATCGATTTTCTAGAACAGAAATCGTTTGAAAATTTACCTGTGGAAGCGCGAGATGATTCGATTCGATCTAAATCATCGCAAGAATCGCAAACATGTGTCAATATTTGAAACTTACGGACTCCTCGACTTTTCGTCGGATAACATCATTTATCTACAAACAAAAAAAGCAAGTTACTTGACGTATGCATCACTCTCAACTCACATCAAACGAAGTCAAATTTGTTTTCACTGCTGATGCTTCACTCACAACCTTTTGTCCAGCTTTATTAATCTAAATAGAAACGAATTCGGCTACGAACAAGTTCTCTTTCGTTGTTTATCACTTACAGCCGTTTGTAACCTTTCAGCTTTATTTTGTACTTGTTCAATGAGAGGATTTGTTGCCTAAATCAAAAACATTCGTCTTTATACATACAAAAGTTCGTACGATTAATAGGAGCGGTTAAAGAAGTGAAGCATTAGAGATAAGTGATACCTTATTTCTTTCATCGATTACAATTTTTCGATTGGAAGTGTAAGTAACAGTCGAATGTCGAGTGCTGTCTTTAACATTCTACGAAAACTCTTTTTCATGTATATATTTCCAAGCAAAGACATCAAAGGGAAATGAAAAGAGTTCGAACACAGATTACTTACCTTTTCTAGAATTTTGTAGATTTTCTTATTGGCCCGTGTCTAAAATGAATAGACAATTCATAAGACAACCGTAGTAAGTTCATAGGGTATTGTTTCTGAGATAGAACAATCAAATCATGCGAACAATACAATGCCTGAGGGATAATTGATAAAAAAAAGACCAAAAGGAGACTACTCAATAAAGATTATATCGAATAATGTTCGTTTACATAGAACATGAATGATTTACTTACTTGTTTCGATTGTTCGAGATTTCTAACTTCGATATCGAATTCATCCATTTCAGTCTCATGTGTAATTTTAACATGAGTTCGATACCGAGAAAGCTAAATATTCGAATGACAAATTCCATTTGATGTTATGTTTAGTTTTACTTGTTCAAACATTTGTGTATTGACGATTGAAGACATAAAATTATATAAATCTGATCCTTGATATTGTTTCAAATAAACATCTCTATCAAAATCTAATTTCTCATTTTTCTCAACAAATCCACTTGCATAATTTCCTATTTAATCAAAACCAAAGCTAACTTATCAAATACGTACAATAAAAGCTTCTTTTACCGATTACAAATGCCATTGTTCGAAGGAAAACTCTTGCTAAATGATCACCAGCCAATTGTGATGATTGTTGAATATCTTTTCTCATCTGACGTACTAATTGCTTTGGGAATAGATTCAGATCATTGTATTGAGACTCGATTGTTCGATTGTCGATATTGACGATCACGACATCACCTAGTTCATTGCGATTCAATTTCGAATAGAGACTTGAGTGAATTCCAATAATATACGGTGCTGAGCATTGCGCTGTCCATGTCATCGATTCGGGAAGAATTGGCAAGAATATGTTTTGCCTTGAATAAGAGAACAAACAAGTTTCGTATTGTTCAATGAGTGAATGTTTTTCTTACCAATGCATTGGATTAATTAAATGTAAACATCCACAAGCACATGCTAATCAATGACAAAAGGAAATCTTTCGGTTAGAAATTTCTTTTTTTCTTTTTCGTTTCGACATCGAACTGACCAGTTAGATGGAACAACTTCGATGATATGAATAAAATTCGTCGCTCGAAAAGTAAATGTGAAAATAAACGTAACATGTTATCAGGCCCCAAACAGGAAAATAACACCGAAAAATTACGCTACAACAAATCTGATAATTTACTATCAATGTTTCGCGAAGATACATACATTTGATAACGTCGAAGGCAATTTACGAAGATCAGGTCGAGAGTATGTATAAATCTAAAGGATATAATCAACTATTTCGACTGTCTTATGTATAAATTTGATACATACATTTGAAAGACTAGTGATTTCAATGGTTTCTCTGCAAGAGTTATTGTAAAATTCTTCAGAAGACAATAGTTTATGATTGTATAAGGATGAGAGAAATGTTTCCACTTCTGTAGTCTTTGAAATAAACAAAATAAATCGATTTCTAACAGAAAGAGAAACAAAAGAACTTTACTGATTTCGAATTGATAATTTGTGATAAATCGTTAAGAATATTATAGAATATTTCAAACCATGGATAATAACTAGAAAAGAAAGTTTTTGATATTATCTTCGGTGAGAATCTTTGGTTATATTTCTACCTGATTAAACATAAACACGTTGATTCGCGATTCGATCGACGGCAATAACCAAATCGGAATAAAGTCCCTGTTGAATCAAGAATGACAAATGTGAAATGTTCACTTTGATCATCACTAGAACGAAACCAACGGTCAAAGAAAACCATTGCTGCGCTTTTCCATACGGCGGAATTTGACATGGATATGCAAAATTAGCTGCTGTTTTCAGAATCGGATCTGAGAAATCATCGGGATATTTGACTAAGATTTCTGGTGCTAAAATCAAGTAAAGTTCGTGTTTTATTTTTGATAATGGTTACACTTACGTTCTTTATTGATCGGCTCATGGATTTCGAGAAAGACTTCGAAAAGATGTTCGGGTGATTGTCTAAAACAGCTCGTGAAAACGGCATAGATCTGCATCGAATTTCAAACCTGATGCGAGATTCGATTTCCTTTGTGATAAAACTCGAAGCCATTTATCAAAACAGGCACATTCGTCTACGTGAACAATACTTGATAGTTCAGGTAGTGTTTTACCTGCTGCCTTTCAATTTCCATAATAAGTCACACACCTTTCTCTAACAAAACAAAGCCGTCCATTGGTTCTGTCATTCCAACCAATAGGAAGCCATCTGTGACGCATATACTATAAAAAGAATTTTTTAAATAAAATAAATATTTTATTTGATGATTTTCCTATAAGAAAAAAAAATCACGGTGAAAAATTATTAACATATTTTTTTTTTGACACGATGAATCATTCCGAGAATTCTTTAATGGCGAAACGAAACACCTTTGCCATATACATTAACCATGTAGATGTATGTATGCAAAGGTAGTCCTTGAATAGCTTCATAGATAAAAGAAAGAGAAAGGTTATTCATAACTGGCGAATAATATGATTGAATAATGTTTTTTTTTTGATAAACTGATACAATTATCTTTTCAAGAAGTAATGATTTTTTGATCGATATCAAAAAGTAATTTTCACAATTCGATACAAAGCGTGTTTTGGGCTATTAAAAAGTAACGCGCAACTTAGTGATGCGGAAAAAAATTAATCAGACAAATAGTCATTGAGAAAAGCATGATATTCGCAGACCTCAATGATGGTCATATGCGAAAAGGTTACCGACATCTTCTCTCTCTTGAGAAAAAACTTGTCACTAGGAGATGTATACGGACGAATTTATTACGATGACAAACACATAAAGACAGTTGTATCTTACGGCGATTTTGATCTTATCATTAATACGATCGTAATGTTTTTCTAATTGAGATAAATATATTGATTGAATGCAGGAAGGTTGATGTTAATTTTGAATAATCAATCGCCATATGACATCAATTCCTTGTGAGTTGTATCGTTTCTTACGTTCGGTTTACGATCGTCTCGTTCGACAAAAAAATTTACCAATACCAATATTGACAAAAACCATATAATGGAGTATTTTTATGAGAATATAATTGTTATTTACCGTTATGATCGCTTATGTATATGATTATTCGTTTGTCTAATCGTTGCCGGAATGTTTTACGTATCGTACAAAGAAAGAACATAAAGTTTTATGGTGAAAACCGTTTTGCAAGCACTCGGATGTCAATTAAAAAAAGATTTTCAACATATAATGTGTTCATGTTCACTTACACAGATAATTCTTTATATTTTGAAACGAACGACCCGATCTGTTTTGTAGCGATTGAATTAATTGGAGCATTTCATTGATTTCTTTTACTGAATACTTTTGCATACATTGATTGGATTTGTACAATTGTGCTAAACTGAATTGTAAGTGTAGTATTAGAAATTCGACGGATGAGGATTCAGGGAAGGACACTGCGGGATGTAAAAGGATCACGACAAAAGGAACAAAGAAAGATATTCGCAGTATTTTTGTTGTTTTGTACAAGCTTAGAAGAAGAGAATCGTTGCACATTCTGACTTCGAAGATATTGCAAACGGTTTGTCTTTTTGAACGAAGAGAATCTCTACAAATAACATAATTGTGTCTGTATGCGTCGTTTTCGCTTTTGAGCTATTTAAAACTGTGGATGGTGAATAGAGCGTTAACCTTACTCTTGTTCACACCTTCAGGTTTTTAACTCTCATCAATGTTCATTCAATCATTAGAAGAATTCATTAAAGAACGAACTTCTTTTACACAAATTGTCCTTTTCAAATAGGTACATATGATTGATTGTCACCTTTCGTATTGCATAGACGAATGAATCGCTATTCTTTAAAGATCTCTTGAGAGACAATTTCATTTTCTTTGATTTCATCCGCTATGATACCTTCAATAGCAATAATCACATAGGAAAACATCGAGATATATATATGGGCTTGAATTCTTTCTCAATTATCATTCTTGTCATATGATATTCTCAGGTGATTCGAATGTCTGTTCATCTATCATCATACAATTCGACCATTTCTGTGACAACTTCATTAAATTATTATATAGAGACAAACACACACACATACACATACGGCAAATGTCATCAATAGAAAGAAAAAAATATACTTGAGTTTTGTAGGGAACAAAATACAAAGTCATTAGTCGCAAATGAAGCATAGATGATCTAATAGAAGAAAATTGATGATGTGTCAAAGACTAGAAAACGAATGAAATTTCTTCGTTTACTAGTAAACCTGTTGTTGTTTCTTTCCATGTATATCACTGAAAAATGCTAATTTTTGTACAACATTCCAGTCGTTTGAGTAGAAGAGATTTTTCAATGTTGGACTATTTGTTTCGCACGACGATGATGTATAACTTGTATTTGTATCGTTTCCGAGAAGATTATCAATGAAAAACGATGATTTTCTCTGTGGTCGATTGGAGGATGTACCTGTATAAGTTTTTTCATTGCTTTTCTTATCTCCATAGGATGTCTTTAATAATTTAAAACGCTTTCGTCGTCGGAGATAACTTCCATTTTCGAACATGTCGCCACATCTAAATGGATGACAGTCTCTTTATTAAAATAGCAAATATCCGTTTGAATTTACTTGTTATGCAACGCCCACAAATTTCCTTTACCAGGTCGATCGATTCGCCGTGGAATTTTAATAAAACAATCATTAAACGATAGATTATGTCGTAAAGAATTCTGCCACTTGTGTGTATTCGTTCGATAATATGGAAATCGGTCGGTAATAAACTACAAAAAACACTTATGTCTCTTATCTGATTTTTCTCCTCTCACTCGCACCTTATAAATGTCACTCAGTGGCAACATCTTGTCTGGACTTTGTTGAATCGCCATTGCTGTCAAAGCAATATACGAATCTAAATGTAAGGAAAGCTTTTCTGAGTAAGCGAAACAAATAAAGCTTTTTTTGAACGAACATGGTGGCTTTTCGTCTGAATACGAAGATTTACCCGGACGTGGCATTGTGTGATGTGTTAAAAAGCAAATAGACTTATCAACACATTGAATAAGAACACCTGTAAACGTCAATTTGATTGGCGGTGATCACGTCGATTTTTTTCTCACTTGTTTTAACCAATCGAAATCTTCAGATCGACTCTTTCACCCATCAATCTGCTTCGTCGTTCTCTTTCTTCCTCTATTTCAATCAATAACACTAACATCTACATCTCATCAATGAGTAATTTTTATATGAGACCTATTCTACTGAATATTATTCACCTGTTCTATGCTCATGTATTCTCTCTTCTATTTATATTCATATTCATTGATCCCTGATGTATAATAGAGAAAATGGATCAAATTAAAAAAAGTCAGTCGAAAACGATAAAACAATGACTATTTGAACAATAAAATTGTTTTCATAACAGTCAGATGAGAAGAAATCTCTCTCCACTCGGAATTCTCTTCCGGTCCAATGAATCAATAAAAATAAATCGTCGTCAGATGTGATGTGCTTTTTCCCTCTCTCTCTCTCTTTTCGATTCCTGCTGGGATCAAATAGATTTATGTCAAGAAGAACATTATTTCAATCAATGACTTGTCATTAGCAAGCAAACAAATCCCTACACACCTTCACCTACAGATACATTTACATCCAAATGGACAATTTTATTTCTAGATTTGAATAATTTAATTTATTTACAATAATAATATCAATTGCTGTTGAATCAATGGTGCGAAATATGAACCGAACTGTTCGTAGAGTTTCTTCTCATTACTTTCAATTTTGTTGTCAATAGAACGATAAGCCATGGTGAGGAATTTCTATAACAAACAAAAAAACAAACATTCGTTTTAGATTGATGTGAAAATTGTATCATACCACAATGACTTCGGTGAGCCTTTCCGATGATTCAACATCTGATATCAGTCGAATTCGTTCACCTAACCGTTTGACAAGAGGAAAGATTAATTGAATGATTACCTAAACAAGATTTCACATGATGATTCTAGTTAAGATCTTGAATTACTTTAGAATTCATTTCGCAAAGACCAACGAATGCTCCGTATCGAGTTGGCCATGTGTATTCTTCTTCGTTACTATTTAAAATTCGATAGAAGACATTGATTGTGCGTTGTTGTAAATCGTTCGCTGCTGTTGCATATTTCCTATGAGATATGATCAATTTGTTTTTCTTTTCCGAAAGATTTCGAAACAAACCGAATAATTTTTCCAGAACATTTGCCTGCAAGATCTCGTAATGACCAATGATCATGTGACGTTCGCCTTGCAAGTAAGCAAGAGAGGACTGCTGGAAAGAAATAGTGTAACTAATTCGATACATAAAGAGATAGATTGATATATTGGAAGAGATTCTCTTACATATGCTTTTAGATTGAGTTCTTCGTTTTGTAACAGACCGTCACTCATTTGGATGAGAAGGTTTAAGAAAATCGAACGATCAGTTGGAGCTTGTGGTGATAAATTCACACGTATTCCTTCTGATATGAATAGAATTAAACGCGACAGAATAGCTTGGAGACTATGATCGGATGAAAGTATTGCTAAAGCTTGCTATGAAAAACGAAAGTGTCAATCTTTCTGCCATTGAAAGAGTTTACCTTGCGCTTTGATTCATTCGAGCTGATACACGTCTCTGTCAAGTTTTTAAAATAAATTTGTTGTTCCTACGAATAATGAATGTTCCATTGAGATCAAAAAGATTCTTCACGTACTGTAGATAAAATATGAGAACTTTTAGTGAATCTTTTCTTTGGAATTGATCGAACAGATATATCTACAGTAGGATTTTCAATTACTTCGGGCTGTTTACCATTCACTGCTAGCCAATGTACTAGTTAATAATCGAAAGATGGTTGATTAGGTAAGAATAAAGAATTCTTATACGTTACCTCGAAGACTTATGTCTAAAGGTACTTTTAAGTGAGATTGGATCAGTTGATCAAGAGGAATGACTTGATCATCGATATAATAGACGTTTCGATTATCCTTTTTTAATTTTTGAAATGATGATCTATGGTGATTTGAGATTGTATAACCGCCATACATAGGCTAAAACGAAGGGAACGTAAATAGAGTAACTGAAAAGGTAAATGTACTTCTAATTGATGCAGTTTTAGAGCAAAGGCGAAATCCTCTGCTGTTAAGCTGTTTCGACGACATTTACGTAACACTTTACAAGCATCCTAAAAGGAAACTTTTCCTGAGTAATTTCATGAACGAAAATAAGTTTTACTTGTAAAAGAATGGATATTAAACTAGTGGCTTGTCGTGTTAAATATGAAAGAGATTCGTCCGATAGAGACCCACAGTTATTGAATTTGTCAGCAAGATAGTCGATTGATTCAACCGAAAACTGTACAGGCATTTGGAACCCGCTAACGTTTATACGTTCAAACGATTGATCAATACTAGTTAATACTACTACAAGAAACAAGTCAAAGCGGAAATACCGAATTGAACACGTACTTCTACGAAGAACGATGCACGTTGTTAAATAGGATGCTCTTCTTTACAATTGTTTTTGATTCAGTATCTTATTGAAAACTAGTTAAAAGAAAAATACATTCCGAAAGAGGTCCCTCATATCCGTTCTTAATGCCATATATGGCTTTCTCACCAATCAACAACACATGTCGATTGTAACGTGCGTGTCCATGACTCTCATCACATTCGTACTCGCTGCCCTCTACTCCCCACCCCCTTTCTTGCTCTTATGTATATCGTCTAAAAATTTGACTCTTCATTTGTTCTGCAGATTTTTCCAGTGCACACCTCATATTAAAAATGTCCGGCGTAGACCTCAACTCCGATGGAAAACCATACCATGGTAAAATTGTTTTGAATTACACCGTTCTTGATAATAAATCGAAGTTTTCAGAACATGGTGATAAGATCGAAAAAAAGAAACATGAACCACATGAACACCCTGAAGCGAAAGATCAAGCACCACATCATGGTCATGATAACCAGGTTTGCTACTTATTCTCTATCTTCAAACTGAACTAATTGTAAATTGTTGTTTTCTCGTATTGTTTTAGTTCCACAAGGTTAGTAACAATGATGAAATGGTATCATTTGGATGTTCGAACTATCTCTTTTTAGGATCTTAAAGGAAGCGTTGGTAGTGGATCCAGCGAAAGAGGTGATCGAAAGTAAGAAGAAATATAGATGAGTTTTGTTTTGTGAGATGTTTTGTTTTTCGTCTTTTTAGGGCAGATAAAGAAAGTTCATGAAATAATTTATGAATGGCGACATTATTTATAAATAATCAAGCATTTGGTTTTTGTTGATGTTTCATTTTTGTTATGATTACATTTGTTTTCTCATGATTTAATCAATAAACAAGCTGTATTCCTTTATGATCTAATTGCTGTCTTAGAAAAATCTTTATAAATCGTACGATTAAATAGTTTATCACAACAATAAAACGCCTACAAAATAAAAGAAGACGAAGTTTATCACAAAAGCTATGGCTAATAAATGCATATATGTTTAAATTTTTCTGTACTGTTTTTTTCTTGGTTCATCTATTCCCAAAAAGCTTGGTATTCGTATTCACCCGAGCCGACTTGTACAGTCATCCAACCAGTTTGCGAATCATTGAAAACGTTGTCTTCTTTATGATCTGCTGACCAAATTACCTTATCACTTTCGGTTAATGTTGTACATCGGGCATGAGGAAATAACGGTTCAAATGTGATGTGTGCTTTTGCGTTCGTTGGTATCGAAACTCGGAGAAGAATTGAATTGCGGAAAGTATCGCGTTCGTCACGTGTATAGGAAACGTGAACAATTCCATATAATGTACTGACTTGACAATCAATTTTTGTCATCAGATGTTTTTTCTCTTCGGATAACATTCGTGGTCGAATAATAATCAGATCTGATTGATAATCAATACCGGTCAAATGAGAATAAAACCATGCACCTATACTAGCAAACATATGATGGTTTCGTGAATTCATTCCTGGACCTTCCATTGGAGCATCCCACAGTTCCCACATGGTTGTAGCGTTTTCATAGGGATTAGTAAACATATAACCGTAGGATGGATATGTCACAGAGGATGCTAACTGAACAGCAAGATCATGTTGGCCGTTGTCAGAGAGTAATGAGAACACTTGAGCAGTTGACACAATTCCCGTGGAAAGGTGAACATCTTTTTGATGGATGTCTTGTAATAAATGTTGAAAAACAGAATCACGAACGTTTGCAGGTACAACATTGGGTAGAGCTAAAGCAAGAATTTGTGCTGCTTGCATTCCGTCAGCATAATATCCGGCTGATGATGTGAAAAAGACGCGATGAAATTCTTCTGCAAGTTGTCGATAGAATGTTGTATACGATTGTGTGTCATTAGTAAAACCAATAATTTGTGAAATATTCACCAATAGAGAAACATCGTGCAGAAATGCAAAGGACGCGATCAGGTAGACATTTGTCATCGGTTGGGGTGGTGGAGGAACCCAATCTCCGTAATGATACGCGAGCTTAGCAAGACCTGTCTTACTGTATCCAGCACGAATTGCCTCGACATATGCACGAATTGAAGCATAATGATCTCGGAGAATTTGAATATCGTTGTAGTGACGATACAATTGCCAAGTTATTGTAGGTAAGGCAGTTCCCCAATTAGGATCGGATGGATAACCGCCAAAGCTGACCGGTACGGTATCGGGAATCGAACCATCAGGTAATTGAACATCAGCAATCAAATTAAGAAAATTGAGATAAAATTTCATAAGATCAAAATTGTAGAGAGCTTCATCAACGGATAAAGCAGCATCACCCATCCAACCTTTTCGCTCATCACGTTGTGGACTAAACAAAACAGATGAAGCCTTTGATGGAAAACTGATGCTTTATTTCATTGCTTACCAATCAGTGGGCAATGACATTGAATTACTCAATTGACCCCATTGAATATTGTGTTGAATTTGATTGATGACTGGATTACTGGATACAAAGTGTCCCTTCACTGTCGTTTGACTATGAACAACAAGACATTCGACGTCATTCACCGAAAGTGGAACTGGAGAACCAAAAACCGATACATAACGGAAACCATGAACAGTAAATCTAAACAGTACGGTTCCTTTCGATCAGAAAAACAGAAACATTCGTTGAACTTACCGTGGTTCATAGATTTCACCATTGGGATCTCCACGTAATATATAACTATCACTTTGAGTAGCACCGCGAAGATTTTCTATATAGATTCCACCGTATGCTTGTCTAGAATTTTCATGTGAAAATATAATTCAATCAATTTTAATCTGACATACTTTGACGCTACGACTGGTTGTGCTAACACTTCAGCATGACGAATGTAAATGCCAAGACCACGTGGACCGTGAAAATGAAATCGGCACCAACCAACCATATTTTGTCCCATATCAAAAGTGTGAACACCTAAGACTGGTGTTGATACAGACACTGGTTTTAATACACCACCATCACGGAGTTGCCCACCTTGAATATCGCCGATGTCTTCTTTTGTTAAGTAACTATTGATGATTTCGGATGGATTATCGATTTCAAATTGTAAGGCGTCAATGCCTGCACGTATTGGAGGCATATCTTGTAGAGTCATTTGACCGTTCGCAGTTACATTGACTGGTGGTGGCATAATTTCCGGTGTAATCCAAAGCGAGAGAGTATCGTTAAATCCGACCTGAGCCCAATTAGGGCGATCGTATCGGCTATCAACGATTTCTCCATTGTAAACACTATCATGTACAATGGATCCTTGACGACCTTTCCATGTTTGATCACTATAAATGGCGAGTTCTTGTGAATCTTCAAAAGTAATACGTAAAACAAACATGAGGCGCGGAGGACCTAAAACGACGCGATTAAAGAAACCAACCGGATCGTTCCATACTAGGTTAAATTCATTCTTCCTTACCATAAGATGGTTCGCTCGCAGATGGTGGAACATACTGCTCTTGACTGTACCAACCATTTCCTAATTTTACACCAACAGCATTCATACCAAGCTACACAAAAAGAACAATTAAACAAATTTGAATGTTTGTATTCTCGTACTTTAATCGTTGATGTTAGGTCATACGAAACAAATAGGGTACGCTTCTCGTATGTTGTCCATCCTGGATCTAATTTTCGACTTGGATCAACACTCTGACCATTGATATACAATTCATAATATCCAACACCCGAGATAAAAGCAATTGCTGTTCGAATTGCACTGGTACTCGAAACATTAAACTCCTTTCGCAATTCATTCATGTAGATCTGTGTCGAACCAATCCAATTCACATCATTATTTCTTTGCATAAGGAATTCATGCAAATCGAACATCGATGTTCGAAACTGTATCCAATCCGTCCATGAACTTGCTTCATCCGACAAACTTGTCCATACTCGGAAACGGATTTGGTAATATGTTAATGATTGAAGCTCATCGAAATTTTCATTTGAGACATGAATCGATTGAGTAGAATCAACTTTTCCACTATCCCATCGATCGTTATACGATTGCAGTTGAATTTGATAGGCTGTTTGGTGAACATTACGTTCGTTAAAACGTGGTAATTTCCATGAAAACCGTGGCCGAGGTGTGTTAATGACTAGATCTCTTGTTGTATCAACTTTATAATAATCAATTCGAATATCAAATGGCGCAGGTATTTCATATGAATTGATACTTGCTACAGCAAGTAACACAGTTAAATACAAGCAAAACATTCTAAAAAGAATATTTTTAAACCATGTTTTTCATGTTTAATGAAACTTTTTATATAATCACCCGGCAAATCTTATCGTAAAATATATCAAGTATCAGTTTTATTTGCTTAGATTACGTGAAAAAAAGTACATGAATAGATAGGCCTAGGTGGTGTGTCTACAATGGTTTCAGTATAACTCAAATGAGTAGAGTAAACAAATTTAATTCTTTCAAAAGAAATGAACAACAGTTGACAGTAGAACTCAAAGTTGTCAATCAACAACATTTTCAATATGAGTATTGCCTACCCATAACATGGATAGTTTTAATGAAAATGATTTTCGTGCATAAATTCGATATTTTTCGTAGATTTTCTAAAGAAAAGAAAACATTTTTTCAATCGAGTTTCAACTTGGAATGACCGTTATTTCCTGTTGGTTGATACGAACCAATCAAAGTGTTCCTAACTTTACCCATCACATCTCAATCCAGAAAGTGATATATTCGAGAAGAAAAACTATACTCAGTCGAAATCGAAATGCCCACAAATGCTTCACGTTCACTTTTAGGTAATTAAAAGAAAACGATTGCTTTCATAACTGAACACTTCCTTTAATTTTCCCTTTTAGAAGCTTTAAAAGACTTTTTCCGCAGTGAACAATGTAAAAATGATATTCTTAGCATTCTACCGACTGATAAATCAGACATAACCAATGTTATTACGCTGACATTAAAGTAATCTTTCTTATTTTTATATGGATTTCTTTATCGAAATGTTTAGCTATTGTAAATTATTAGAATATGATTTTGAATTGGGTCGACTTCTCTGGGATTTGGGTTCGCGTGCTCGTTACTTTTTCGATAAACTTACAGAAGCATTCAAACAAGTCGCTTTAGAATTATCTGATTATTCACTTGTAAATATTTTCACGGTGAATCTGAAGATAAAACGTTTCTTTCTTTTAGCCAGAAGATATAACAACAAAGATTAAAATCATCAAATTTGGTAGTAACCGTTCAGACCTTGTTCGTCACCAAATTCCAAAGTAAATTAATATGGAAAGTATAGCAATGTCAGCTGGTTTTATATCAACTCTAGTTGTCAAGATCGCGGACATTTTATCTGTTTTCATGGAACAGTTATTCGTGTTGGTACACCGTATGTTTTCGATGCGACAAGATCGTTTGAATGCGAAGAATGTGGAGCGATAGTGACAGTCACAAAATCGAGTAATATGGAAAGGATTAAATTAAAACCAACGCGATGTTCGAATGAAGACTGTAAATCAACAAAATTCAAGTCAATGAAAGAAAGTATGTAATACAATCGAACGACCTTATGACCGATCTTCTTGCTTTCAGCGGAGGACAAATCAATAAGTTTATCGGATTATCGAGAAATCAAAGTTCAAGAATCATTACAACGTGTTACATCAAATAATCTACCACGCTCGTTTAGTGTCATTCTCGAAGATGATCTTGTCGAAGCTTGCAAACCAGGAGATGATGTGGCTATCTAGTAAGTCAAGTAATTCTCAGCTATCTATTGCTCAGAATGTTCTTTAAATGATTTGTGATGCTGAACATCAATTCTCTTCTGTAGCGGCTTTGTTCAAGATCGTTGGCGGCCAGTACAAGTCGGTGGTCGTGGTCAGACTAGTCTATGCTTAGAAGCGAATAATGTTGTCGTACTCAATGATCAAACTGTTAGTGTATCTCCACATGCGGTTAGTTCGAATAGCTTTCTTCTTTTATTCATAAAGAATTGATTGTTCTTCTTTTAAAAGCATGATGAATTCGAACAATACTGGAAAGATAACTGTCGAACTCCACTTTCAGCTCGAAATCGTATATTAGCCAGTATTTGTCCTCAACTGTATGGACTTTATGTAGTAAAACTAGCCATTGCGTTGATCTTAGCTGGTGGAGTTACTGTAAGTTATAGAAGAATGTGTTTCAGAGTTGATTTTATAGACGAATTAATCTAGATTTCGGATGAAAAACGTGGTATTCGTGTTCGTAGCCAACCGCACTTGCTACTAGTTGGTGATCCAGGTGTGTATTTGAATAGAATTTTGATTTTAATATAAACGATTGTGTCCGATAGGCACTGGAAAATCATTTTTTCTTAAATATGTTGCTAAAATGATGCCACGAGCTGTGTTAACAACTGGCGTTGGTTCAACCAGTGCTGGTTTAACAGCTACAGCTGTTCGAGTAAGTGAACTGGCACATAAACATGTACATAAATGACAAATTCTGGTCTAGGACGGACCCGGATGGACATTAGAAGCTGGAGCGCTAGTTCTGGCTGACGAAGGTATATGTTGTATTGATGAATTCAATACGATGAAAAATCAAGATAAAGCTTGTATACTCGAAGCAATGGAACAGCAAACAATTAGTTTAGCTAAAGTATGCTGCTGTCCATTTTGATTTTTCTCTATTTGAGTTATGAAGGGAGGAATGTTACGAACATTACAAACACGTTGTTCTATCATCGCATCAGCAAACCCTAAAGGTGTTTATGATAATGAAGATCCATTAACAATCAATACAGCACTTTCATCACCATTATTGAGTCGATTCGATTTGATTTTACTGACACTTGATACACAAAATCAAGAGTGGGATAATATTGCTGCAACGTATATCACTGAAGGAATTGATCTACTTGGTACATTTGATTCCTTTCTTTTCTTTTTATTAGAGAGTTATTTACATTTAGGTCATGGTACGCTGAAAAAACCGTGGTCAATAACGAAAATGCGAGATTATTTCATGACGATCAAATCTGCTGAGCCACAGATGACAGAAGATGCTGAAACAATCATTAAGACGTATGTAAACTCTTCCCTATTCAATTACATCCCAGAATCTGTATATTTAGTTATTATTCTCTATCCCGTCGATTGACTGAAAACTCGGAGCGACATATAACTGTTCGTCAACTCGAAAGTACTGTCCGTTTAGCGCAAGGTAGTAAAACAAGCACTTCTCTAAAAACGAAGTTCATTCGAAAAGATATATTTTAGCTCATGCAAAATTATGTTTTTCACCACACGTCACAATACTCGATGCAGTTGTTGCTGTTCTACTGATGGAAGCAAGTTTGAATGGTTGTGGCAAGTTAATTGATAAAATGAACGCTTTACACACAACATTCGCAGAACAACCGGAGAAAGAATATGAGGGGCATGGTAGGTCCATCCCTTTTCTTCGTTTTAACTGCTCTTACTTTGTTATAGTTCATCTTGTTCTCGACTGGCTAAATCTCTCGGAATTACGTGATCGCGAACTCGAACGCATTGCTCAGGAATATGATCAATCAAAGCCATGGACTGAAAATGATGAGAATGAAAAACGAACTATGCCTCGCGAATTTAAAAGGCCCCAAACACCATCGGTGTACCCTACTCAATCTGCAACAACAAATAATGGATTTAAACTGCTTTCAACTCAAATCGCACATCAAGAAAAACGAGAAGAGATCAAAGCCAATCAACATACGGAACAATATTCGACGCCACTTACTGTTAAACCTCCTGTGTTTAATAATCATATAAGTCCTATTGATAAAGTAGGGCCCAGCACTCGTATAAATACTCAAATTCTCGTACCGATCGATGAAAATACTTCATATGCCGACGAACAATCTCAGGCCAAACGTCGCAAACTAGACAATCAACCAGAGAAAGAAGTCTGTTTGAGCACAATCGACGATATTGATGAAGACGATCTGAAATTTTGAATTTTTCTCCAAACAGTCTTTAATCTAGTCAATATTTATGTTAAATTTAGTGTGAATAACCAGAGAATATCGATGCTAACAATCTGTTTTTTTAGATAAACATGCCTTTCTTCATTAGAAAACCAAACTCGGAATCAAAAGACAAAAAGCGCAAGGTAATCATTTCTTTTCTTTCATTCTTGATTGTTCATAAGATAGAAGTTTTAGAAATTACTTAAATCTGAAAATGCCAAGAAAAAAACGAAATCCACATCATCTGAATTCACAAATGGTCATACAAACAAGAAATCCAAAAAACAAAATGACATTATAGACGAAAACGAAGAAATTCCAAGCGATAGTGATCTTGAAGAAGATGACGAACAAAACCGTCAGACGAATGGAACTGTTCGATTAGATAATCTCTTATTAAACGAAGAAGATGACGACGATGATGAAAATAACGTTCATGAGCAACGATTGAAACGTGCGAAAGAGTACATTGAACAGATTGCCAAACAAGGTAGGAATGAATCTGTAACTTGAATGAAAAATAAAATGGTTTGATTTTCAGAAAAAGAACGTGAACTCGATCGTGACGCTGTTTCTGAACGTCTTCGTGATGATGTCGTATGTTGAAATAGAATTCGATTATGTGAAGATTTACATATTGTTCGCGTTTAGCTTGAACAAGCGGGTAAACTTCATCGTCAAGTTGCTTCAAATGTAAAATCAAGAATTTGACCATAAAAATAAAAATCTATCTCTTTCGTTTTATTAGTATTCTCAACCTGTTCTTCTTCACACATGTCGTGGTCATCAACAAAGTGTCACCTGTGTATGTATCTCAAATGACAACAAATATGCATTCACTGGATCAAAAGATTGCAGTATTATTAAATGTAAGTTCTACAAATAATCTTTCGCAAAAAGTAAATATGAACGTACACATTTCAATTAGGGTGTTTGTTAACTGGTAAAAAACTTCATTTGATACGTCGACTTGTGAAACCCACTGAAACAAACGAACGAGTACCAATTGTTGGACATTACGATCATATTCTTGCAATTAGTATTTCAACTGATGGACAGTTTTTAGTAGAGAATTTTATATGAATCGGCAAATACGAATGTAAAATTTGTTTTTATTCTAGGTGACAGGAGATCGTGCAGATTTGATTCAGGTATGGAATGCAAAAACGTGTCAACATTTGAAGACCCTTCGTGGACATCAGGGACCGATTACTGTAAGTTTTTACATTGGAGAGAGACATTTGCAAAATACAATTTTTGTTCTCTAGGGTTTAGCCTTTCGTCGTAATTCCCATCAATTATTCAGTGCGTCTCAAGATCGATCGGTCAAACTTTGGAATCTAGATGAAATGACCTATGTTGAAACATTGTACGTTGAAAATTGATCTTTCAAGAAAATTTCTCGACGTTTTATTCTAGATTTGGTCATCAAGAACCAATTCAAGCCATTGATGCGTTGATGCGTGAACGATGTGTTACCGCTGGTGGTCGAGATGGCTCATTGAGATTATGGAAAATCGTCGAAGAATCACATTTAATGTTTACTGGACATAGGTATGTATAAACTTGTTTTGTGGGGAAAGGTGTTGTTCACATTCGATTACTATTCAAGAGGTTCAATTGATTGTGTTGCTTTAATTAATGACGAACATATGGTTTCTGGCGGCGATGACGGGTAAGTTGGTTCATAAGGAAAGAAACAAACTGAAGTTAAGAAGAAGAAATCGTAAAATCTTATTACATAAACTCAAACAATAAAAAATTTGACTTTGCCATTTGACCTTCGACAATAGTCAGTGCAAACATTGTGTATATAAAAATAGATGAATATTTTTACTACCGAAACCTTAATATATTCAAATATGCTGATAAGCATAGAGAAATCAATGAATCCGGCCTTTGCCAAAGTTAAGATTACCAATCTGTATTGAATTTTTTCTAGATGCATCGCTCTTTGGTCGACAGGCAAACGTCGTCCTCTTTACAATCTACCTCGTGCTCACAAATTTACGTCATTCGATCCACTTGTGATTCCGTCATCGTTACCTGATGATTTTTGGATCACAGCATTAGCTTCACTTCGTTACACCGATTTACTTGCCTCAGGTTCATTCAATGGCACAATTCAATTATGGAAGTCAACACCTGAATTCAACCATTTGATCCCTCTTTTCACAATATCACAAGTAAGATTTGTTCATGATTTCTTTTCAGTAGAATTCATCGAAATGTTCTAGGTTGGCTTTGTTAATGATCTTAAATTTTCTTCCGATGGTAGTTATCTAGTTGCCGGTATCGGTCAAGAACACCGACTTGGCCGATGGTGGACAGTGAAATCAGCTAAAAATGCTGTTCTGATTTATAAACTCGATAAACATACGAACTAGTCGAGAGTATTGTTTTTTTGTTTTTTGCTTTGTTTTTCTGTGTTTTTTTTATTCTGTTATTTTGTGTGATTATAACACAAAAGATGAATTGATTGAATTAAAAGAAAAAAAGAGAAAACTAAGGCATCTAAGAAGGAAAAACGATCCGGAAATGTTTTGTTTCTTTATAAGTGATTACAAATGATATCTCGGCCAATGCCACGTAAAACAAGTGCCCGGAATTCGTCATAATTCATATTTCCATCGAAATTCTCATCCACTTTACGGATATAGTCACGCAGAGCATCGCCATTTATTGTATCGTTTAATATCGGTAGAAATGCGTTTAGTTCATCGATATGAATGGAACCTGAACGATCGCGATCCAATGTTGAAAATGCACGTTCTAATTCATCACTTGAATAAAATCCCATTATGAATGGACGTAGAACATTAATGAATGCATCGAATGAGAGAGGATTCTTGAGATTACGAACGAGATTTTGATATTGTTCACGAGTGATTGTTGCATCGTATGTTCGATTCCGTTTTTCTCTGTTTTGTTTTGCAATGCTCACTGTTGAACCGGATGTAACAGTTTCCACTACAACTGTCTCATCGAATTGATAATCGATTTGTACAACTTGTCCAGCTCGATTTCGATGAACGTTCTCAATCACGCTATATTCGAGATCCATGTTGAGTTAAGCTAATATTTTCTTTTTCTCTAACAAGAAAGACAAAAGTTACGTACTATTTCAAGTATGCAGATTCGATTAAGTAAAGAAAAGAGAACAGGAATCAGTTCTGTTTTATTAGTAATACGTCGTCGAATAACTTACATTATATGCCTTTCATCTGACTAAATTGCCATAGACAAAAAAAAAGTGACAGGGAATTCTTTCACGATCCTGCGGTTTATTAGTGATGTCTCTCATAAATCATACTTATAGATGCCGAACATAATAACAAACACTTCATTTTGCCTCGTTGTACTCTTTGATTTTATGTCTATAACACTTGCCAGCGAAAAACTCGAAATGTGTATTTGATCAATTCGTTGTAAAATGCAAGAAAATGTCTATGTTGCCTTTACGCATTACTCTTTTATGGACATGCCGCATATGATCAATATTTGCTCATTATAAATAGTGCGCATCGTATGCGTCCCTTTATTCGAAAAAAAACTTTTTTCTCTTCTCTCTTTCTTCGTTTATTGTGCACAAATACTAATCTTTTATGAGGTACAAAAAGAAGATTGAAGTTGTTCGATGAAATTGAATTTTTTTAATGTTTATTTGCATATTTTATATTTCATCTATAGTAATAAAGAAGAAGAAGAACAACAACAACAACAACTTCAAAACGAATTTAGTACATAGAACTCCGAGAGGAATGATAAAAGATACAGAAAAAGAAAAAGATAAGAATAACAAAAAGATCACATGGCAACACTGAAGGTGTGCGTATTTGTGTTTATTTAACTATCTATGTATCTATCGATATCTGTGTACATTTGATAAATTTAAATACGCAACTTTAGTTCTACATTTCTTTAGTACAAGTAAAACGATGACCGTCGATTGGGAAGACCTGAAAGTAAATAATGAATTGAGTTCCTTTTACGTGTTTCTACTCGAATGTTTGTCGATATTCACATAGTATCATAGTGGTTTCGGCAATCATTTTTCATCCGAAGACCCACGTTGTCCAGATGCATTACCAAAAAATCAAGTAAAATCTCATACAAAAATCGAGCGACTTGTAAAGTTGTTTATTTCTCCTTTCTCTCTCTAAAAGAATACGCCTCAATTGTGTCCGTATGGACTCTATGCCGAACAATTATCTGGAACAGCGTTTACGGCACCAAGAGAAACAAATCAGCGAACGTACTTATACGTTATAAACTCAACAAATCATTGATTCACTCTATTTTGTTTTCTAGTTGGTTCTATCGAATTTTACCAGCAGTGTTACATGCACCATTTACTCGCATAAAATCGGATTTGATTACCAATCAATGGGATAAATTAGAACCAAATCCAAATCAAACACGATGGAAACCATTCAATATTCCATCAGTTGAAGATGAAAAGAAAGATTTTCTCGATGTAAATTGATAGAACAAATCTCTTCTGTAACCACTTATCTTATTTCGATAGGGATTAGCAACTTTATGCGGTGCTGGAGATCCTTGTGCTCGGCATGGCATCTCAGTTTCAATCTACGCTTGTAACAGCTCAATGGAAGATCGAGCTCTCTGCAATGCCGATGGAGATTTTCTCATTGGTAAGAGGAATACATCTTGATTTGTTGTTTGATAATGAAAGTCTGATATTTGCTAGTTCCACAACATGGTGCATTGCGTATCACGACCGAATTCGGTCGAATGTTAGTTAAACCGGAAGAAATTTGTGTTATTCAAGTATTTTTGTTGCCAGTTCTGATCGATTCAGATAGAAAAGAAATGCAATTTGTTTTTAGCAAGGTATTCGATTTTCCATCGCTGTTGATCAACCATCCCGAGGTTATGTACTCGAAGTTTTTGATAATCATTTTTGTTTACCAAGCTTGGGACCTATTGGTATTTATCGTCTACAGAATTTGATCAGTACATAATTGATGTTGTATTGTAGGTGCAAATGGTTTAGCCAATCCACGTGATTTCGAAACACCGATGGGTAATTTTCAAGCAATGATTTGAATTAGTCTTGATTATTCTGTTTGCAGCTTGGTATGAAGATCGACAATGTGAATTTACTGTTGTTCATAAATATCAAGGCAGTTTATTCGAATCAAAACTAGTATGCTATTTTCATAGGAAATAATCATTTACCGAAGAGGAAATCTCATTTCAGAACCATTCGTGTTTTGATGTTGTTGCTTGGCATGGGAACTATGCGCCGTATAAGTATGATTTACGGAAATTCGTTGTTGTTAATTCCGTATCAGTTGATCATTTGGTTCGTTCTTTCTTTCGTGAGTGTAAATCACATCCGCTTGCCTGTTCTTCTTCTTCTTTCAGGATCCATCGATATTCACTGTTTTAACGTGTCCTTCGTTAAAACCTGGTACAGCTATTGCCGATTTCGTTATTTTTCCACCACGATGGTCAGTACAAGAACATACATTTCGTCCACCTTACTATCATCGTTAAGTCTACCAAAGATTTGTAAAGCTCGTACTTATTCTAAGAATGTTCATCTTCTAGGTAATTGTATGTCGGAATTTATGGGTCTTATAACTGGTAAATACGAAGCAAAAGAAGCTTTTCAAGCTGGCGGTGCTACATTACATAGTTGCATGACTCCACATGGTCCTGACACTGATTGTTTTGAAAAAGCAGTTACAGATGAATTGAAACCTATGCGTATCGCGGAAGGTTCATTAGCATTTATGTTTGAGTCGTCTTTAAGTTTAGTTCTAACCAACTGGAGTATGAAAGAATGCGAACGTGTTGATCACGACTATTTCAAATGTTGGTCAACATTACGTAAGCATTTTACTGGACCAAAATAAGTGAAAATCATACCAGTGAAACTTAAAAGACAAAATTTTTATTGATTTTCGAAAAAGAAAAATAAAATCCATTGATTATGATGTTGTCACAGCGGTGATTTGCCGATGTGCTTCATGACATAAATTATCTAAATCTCCATCTCCACTAAATTGTAGATCACGAACGTCACATTCGTAAACTTTCATATCATAAACGTGAACTTCACAAACATTTCGAATCGGAATCGTTTGGGTACTAACAGCGTAACCAAGATTTGTTAAATAAACTAAAAGAGAGAATTTTATTGTGAAAAGATGATTTGACAAGCAAAGACGGTGATAATTACGTTCTAGACCCTTAATACGATCTGGTTTATGTTGAACACCGTTGAAACTTTTATATGGACCATATTTTCTATCGAAGCAAAGAAAATTCAATGTGCTATTAACAAATCAAAGAACTATCATACATCAAAACACGTGTTTGAGCCATAGGAAAAGTAGAATGGTTTGCCTGTCAATCAGACGGCATCTCTGAAGAAGTGTAATGATAGTTGCTTAGAAACGAAGGATGTTCGGTGATAAGATACCTTTTAAAAATATGAAAATATCCCTCGTTCTAGTTTTATTTAGCTCACTAACGATTCTCCTTCCATCATAAAAAAAGTCTTTTTTTTAAATAAATTACTTCTACAATATCGCCATCTATATGTATCATTGATATTTCAAATTCAATGTTACCTATCCTACATCAGATTGAGTTATATAGAAAGCCCCAGTGTCGACAGTTTGTGTTGACGACTCACAAAAGATTTTTTTTTCTAAGTATGAAGAATCACATGTTCGAAAATACACTCAAACACAATAAAAAAGAAAAAGAAATATTCATTCTGTTATGAAATAGTCTATTCCTGATATCTTATAATCCAAAATGTAAGACATCTGTTGATTACTGCAAGAAATTTATCAATTAAAATCGTCAAATAATAAAATATCAATTCCATTTTACATTTATTTCATTCTAACACGTTTTCATCATAGCAATTTACTGTCAATGTAAATGCATGAAACAGATAGATGTGAATAAGTATAAAAACATTGCATGACTCATTCGAGGTTATCCGTTGGATAGTTCAAAATGACCAATATGTTTCATTGTCGTACTTCGCGCTTGATTTGTCAAACAATAACAACGATTTCTAATATATGTTGCCAACTATTGACTCATAGTTTTCTGTGTTCGGGACGAACTATGCTTATCCTTTCCTCTGCAACTTCTTTTTCTTCCTCGCTCTCTTATACTGCCCTTGTTGTTTTTTTCCTGTGTACTACTCTTTAACCGTTCTGTTACTGGCTGTAATCATAGAGGAAAAATAGTGGAGTTGATGGAGTACACGATGATCAAAAGCGTCATCAACAAGTGTTTATCTTTCTATTTCCACTTCTTATTTTTAGACGAAATAAACGTATTGATTATTCTATTTTCTTAAATAAATTATCGACAATTATTGCTTCTTAACGCTCAAATATGAGCAGTAGTAGTAACGACTCTCATAGAAAAAGTACTAGTAGTGTTTTAGAAAAACTCGGTCAGAAGATAACGAATATTAAAGAAGATATTGCTGATAATATTGAACGTCGAAGATTATCTCATAGCAATATTAGTGCTAGTCAAATGCAGCAAGTGTCACGAGCAAATGTCACTGATGATGGCTCAATTGACGAGAAAAAAGCGTCAACACCGACAGAGAATCAACCGGTTCGCATAGGTAAGAAGAGAAAACTTTTTCTTGTTCGATAAGGAAAGAAAAATGAAAGAAGATACTGAAAAATTTTTCATTTTACAAACGTATTGCTAAGATAGAATAAGGTTTCGATTGTAAATGGAGCACGATCATCATCATCATAAATGTGAGTCGCGTAAAAAGAATTTTATATTTTATATTCAACTAACGAAAGCTTTCAAATGATCAATTAATGTTGTTTTTTCTTCGAATATATAGGTGAGGATGCTCCACCGACGGAACATGTCTACTCAATATCCCAATTGGCCATGGGTTTCGGAAAACGGCCAACAAATGACACATTGGCTGCTGCAACAGCTGGCATGGTTCATAGTGATTCATTTCGCTCATTTCAAGATATATTTTCCACAGAGAATTCCGAACAAGCAAAAGATTTAATTATGAGTGGTGTACGACACGAACTCTATAATAGTCATAGTCGAGCAACAAGCGAAAGTGGTTCTGATGAATTCGTAGTTACTAAAATCGATCCTATTGATTTTACAGCCAAACCTACTGTTGTACGTATGGATAAAAATGCACGAAAAACGACGATGTTATTAGCTGGACCGAAATTTCGTTTTCATACAGTGCTACCTGAATTTAATGTCAAACGAGATACGATTTATCCAGTTTCGGTTAGAATTTACTTTTTGATAACTTCCCCTACTGTATTCTTATGTTTTTTATTAGTGTGCAGTGGGATTTTTCACAATACTTATTACATTATGGAAACCAATATCATCATTTTTTAGTGGATTTTTTGTTGGATTTATGTTTATCGCCGCTCTTGCTTATATGATAACACGAATCTATGCTACTGCCAAAGCAGATGAAACAGTTGTACACGAATGGATCGATTTTCCAGAATTGAATAAATTCCATCAAGTTAAAACACCGCATGAAGCCAAACATACAACTCTACACGTAAGAATTGCAGCAATCTATCTGAATAAGTTCAACGAATTTTACTCTACTCTTATTCGTAGACATGTGGAGAAATCTTGTTTGGTAAATATGATGCTGATCGTGATGATGATTATGTTCGTTATCCAGTTGTCATACGTTTGGATAACTATCATCTCACTATTCAATTACCAACTCAAGCAATTGAAGAAGAACATAAAGACAAGGAAATTCGATTTGTTGGCCATCGAGAATATTATCTCAACGGTAAAACATTCAGAATCGAACCAGAATAGTTCTAACATAATTCCAATTTTCTACGTTCCAGAAGCTAAGATCATGCTTGTTCCTGAAGCTACAATGACACGTATTAAATATTGGGTCAATGAGTATCCTATAATCATTCAAGATCTCAAATTACTTAGCAAAGAAGTATACAGCCAGGAAAATTTAGGAAAATCAAAATTTGACACAATAGACTTTTTTGACAATACACAAACAGCTATAAGTCTATTTCTGGAAACCGGTCCTGCCAAAGAAGATTGGTTTCATAAGTAAGTGATTGGCTCATTTCCAAATTCGACTTTAGTAAATTATATTTCTAGATTATCACTTGTCTTACGACAAGGCAAAGAAGAAATTGAACGAGCTAATCTAGCGCTAATGGGTGCACCATCAGCACCTGCCGTTGTCTCGAATGTCACATCTCCATCAATCAATATGATAGCGCAAAGTGTTCCTGATACACAGATTCCAACATTGGGTACACGAGCCGAAGACATGCAAACAAACTCAGTTAATCTTGACGACCGTGTGCAAATGAAGGCAGCCGAAACAGTCGGTCCACCTTACGCAGATACAACAGCAACAGATAAAGGTGAAACTGAAGTACTCCGTAGTCAAATTAATGAGACTGATATTCGCAATGATATGGTTCAAGCACGCTTAGCTGCACAAGAACTACGTATTGAATCACTGGAAAAGGACAAAGAAAAAGACAAAGACAAAGATAAGAAAGCAACTGACAAAGATGTTGATGTTACGGGTTCACATCAAACAGCATCAATGAAAAAGAAATTCCGAAAGCAGGAAGAAAATCTCGAGCGTTTACTTGATGCACCAGATTGTCTCGATGAAGCAGCAATAACGCTAAATTTCGTTGCCCGTCGGTTACTTTGCGACGTTTTCGAAGAACCTTTATTCAAAGATTTAATGAAAGAAAAAATCGAATTAAAGTTGAAAGAAATTGCCGTAAGTCAAATAACTATTGAGATGATGGAAACGAGATGTCTCTATTTCATTCAGGTCACAGTATTAGAAGATCTACATGTCGAAACCATCGATTTAGGAAACACTTTTCCTGTTATATTAAAAGTTGAGCCTATGCAATTCAATGCGAAAGGAATCTGGTTCAATCTATTTCTTTTCTATCGAGGAAGTTTCAAGTGAGTATTGACTTTAGTGTATCAAACGATTTCTTCCTTTGTATTTCAGAATAACGATCAAAACTCGTCTTGTTCTTCAACGACTTCTCAATTACAATCCTGTTTATGATCAACCCATGTACGCCCAACATCATTCTGCACAAAATGCTCCTAGCGAGGATAAGATTGACGATGATGATCTTGTCGAACGACAAAAGTTATTAGCGAAAGAGCCAGATGTACCCGAAAAGTAGGACATATCTGTTTTTTCGGTATTGGATATATTTCTTCTTCATAATTTAGTGCTGCATCACGTAAATTAGGCACATTGTTACAAAAAGTCGCTGCTAACAAACATTTTCAACGATTTGCCGCTTTGAAACCAGTTGCCGGCGTGATTGAAAAGTTGTCTAATGCCGAAGTTGGCGCAAAGGTCGAACTCACCAGCTTTAGTGGTATGATGACGGTATGTTAAAAAGGCACTTCAGAAGTTATTTCGTCAATACGTTCTACCCTTTGTTATCTAGATCAACATTCCACCCCCACCAAGTGATCGTATATGGTAATTTTGTTGTTGGAAATTTATTCTTTAAGTATAACATTCTTCTCTTGATATAGGATCGGCTTCCCTGAAATGCCAGATCTTAATCTTAAAGTGACACCTGTTTTCGGTGAAAGTAAATATTCTTACACATTAATTCATGATTTTCTCGAAGCACGTATCCGTGATGAACTCAAAGTAAAGTTTTATTTAACGGCTCGAACGTATCTTCATATAATGACCTTTTAGCGTATGGTTGTACTTCCATCAATGGATGATCAATTGTTACCACTATTTCGTGATTGGGTTATTGATGTTATGTATGTGGAAATTCTTTCTTCCAATTCAAATTTGAGAGTGTTTTCTTTTTCAGCGGTGAAATTGCTGCGAAACGAGCAAATCCATTGGTTGATAGTTATAAAAGTCAAACATCATTCCGAGATAAATTTCAGGAGTATAGAGATATCAAAGAGCTCAATCGTGCAGGATCATCATCACCACCTGAAAAATTGAAGTCACAACACCAATCATCGACACAATCGACTTCAACTAATGCTAGTGAAGAACTTGGCGAAGAAATGACTGTACTGTAAAACAAAACAACACCGATTTTCTTGTACATATACACGTCTATACATAATCACGCGCATATTCTCTTTTTACATATCGTTAATCATGCTTTTATTGCGTTTCGTTTATTTGAAAAAAGTAAATAGTTCGATGTATACATCTGTTAGAGAATGAACTTCGCCTTCATTGTCCTTCTAGACATGGATTCTAACGAAAGAATGTTTCTAGTTTTGTGAAGTTCTCTACAAAATAATGATGCCAATTTAAATCGTATAGCCTTCAATTGTCAACTTACAGTCACGCAAAGAGATCGACAGAATACGATCAAGTAGACTTCTCTTTCCTTTCTGCACAGTGTAAACATATAATTACTGCAGCATTCTCTTGATTTCCTTCAATATTGAAATTTATAGGTAAAGTCTACCATTTCTGCATTTGTCTATGCAAATGATGATGGTTAGCTTGGGTAATCGTATTGAAAGTAATATCTGACGTTATTACAGAAGAAGAAAAACCATCGATCGAGTGGCTGACAGCAAGTAAATGTGACAGTCATCTATATTTACCATTCCTGAAATAATCGAGTATTGAATATCGTTTCATATGGACATAGGTGAACAAATATTTTCATATAATACATCTGTATAGCCATAGAAAAGAAAAAAATTAAATCAAAATCCTTTTCTTCACATTTTTTGCTTTAAAGAACACAAAGAAATTCTTCATTGTATGTAATACTCATATTTGATCGGAGAAAATAGAGACAAACGTCAATCAATTCACTCGAAACTTCAGCATATATCTTTTACTTGCCATCCGCTAGAATGTCTCAACGTTTGAAACTTTTATTGCACAAACATCCTAAACAAGAGCAAGAACTACGTGTGATAAGCAATCCGTTACTTCATCAACGATCAATCGTTCTTCAAGAAGATGATTATCAAGCACCATTAACTGCGCATACACTAGCACCGAATTCCAAATGGATTATTGTTCGAAATAATATACATCAGATTCGCAGTTGGGGTGGAATTAGTACATCGGATATCGAACAACAATTTGTCGACTGGTATATACTCATTCAGATGCGACGAGAATTACGACGTGCTAAAAGTCAAATTAAAGAAATAGAACAATCGAATTTTACTCCTATTCGTAAGTTTTACCTACCAATTAATCCTACATCTTCTCGAAAGTATAACGTAACACATTTACGATCGTCGGACACGTTATACCACCCGAGTTTTGGTGCAGAACCTGTTGTATTACAAGCGCTACTTTATTATTTCTCGAAAAATTGCCATGTACCATATAATAGTTTGTTTCGGCCATTTTTATCTGATGTATGCGCAATCATCTATCAGAATCGGCAACATCTCAATCGCGCAGCCGTTTTTCGTAAAGTTGCATTAGTTACTGCTATAATTGTCTTTATCATTCTCGGTCTCATGTTATGCTCGTTGATAGTGAGCGTACTTACTTCAACATCGAAAATTATTGATTTGTATAGAGATGATTCCGATGGTGGACCAGAATGGCGAGCACCGGAAGTAAATGCCGAGTAAAATTTCAGTTTTTTATAATCATGAATTAGTTCTGAAATATATTTAACAAGACTATAGCTATGATGATAAAGAAGAGTTTTCGTTGTTGAGTGTTTGATTTTGTAAACAACACGTTCGTACATCAAACCAAATCAAGACCAAAATTAATTTTGTAAATGATATTGATACGATCGAAATATACACCTGATAAATTCGCGTCGAAATCGACGTCTAGGGCGAGGAAACCTTAACTAAACACACTGTTCGGCATTCTTCGAGCGCCCTCAGCATAGACTATATTCACAATACAACTATCTCAGAAGTTGTAATGATACTACCAGTAAACAACCGTCTATCGAAACAAAACTGTCTCTGCTCTACTACTGAATGAAAAAAGGAAAATTATTTTCTATTGATGATTTCAGATTCGCAAACCTCAGTCCATTTGTATAAAAAGAAATTTTTTTTGTTCTGCTTAGCCACACAAAGCTTCTTGATCAATCTTGCACTCAACTAAAAATAGAAACTGATTTGTTCCTACTAATTCATATGTTTTCTAGCACAAGTCGACTTCAAGACTGAGTCAGTTAATGTACACATATTCACGGTTGAATGATTGCATACATGCTCCGCAGGTGCTCATGTTTACATCCAATACAATGTATAGTCATTTTTCTTCTTATCTATCTGTTGTCGTTTGTCAATGAGTTAGTTATTTAAATATATTAAAATCCAAGGTTACTCTTTAACAAGCAAACATGTGCTTTAATTTCAATAGACTTTTGTGTCGTAGAACGAGTGTATCTAGTTCGTTCTTGGTTTTGATTGATTCTGAATTCTGAAACATATTTTATTGTTGCGCTTTTTATGAATAAAAGAAAGTGAAAGAGAGAAGGACAGCGCACGGCTCCAAGTAAAGAATAAATTCTCTTCGTTCACATGATTTTTGACAAAAACAAAACTATTTTAAAACGAGCAGAACAGGACAAAATTAATTGATAGGTATCGTTGAGGCACATTGAGTTTTCAAGCAAAATATTTTTATTTTCATTCTAGTATATGATTTATTCATTCAGAAATAATGCTCGTTCTTTCTCTTGAATTTTTTTTTCATTATTTTCATATGCACGAGCTTCAATTACAATCACTGTCGTCCATGTGATAACACAGTTTAGAAAAAAACACTATCACTACCTTGAATCATCGACATACCTGCGGCTCTTCGTAATATTTAACAAATTGTATATTTCGGCCTTTCTCTCTCTCTCTGTCTCCCTTCGATGTTTTACCTTTCTTTAATAATATATAACGAGTATGGTATAAAACCTTGTCATTTTCTGTCGTTAACTATCGATTTTTGTATGATTGCAGAGAGAGAGAGAGAGGTAAGAATGAGACATAAGTCAAGAGATTAGCTTGTAGGATACGAAATACTAATCATTTAATATATTTTTCTTTCATCCTTCGAAATGCATTAGTTCTTCTTTTGCTGATCGCTATAACTAATCACTAATATTGATATTTAGTCTATCGTTTGTCGATTAACCTATTACAGGGTAAAAATAAAAGGCAAAATCATATTTTGCATTTCAACAATTGAATAACTTCCATATTTATATTCAAGAAAATATACTTCTAAGGCATCCCCTTTTGACTGATTCCTATTATATTCATATTCAGAGATTGAAGCTTTCAAGGTTTATGTAAATCATGTGTATATATATGTACATATTGACATTTAGATATACTATTAGCAGCGAAATTCAAATGGCTCAATCGTCTCGTACTCGACTTCTGCGTGTTCCGAAACAAGAACAAGAAATCCATGTTATCACAAATCCATCTGACGGACGAAACAGTTCTCCACAAACACCGAACTCGCGTGGATCATCTCGTCAACGTTTGAAAGAAGATGATTATCAGGCACCACGTACTGCTTCTCGTCTTCGTCAGAAATCTCACTGGTTAATCGTCCGACGCAATTTACATCGAATACGTTTTATGGGCTATAATCAACGCGAACGAGACACTAATTTACCTGATTTCTATATTGGTTTACAGATGAAACGTGAACTGAAACGTGCGCAAGAAGAAATCCAAAACATTGATAAAGAAGAAAATTTTCATGCAGTGAAAAATTTCGTCTTAGCTGTGGATAGTCGACGTTTAAAAACGTATGATACGAGTCATGTGAAACCAAATGATGCACTCGTCTATGATCGACTGGGCGAAGAGCCATTACCTTTACAAAATCTACTCTATTATTTCAGTAAACAAGAAGTCGCACATGGTACGGTTTTCTGGGATTTTTTAAATGAAGTTAATCGAGTTTTGCATATGCAAAGAAAACGAACGGTACTCATCAAAAGATTGAGGAAATTAGCTTTGACATTATCGATTATTTGTTATATCATTATCGGCACAATGTTTTTCTCATTGATTGTCAGTGTCATAACAACAGCAACAAAAATGAACGATCCTGCAGTGAGATGGTTAGAGCCTGAAGAAGAGCAATATACTACAACTAGTTTTCTAAGATTATAAGACAATTTCTCTAAGAAACTTCTCGTTCGAGCTAATGAATAAAAATTTTCTGTAGATTTCGAAAAACTCTGTAATAAATGAATTTATCAATTATAATTTCTTTTCAAGCGAAATTCTGTCGTGGACCGTGACTATTTCACAGTCTTTCACTGATTTTCCGCTTGATTTATGAATCAACCATATGATGTCAATTAGACAAATGATTCGTTCGTTGTACCTCAGCCTTATGCTGATAATTTTTAAGAAAAAAATAGCTCAGAACAGTCATTGGTCGCCAAGTTGCGTCTCCGAGTGATATTACTGGTAATGACATGTTTGATTACTTGTTCACGCTTATTACATGGTAGATAATGAAAAGCATTATAGTTGTACTGTCATCTCTGCTGCAAATGAATAAGAAACGTTGAAATATTCGAAAAGATTCAGTGGAAAGAAAACATCGGTTTCGTCGATACACGGTATTCTAAAATGCAATCTGATGATGATTATCATTCAGATTCGCTGTTTTATCAGATGCTCGAACATGTGAATCACATACTGTCAACATATATCTCTAAAAACCACAGTTTCACCATCTATTATCTCATCAGTCTGCAAAACAACTGACCAAAAGCGAGACTTGAAATATTTCAGTCATTGTTTACATGCAAGAATGAATATTTAAATAAATAAAGTTAATCATGATGTAGACTCCCATGCCCATGATCAAATTCTAATCGGCTATGATAAACAAAACAGTTGTCTTGTCAAAGAATGTGATTGATTGATTTTGTTTTCATTATCTGCTTTGTGAATACGATTCTGAATACAAAGTCATACGACTTAAAGCGACATCTAGTGAAATCTATGTGATAATATATCACAAAAATAAATAAACTATAGACTCTGGAATCGAGTTTGGTTGACATCAAGTCAACTTCGGTTCAAATTTCACAACCTCATCAGAAATTGTATTTTTGATTCCGATGACTAATGTTTCCTTGTCCATTGGCACGCGTTCTCATTTCTTATGTTGAAATTTCGACTTGTTCAGGATAAACAACTTGATGCAATACCTTGCAATACCATTTTCGTATAAGTCTTCCTTTGCAACATTCATTCATTTAGATATCAAAGCTCTCAAGAAAGAAACAAACCATGTCGAAACGTGGTACTCAACGAACTCGTGGCAGTACTAAAGTACGTTTTGATAAAATCACATCTAACGGTGCATTTTCGATTTTGTTTTAGCCTGCAAGTAGTGCTAAAGCTTCCGCTACCCTTAACACACATGGGATCACTGCAGTGACCTTATTTTCTGGTAGAACATTTTATGCTTCCAGAGAAAAAACTTTTCGTTTTTCCAAAGCAGGAGAAGTATCATTTTCCTCTGGAATCGACGAACACGGCATTGATGATAATATTGATTCGGATTTACGAGTGATTTTACGGAAATTAACAAAAAAAGATTCAACAACCAAGATTCGAGTAAAAACTAAAATTCAAGTCTTTTATTCTCGATGCAGTTCTTGTCCTTCAAAGGCGTTCAACGAATTACGTGACTATTGTGATGCAAATGAAAAAGATGACAAGATTCAGGCTATTCTACCATTTTTCGTTTCACATTACCGCAAATGGTCGATCGTGAGTTAAGGTTTGTAAAATTGAATTCGTTCTATCCCTATTCGTTTAGGATCCTGATCAACGCGTTCGTGATGAATGTCAATTAACATTTGACACCATTGGTACGCGCATGCAAAAGAAACTTCTACCACATTTAAAAACTCTCCTACCAATTTGGTTAATGGCTCAATGTGATTCTTACGCACCAGCTGCGTCGAAAGCGAAGTTTCTCTATACGAAATTGTTTTACAGTGTAGAAAGACAAGCTGAAGCTGTCTATTTTGCTGGAAATGAAATTATGACAACATTAACTGATGAAATCAATCAATGTTCAGATGCTCTTAAAGACAAGTAAGGCGCACGCGCTGTCTTGATTTGTTTTGAAAAATGATTTGTCGTATAATAGGAAAGAAAACGAAATGGAGACTGATGATGCACATGAGAGACGATTAACACAAGTTCTGTTAGCCTTGGCCTTGTTCTTGAATTATTTAGAAGAAAAGAAACGTGCGGAATTAACAGGTTATTTCAAAACTATATTCGATTCCGGGAAATTTTGGAAACTAGATCAAATCAAATCAATTAAAGTACAGTCAAATGTTCATTTCCAACAAATGAAATCATATTTTTCTTGTTAATTAGATTCAAAGTTCGTTCTATCGTTGTCTCGAAGACTTAATTACCCTTATTCCAGACGTCATGTGTGAATATAAAGTGAAAATCATTCCACTTGTTTTCCATTCAATTAACGAAACTGAGCCCAAACTTTGTCCTGTCATATGGGAATGTTTAATCCTTTGTCTCGATACGTTTGATGATTGTTGGTCATTAGTTAAATATCAAAAAGCGTTTTTACCGAAATTATACGCCTTTTTAAGACATGCTTGTCATGGAAATGTTTTCGGAGTGAAAGATTGTTTTGTACGATTGTTACAAAAAATACCGGAAGAGATTATCAACGATAAGACGACCTATCGATTCGTGGAAAACTTCTTTTCTGCTATGGAAGATGGAATTATTTCGATTAAAGGACGGCAACAAATGACAAGCGTCAGTTCATTATTAAATGCTTACATGGATTGTTTACTCTACATCTTAGACCATCACTCTACTGACCAACTTGCTTTTCTTAGTGAACGATTGGTACCAATGATACGTTTGTCATTGATTGATAAAGATTGTTCATTTCGAAATGTCTTCGCTCGACAATATGTGCCTGTTTTGAACTCAATCAAATCATTTCGACTTTATCGTGATCATCTGAATAGTGTTTCATCATTATTTCATAATCTAATCAATCAACCATCAACAACAACAACAGAATCGAATGATCTCAAGTACATCTTCGATCAATCGGCTGTTCTCTTTGATACGATACTTTCTCCTCCGAAATTGAAAAACTTACGCTTTGCAGTAACAACAATTAAAACATCATCATCAACTGATCTGTCATCAATCGATTCGGCTACATTTCAAGCTGAAGATACGGATGACATTGACAATAACGATCAAAAAGATAAATATCTGACTGGCTTCGCTACAAAATTATGTCAAGATTGTTTTCAATTTTGCCTGAATAATCCGACGCATCCTGCATTTGAAAATAGTTTAGATCTATTTACACGTCTATTAAACTCGTCAGCATCGAATAGTACTGAAATCATAACTAAACTAGCAGAAAATTTGGATTCAACAACTACTATTCCCGAATTATTCTATCTGAATTACGCAAGACCATTGATAACAGTTGCCATTGAACAACATTGTTCATTGGATCATATTGTCGACTTAACTATTCAAGTATTGAATACGTTCGATTCATCGGAAACCATCGTCGAACGTGTTCTTGCTGATCTAATCAAAGTAAGACCTTTGTTGGAGAAAAATCGAAATTTGAATCATTTATTTAGCTTGAATCATCTCGTCGATTCTACTTTCTCTTAGCTTCGATTGTTTGCCGTTACGAATCGTCGCCTTCATTTCATACATGGTAATTTTGCTTTAGGAACATCTTTTCTCTCATTCGTCAGTTTCATTCAGGCTACAAAACCATGGTGTTCTCGAACAATTATTAAACATGACAGCTAGTGTGACAAAATCGAGTGAAAATCCCGATTTAAACTTCCCTGTTTCAACCGAAGAATTTCAGTTACTCTCATCATTACTTTGTTCAGCGAAACCAACTCAGTTTTTGACATCCATCCAACAAGAACAAATCGTTTATCTTGCCTGTCGTCTACTTGAACAGCAAACACCTTCAGTGAATGATTCCGATTCACACAAAGACCTTATTCAAAGTATTGATCATGTTGCTAGACATCTATTTCAAACAATTAATAGTACATATATGAATCAATCGACGAAAAATCTCTTTCAACTCTACGTTCTCAATGATATCAACAATCTAATCCGAAAAAATACTGATTTAAGTCTTCATCAACGTTCGATTTGGCTAATCGCGATAAAACAATCGAAAAAGGTTTCTAAAGATATTTTTCAACATCTCATTCAACTTCTCGTCTCATATATTCCGACACAATCTGATAACGAACTTTTCGTCGATATGATCATTTCAATTTGTCAAGATGAAACAAATTTAGCTGAAGAATTGTATTCGAAATTATTACAACGTATTTCCCTATCAAACGATTTAATTCATGAATCATGGATTGTCGGTATTCTTCATGGATGGCTGTTACCTGATCAGACAATTGATATGAAATTTTCCAATAAAAAATTCTCCGATTCCGATCGTTTTCTGGATGTTCAATTTCTTTGTTTATTGGCTATTCGTCAATATGAATTGAACTCTTACCTTTGGACAAATGATGAATTGATAAAAAGTTTAGTTTTGAATTATTATTTGTTTCAATATCGTTGTGTCGATGTGAAACCGTTGCATATTCTCTTCGAACGTTTATTCCTTCTCTCGACATTTTCTATCGACTTGAATCTGATTGAAAAATCGTCACTCTCCAATGAATTCTATTCCGAATTGATTTATTATCATCTCTACTGTCAAATCAAAGATCGATATTTAACAATCAATCAACGTGATGATATTATTCAATATACATTGATCGCGGGTAACAACGATGAATTCAATTGCCATTTAATTCTCGCGTCGTTCTTTCGTGAGTCTCAATTGAAAATTTTAATTCCGTATTTGATCAAACAATGTCAAGAAGAACAACGAAGCGAATTGACTTTAGCAGCATTGAATCAAGCGCTAATTCGAATGAATAAACTAGGAATTATATTTGAGAAAGAATACTTGAATCAAATCTTAGAAGTGCTAATGAAATCCAGTCTATCGTCGAAGGAATTGCTTCAACTAATACAATTATGGAATACTTTAATTAATCATGGAACATTTGTGTATCAGTTTGAACAAGCTCATTGGGATCATGTTTTATGTTTGATAAGTGATCTATTTCAACAGTTAACAAATATTCAGCAACAAATTCAACAAGAATTTACCTTGAGAACGGAATTTCTCTTTATCCATGCGGCGAATTTGCTAACAACAGTTGGAAATCTTTTGACAAACGCAACGAAACAAGAAGATACTGAAGGATTTAGTAAACAGTTGTTAGAGGAATGGTTAGTTCTCTATAGTAAAGACATCTATCAAGGTCTACTACCACTCTACATCGCATTGCCTAGTAAGTATCAGTGATTTCATCTGATCCGCTTAGTTTACGAAATGCTTTTCTAGGTGCTTTAGCAGAATTTTCTGCATTTCATGTAACTAATGAAATGGTCAAATCAATCTGTTGTGCTATTTGTACAATTCCAACAGATTATCTTGTTTCGAACAGTCTAAAACCACTTTTCCATTCATCGGATAACCAATCAACTCTCTCCGATCACATTCAAACTGTATTCAATCATCTCTATCGTTTACTTTGTCTAACTCCGAACCGTTCATTGCAATACTCTGCCTATCATCTTTTGAATAAACTCCTTCCACATATCGCTCCGACTCTCATTCAAACAACGAATGATGAAAATATTGCGGAGGACAATCACACATGTCAACTACTTGGTTCGATGATTGAAGCATTAGAACGAACGGAAAACACCATTGGTCAATTATTAAACGAAAACGATATCGTCGAAGAGCATCTTCTCGATGATAACGGACACGAAATGCTTTCTTATGCATCCCCAACAACCGTTAAAACTGATAAAGAACATCTGATTATCGGTGAACTACTCAATTATAAATTACTATTGAATTCAATCAATTGTTATTCATCTGTGGAACAGCGTTACACATATGCATTGATGTTACAAGAGAAAAAGCTAGTCGATCGTTTTCTCTCGATCGTATTAGGATTGATCCCAGCCAATCCAGTTTACAATGATCCATTGTCAATGCAAGTCTCCTCAATAACGAAGAAATTCACACATTCTAAGTCGATGTTCGAGAATGACGTCCAACTCAGCCCAGCAAGTAAGTCGAAACTATGAAAGATATTTACTAATGACATTCCATGCGCGCATACTTTGAAAAAATGTAGTATATATGTGGTACTTTTAGGTGATGTGAATTCGCAATACACAGTTCCACATTTGGCTTGCTCAGTTTACTTTCAATGCTTGAGTTTAATTCCTGCTCTTGTTCGAGAATGGTATTCGAATCAACCGAAGCGTATTCGTGATGCTGTGGAGCGTGTAACACAAAAATATGCTAGTCCTATACTCATCCAGCAAGAATTGGATTCAGCATCGTCATTAAAAGAAGTCAATATAGGCGAAGCAGGTCAATTTACAGTGAGAAAACATTCAAATACTCGTGAAATAACGGCTGTCTATAACATTGAAACTTCTCGAGTGGAGATCTGTGTTCGTCTACCAGCAAATTATCCACTGAGTATAGCAACTATTGAATGCACACATTATGTTGGATTTACTAAAGATCAGTGGAATAAATGGATGTTACAATTGAAAACAAATCTTACACAGAATGTAAATAAGAACGAAGAAGACGAATTCGAAAGAAATTGTTGTTCGATTCTGTTTTAGAATGGTGCTATTGCTGATGGTTTAACGCGCTGGAAACAAAATATCGATAAGATGATGCAAGGAATTGAAGAGTGTTCAATTTGCTATTGTATTTTACATACGAATAACGAATTGCCTAAGCGGACTTGTCGCACATGCAAAAAGAAATTTCATGATGCCTGCTTAGTAAGTTTGACTGGAAAAAACGAACATTGGTTATTCGAATGAACTTTTCTCTTTCAGTTTCGTTGGTTTCGATCATCAAATAAATCAACTTGTCCACATTGTCGTGCAAACTTTTAATCTTTTCATGTTTTCGTTGTGTTTGTTTGTTTTTAACTACTTTCAGTCGGTTTTTGATATAAATGTGTTATACGAAATTTTCTCTGACACAAAGAAAAACGCATACAAACAGAAATATTCTTTAGTTATAGATTATTCAATGTCAGTAGATAAAGCAAAAGAATCAGCAGCGATTGCGGCTGTTAATGAACATATTAATCATGTAGGTAGACGAACTCGTAGTGTTTTTCGTTCGAATATTCAAATTTAATATTTCAGAATGTACATGTAATCGGTGTGGGATCAGGTTCAACGATTATTCCAGCAGTGAAAAGAATTGGTACGCTATTTGAATCGATTGATTGTTGACTCATTTGCAAATTCTAGCGGAAATGGTCGAAAAAGACAAATTTGATTTGATTTGTGTTCCGACTTCATTACAAGTTTGTATAGATAGACAGCAGATGGAATTCATGTTTTCATTTTTTTTCTAGGCTCGTGAACTGATACTCTCGCATGGTTTGAAACTTGGCAGTTTAGTTGAATACCAAGAAGTGAATATCTCGCTTTTGATTATGAAATTCTTGATTTTTATCTGATATGGTTTAGCTTGATGTGGCAATCGATGGTGCGGATGAAGTTGATGAGCAATTTAATTGTATTAAAGGTGGCGGTGGATGTCAAACACAAGAGAAACTCGTTGCTATTTGTGCAAAGAAATTTATTGTCGTTGCCGACGAAAAGTAAAAGAAGTTTAGGAGCAGAAACACAACTCATTTGATTACCGGATAGAAAATGGTCAACGAATCTGGGTGATAAATGGAAGAAAGGAGTGCCCATCGAGGTTCTTCCCATCGCGTATAAAATAACGAAAAAAGAAATTGAAAAACAACTCGGTGGTGAAGTTATTGTTCGCGAAGGCGCAGGGAAAGTCGTAAGTGTATTACTATAAACATCATACTTCGACGAAAAAACATTCCTCATTAGGGTCCGGTGATAACTGATCAAGGCAATTTCATTCTCGATTGGAAATTCGATTCTTCAAAAGTTTTCAATTGGTCAGATGTAAATCAGCAATTAAAATTAATTCCAGGTAACACATTTCTTTCCAGCCTGTCCTTCTCAAAATATTCATGTCTATCGTTTGATAGGTGTGGTTGAAACTGGTTTATTCATCAATATGATTTCGAAAGCATATTTTGGTAACAACGATGGCAATGTTCAAGTCAAAGTCAATTCAGCAATAGTTTCTGCTTAATTTTTTTTTCGTATTTTTCTTTTCTCCTTCACACAATGATCTTGCAGTGTTTAGTTTTCGTCTATTTTCAGATAAGATTTTATTCGGAATGTCGGAATATCAATTACAAAATCCACCAACTGATGGTATAACGACCGTGCACTTTTCGCCAAATAATCAAAGTCAATTTCTACTTGCTTCGTCGTGGGATGCTTCTGTTCGGTGCGTGTTTTCTTTTTTTTCTGTTGTAATTACTCTTAATTTTCTTCTTTATAGTTTATACGATGTTAATCAGCATACATTCCGTCAAATGTATAAGCACACAGGCCCTGTACTGGATTGTTGTTTCATCGTATGTATTTTACTTTCAAAATCGGATTCCTATGATAAAGAATATGTTTTCTAGGATTCTTCGCGCACAGCTAGTGGTGGTCTAGATCGTCTTTTAAAAGTATTCGACTTCAATACACAACAAGGTAAAAATGATTTTATTTAAGATATCACTAAACTAATCAAGTGGACGTTTCTATCTAGAAATTATAATGGGTTATCATGATAATGCAATACGATGTGTACACTATTCGCCTGAAATGAATATTCTTATCACCGGTTCCTGGGACTCATCCATTAAGTTTTGGGATTCACGTGTACCGAACTGTCTTGGTACTTGTTCATTACCTGATAAAGTAGATTGATAAAATATAGATGAGGATCTGTCTGTATATGCTGTTGAATAGGTTTATACGTTGGATAGCGCTGGTGAATTACTTGTTGTTGGAACTGCACAACGTAAGGTATCGATTTGGGATCTACGTAAGATTAGCACAAATACACCGATTGAAAATCGTGAATCAAATTTGAAATATCAAACACGTTGCATTCGCTGTTTTCCAAACAAACAGGGCTATGTTCTTAGTTCAATTGAAGGTCGTGTTGCTGTTGAATTTTTCGATGCAAATCCTGAGATTCAAAAGAAAAAATATGCATTTAAATGTCATCGCGCCAAAGAAGGTGCTATCGAAAATATCTATCCTGTCAATGCAATTGCTTTTCACAAACAATACGGAACATTTGCAACTGGTGGATCCGATGCATTTGTTAATATGTGGGATGGCGCAAATAAGAAACGTCTATGTCAATTTCATCAGTATGAAATCTCTGTTATTGTTCAATTTTAATTCTCACTGATGTTCTATTTAGATATCCAGCTGGAATTACAAGTTTAGCCTTTTCACCTGAAGGAAACATGCTTGCTATTGCTTCGTCTTACAATTATGAATACGGCAGTGATCCCCAACTAGCACCGAATGACATAACAAAGAATAATATCTTTGTTCGTCGTGTGTCTGACTTAGAAACTAAACAAAAATAAATCATTGTTGTCTTTTTTTGTTGTTATTATTGTTACTATTCTGATGACTATTGTTATGATCTAGGATAAAGAAACAAAATTGTGAATATCATTATTCTTTAGATGGTTGACGAAACACTTTTCGATTATCTGCATATGTCGATTGTGGAATATTATGTTCACGAAAATGAAAATGACGTCGATTCAGCTGCATTGTGCTTATCACAAATAGGTAAGTTACAAAGACTTGCTATCTTCAACCTTGTATATCATTGTTTCTCATTTTCTAAGGTTATCGAGTGGGCTATTCACTTAGCGAACGACTGTCGAAAGAAAATCCTCGATATCGTGATGAATTAGATACGGTGAAATACTTGTGTAAAGAACTTTGGATTTGTTTGTTCAAGAAACAAGTGGATAACTTGCGTACAAATCATCAAGGTGTATATGTGATTCATGATGGACGTTTTCGTTTATTACAACAAACACTTGTAACAATGAACAAACCGATCGATGCGACGAATCGATTGCATACATTGTATATAGCATATTCGACGGGTTTATTACGTGGTATACTTACGAATATGGGTTATCCATGCCGGGTGACAGCGGAAATAGCAGATTTTGGTGTGAAGTTTCAAATCGACATGACTCTAACGAGTGGATAAAAAGTGCAATACAATGCGATCAATTCCATTTGATTTCTGTGGCTTTTTTTGATTATGTAGTACGTTTTATTGAATATGATTTGAATTTTTCATACAAATATATTAGTGTCATCTATCGAGCACATATTTGAATGTTTTAAAAACTGATTAAAATTAAATTTCACTTCAACGCATGATTAACTAGCGAAAATAATATTCGAAAATCGATGTTTCTTTCCAAAAAACATACATGACTAGACAAGAAAGAACTTTTCTTTCTTAGTTATCTGTTCCATTTCGTATAAATATCCTTCTTCGATTTCATCGTTCGAAAACTTTTACCATCCTTTCGTACAATGACATCATCCATTTCAAACAATCGCTTTAAATTATTAGTTCTCGATCTCGATGTACAGCAAATTAGTATCGAAACTCTACGCAAATATTTTACTGCTTATGGGCCAGTTGAATGGGTTCAAATCTTTCCTGAATCGACTTCCGCGATGATATTTTTTGTTAGTTATATGATTGTCGATCATTTAATCTCTTGCAGAACATGTTTCATTGGTGAAAATCGTGTTCGATTACGTCGATACCGACTCGATCAAAATAATTGGCATATTGACTCGCATACTTTATATATTAAATTGAATTCAAGTTTGACGCTGACAGAACAATCATTACGTCAATGTTTTCGAGAGTATCAATCACAAATTACGAAGATCGAGGTCATTCACGACAATCAAGCATTGATTTCATTTTCAAATTACGATTGTGTGGATCAAATTCTCCTTATACCAATGAATTCATATCACATTGAACGAATTCCACTTGTTTTCGAACGAATGATGGACAAAATCAGGAAAACGTCACGTTGGGATCAAAAGCCAACTTGTCTATCAACTACACCAGTCTTAGCTGTTCGAAATCCTCTCGTTCATAAATTGGTTAGTCATATTGAATATTTAACAAAACAACTTAGAGGTAAAGAAACTATGCATTAAGTGTCATAGAGTGCATCGTTCGTTTCTTTCATTTAGAGCAGCCTAGTCGTACTCAGAATCAAATTAATAAACTCGAAGCGGAAGTATTTGTCTTAAGAAACGAAAATGCGAGATTGAAATCGAAACAGACTTTCTCAACAAGTGATACTATAGAGCAACGGATTAAGACACTAGAGGACATTTCTAATCGATTAATCAATAATCATTACCACGAAAAGAATCGACGAGAACGAAGTTATAGTAAGGGGAAATCCCCCAAACGTCGACGAAAACATAGAGTTAACGACGATTAATCAAGTAAAATTTATGTATATAGTTGAACATTTAAACTATTTATTTATTTTTGTCAATGTTTTTTATGTATGTATTTGAATGTAAAATGTGCTATTTCGCGTAATAAATTGTTTGTTTATTATGAATATTAAGTAAAACCAGATTCGCTTCGAGAATAAGATCGAACGAAAGGTATTTTTTGACTAATATTGCAACGCTTGATTAGCGATGCTGATTCAGAGTACGTTATGGTACATTTGCAATTAGTGACGTATATGGTATGACAGAAAACCTACGAGCACAATGAATAACAACCGTTTCTTGATTGAAAACTACGCAAAACTACCTGAAAAATCGGGGTATAAAAGAAGTGAGGTTTTTAGCTGATATTCATTCATTTCAAATAACAAAAGTAAGTGTACATAGAAGAAAAAACACACTTTTCTAGTACGAAATTTCTTTTTCTAGTACACATTAAATTCTACAATGGGTTGGAGTAGTGATAATCTCTTCCGTGGATACGGTGGATATAATTCGGGATTTGGTGGACACCATCATCATCATCATGGTTTCGGTGGATATCCAATGGGTGGATTCGGTGGATATCCGATGGGTGGAGGTTTTGGCGGCTACCCAATGGGTGGTGGATACCCGATGGGAGGATACGGTGGTGGATATGGATATGGCTATGGATGGTAATAAAAAACAGCCATATGTGGATGTTGTATAATTTATTTTCTTAAATAAATTCACTATGACTGTTAAGGCAGAACATTAAAAGTTTCCACTATGCATCGCACTGAAAGAAAGAAATATTAGCCAATAATTGGAAATTCATCTTTTAAAACTAGAATGGCCAGATCTTCGAAGAAGTCCGATTTTGATTTTACCGTTTTTGAAATATTTTCTCAGAACTTCGAAATTTCTTTTAATTCTAAGTATCTTCGTAATGTTATCACAATAATTCAATACTATGCCATCTGACTTCTCTACATTTTCCGTAGATTGTTAGTGGTTTTTGAAATGCAACACAGTTCAATCGGCTGCAACTTTTTCTGAGTATACTGTTTACATCACGTACGCGGGGAAATAACAGCTTATAGAATGATGCAGAATAACATAAAATACAAACAATCACGCATATATAAAAGTAGCAATATCGACAAGTATAGGTTCATTGTCAGCTCGGGATGTGACGAAAAAGTCTTTATAAAAAATGGTTATCTATTGAGGAATGCAATGTGTCTGTGATTATTCTTTTTAATTGAATCAATTTCGACTGTATTGCAAAAGTTCAATACTAGTTGTGTTTTTTGTTAATATTGGTTGTATTGGCTCAACAGTCAGAATTATGTTGTTTTTCTCGAGGGTGCAATACTTTTGAAAGTAGATGGTAAATTAATAAACAGAGATTTCATAAAACTATCTGTCTAATTTCTCACTGTTCGTATCTGGAGAAGCTGCTGATTCAGCTGAGAACTCCTCTGTTCGACGTGAAATTGAAAATTTATTTAACGAATAAATCAATGATTTTGTACGATGTTCGATTTTTGTTTGATTATATGCATGAAGCTGTATAAACAAAACAGAGTGTTTTGATGAATTTGCGCTCTATTCATGATTTTTGAAAATCAAAATGTCGTTATTTTTCTTTTTCGTCTTATGTTGTCGTCAGAGATTCGTTTTGAGAGTAATAATGTTTGTCTAGGAAGAAGAAGGAATGTTTTTTCCAAGTTTCATAAAGAGTGAAGGAGCACATTACTTTTATCGTTCTCTACCAAACAACCATTTCTCATATCTTACAACAACTACCTTATAAATAATTCAAATCCACAACAATGTCAAATCAGAAACAAAGCAGTTTGGATATGTTCGAGCAGACACCAGCCACCTTTCAACAAGCAAATGAATTGAATCGTATAAAAATTGAAGAGACGCAAGATATTTCTGTGATTTGGCTTGACACTCACATTCACAGCAGTAATCCAGATTATCAGAATGCAATCACACATCTTCAATACATTGTCAATGATATTTATACATTCACTGATAATGATGAATGTATCGATTTCATTCTCACTCTCACTGACACAGATGTTTGTTTGATCACGTCAGGATCAGTTGGACAACGTCTTGTACCTTGTGTACATAATATTTCAAACATCGATTCGATCTTCATTTTCTGTGATGACCAAAATCGACACGAACAATTGGCCAAAAACTGGTGCAAAGTGAAGAGTGTTTCCATTGATATTATACATATTTGTGAACAATTAAAGAAAATCATTCGTCGATATGAACTCACTGCTATTCCTATGAGTTTTGTACAATCTGGCAAACGATTAGATCGACTAGAGCCATCATTTATGTATACACAGATCATCAAAGAAATACTTTTAACAATTCAATTTAAGGATAAACACATCAAACAGTTCGTGAACTATTGTTGTGATAATTTCGTTGATACTGAAGTCGATCGAAAGAAAGTGAAACAACTGGAAGACGAATATCATCAGCACACACCTATTTGGTGGTATACAACACAAAGATTTTTATATAGTATGCTGAATCGTGCATTACGAGTGATGGATGGTGAAGTGATCACATTGATGGGCTTTTTCATCAGTGACCTTCATCGACATATTGAAGAATTGCACAAACAACAATTTGGTGCTGCATCATCGACTGCTAAATGCTGTACAGTTTACCGTGGTCAAGGTTTAATGAAGAAAGATTTTGATGAATTGATGGCAACGAAGGGTGGGCTGATGTCATTCAATAATTTCCTGTCTACCAGTGAGAATCGCAACGTTTCTCTTATTTTTACTCCAGGAAACCGAAAGAACAGCGATGTGATCAGTGTTCTATTTGTGATCACTATTGATCCAAAACAATCAACAACATCATTTGCTTCAGTTCGCCACATCAGTCAGTTTCCCGAAGAAGAAGAGGTACTGTTTTCGATGCACAGTATCTTTCGCATAAGGGATGTTAAGCCCATGGATGGAAACGAGAAAGTGTACGAAGTGGCGTTGTCATTGACGAGTGACAATGACGAAGAATTTATGGTACTTACTGAACAAATTCGAAAAGAAAGCTTTCCAAATGCAGAGGGATGGTCACGACTGAGCCTAGTACTCGCTGACATAGCACAGTCAGACATTGCTGAACGAATCTGTCGAGTACTGATTGATGAAACACCTTCTGAAGACTCTGCAAGCCATGTTTATAATCACCTGGGTAACATTAAATGCCAGAAAGGACAATATGAGGAGGCAATACCACTTTTTCAAAAATCTCTTAAACTCTCGTTGATGTCATCTTCTCCTAATCATCCACATGTGGCTGGATCCTACAACAACATCGGTAATGCGTATTACAACATGGGTGATTATCCCAAGGCACTTTCATCATATGAACAAGCTCTCAAAATTCAACTACAATCACTTCCTCCCAATCATCCACATGTGGCTTCATCCTACAACAACATCGGTAATGCGTATTACAACATGGGTGATTATCCCAAGGCACTTTCATCATATGAACAAGCTCTCAAAATTGAACTACAATCACTTCCTCCCAATCATCCTAGTGTGGCTTCATCCTACAACAACATCGGTGCAGCGTATTCTGACATGGGTGATTATCCCAAGGCACTTTCATCACATGAACAAGCTCTCAAAATTCAACTACAATCACTTCCTCCCAATCATCCACATGTGGCTTCATCCTACAACAACATCGGTAATGCGTATTACAACATGGGTGATCACAGGACTGCTTTATTTTTTTACACAAATGCGGCTCAAATCGCTGAAAAAGTGTTACCATCCACACATCCTCACCTTCAAATGTTTAAAAGAAACTTGGAAAGAGCGAAAGAGAAACTATAAGTTTTGCATGTTGCTTTGGACGGAACCGTGTTCAAGACGTTTTGCAGTTGTGAATGAGCTTCGCCCGCTGAATCAGTTCTACAGTAATCGAAGATATGTGAATGGATCAGCGGGAAAGATACCAGGGGGGAGTGAAAAATTTGGGAGGTTCTTTTTAGAATTGTTTCGTATCGTGAAGACCATTTTTCAGTTGTATTTTCGATAGCTTCGTATACTTTGACAGAATGAACGATAATTTTTTACTTCACAAAAGAAAATAAACATGTCAATATTCCCTTTCCTGAAAGAAAGGGTTATACAGCGTTTAAATGCTGCGTTGAAAAGCTTAAAGCTTGTCCGTCTGTCCTATCCAATCAGAAGTCAGCATTTCTAAAATCAGTGAAATTGGTCGATAGTTGTTAGAAAATGATTATCGGTAGGGTAATCGAGGTCTGGGAACTTGAATTTGAGGTTAATTTTAACTAATTGTTAACTATTAATTAACTATCTGTCAACTAGGCATAAATTATTAATATGCAGGGTAAGCGTTGACCGAAGGGGAATTAGGGTCGAGGACCTCGAATCCGAGACTAGTTTCTCGAAATTCTAATTAGCTCATCAGCTAATTAGCTAATTAGGCGATGAAAATTTTCTTCGCTGTCGAGTAAGGGTCGACCGAAGGATAATCGGGGTCGAGGATCACGAATCCGAGGTTAGTGTTGATTAATTAATTATTAGTTTTTCATTAACTAGCCACGACTCAAACATGCATTGTCAGAGTAGACCGAAGGGTTTCTGACGTCGGGAAATTCGAAGTTGAGGGCGAATTTCGTTTTATTCGCTGAGCCTGAGCTTGTTCCTTTCTCTTTACAAAGGAGATATTTTTGCTTTATCTGTTCTAAAATCTTTTGTAGAAGATGGTGAGCTGAACGCTATTCACGGACGTCATGTGTACAAAGATGGTAGCTCAAGAACTTACACGAAAAGTTCTAATGCGCATTGTACATAATGATGTTTCTAATTCAAGAAATCCGAAAAAGTGATATGAGCTTAGTATCATCTTTGCTTTGTAGGCTACATACATCATGTCCTTTCATGGGAATTTAGTAGAAGTAGTTCGCAAAGTGATATACCCGTCGGTAGAATTCCATCTTAGTAACTACAGACGCGTGGACTATGCAAACAGTATTTTGAACACATGCAGCACTATGAAAGATGTTCGTTTCGAAGCAAAGCATATAATAAGACTTTTTTATCTAGTTTCTTTTGGTAGTCGAATGAATAGAAGATCATGACTGTCGAAGCGACAATAAAAGAAAATCCAATCGTTCAGTTTGAAAGTCGATCGAAGGCGAAAGGAATAACAGAGACAGCATGGCAACGGCTAGCCGTGAGTGACCGACTGGAGGGAGGTCGACGAATTGAACAGAGCAATAGAATATGTACTGTAAACTACACAGTTACGAAGGGTTTTGATAACTTCGATCAGAGATCGACTCAGTGTCAACGAGCTACTTCTTTATATGGAAAAACTATGAAAACTGATCTTCTGCGTCAACGGCTAGCCGTGAGTGACCGACCGGAGGGAGGTCGACGAACGACTAGGCGTTTAAATGCTAGATTAATCCCAAAGTGTACGCTTAGAATAACCTTGACAGGCTTCAGATAATTTTGAAAGGGATTTGACGAATGGATATTCCTCAATGAAAATATTCGACAAGGTATCATTTTGTTGACAGGAGAGAAAGGAATCGGTTTGTCGCTGGAAGACACAGGCGATTGTTCAAACGTTTCAAGTAGTCTACTGTATATCGTCCGTGTATGAGT